ATGCACAGATCATCAGATGTTGTCTGAGCCTCTATGTCAGATCATAAATATAATTCAGCCCCATCATTTTGTCCTTGTTGCAAGCTGACTGTGGATTATGATCATCTTGAACATGATGTCTCTGTGGGAAGCCACCATGGGAAACTTGTCTGTTAGGTTTACACAAAGTCAACACCAGGAACCCCCCCAGAGGAGGTAACACTATACACTGGTGTTGTGGCTCGCCCAACAAAACATAATTACGATGTCAGTTCTTACTCCCTGATGTGAGGGAAAGAGTTATCGATGTTTTACAAGGTTGATGATGTATGACATATTTATTCCGTACTCACAGAAGCTGTATACAATGACTGGATGTTGTTACAGATATACAGAAGGTGTTGCCAGGGGTGATGATGTATAACATACACTACTCCCTGAAGCTGTATACAATGACTGGATGTTGTTATAGATATACAGTAGGTGTTGCCAGGGGTGACGATGTATAACATACACTACTCCCTGAAGCTGTATACAATGACTGGATGTTGTTATAGATATACAGTAGGTGTTGCCAGGGGTGACGATGTATAACATACACTACTCACTGAAGCTGTATACAATGACTGGATGTTGTTATAGATATACAGTAGGTGTTGCCAGGGGTGACGATGTATAACATACACTACTCCCTGAAGCTGTATACAATGACTGGATGATGTTGTTATAGATATACAGTAGGTGTTGCCAGGGGTGATGATGTATAACATACACTACTCCCTGAAGCTGTATACAATGACTGGATGATGTTGTTATAGATATACAGTAGGTGTTGCCAGGGGTGACGATGTATAACATACACTACTCCCTGAAGCTGTATACAATGACTGGATGTTGTTATAGATATACAGTAGGTGTTGCCAGGGGTGATGCTGTATAACATACACTACTCCCTGAAGCTGTATACAATGACTGGATGATGTTGTTATAGATATACAGTAGGTGTTGCCAGGGGTGACGCTGTATAACATACACTACTCCCTGAAGCTGTATACAATGACTTAATGTTGTTATAGATATACAGTCCACCTACTGTATGTGTTGCCAGGGGTGATGATATATAACATACACTACTCACTGAAGCTGTATACAATGACTGGATGTTGTTATAGGTATACAGTCCACCTACTGTAGGTGTTGCCAGGGGTGATGTGTATAACATACACTACTCCCTGAAGCTGTATACAATGACTGGATGATGTTGTTATAGATATACAGTAGGTGTTGCCAGGGGTGACGCTGTATAACATACACTACTCACTGAAGCTGTATACAATGACTGGATGTTGTTATAGATATACAGTTTACAATAGATTACTCTTGATTTTCAGCCAGTTTTCCTGTATAAATGCGAGCCATTTATTTTTGTTCAAAAGAAGTCTGCTGTGAAAAGTAATAGTGAGTGAGTGAGTTTTGTTTTCCAACTATATGGCGGTCTGTAAATAATCAAGTCTGGACAAGACAATCCAGGGATTAACAGCATGAGTATCGATCTACACAATTGGGAGCGAACCTGACCACCCGATCCCATTAGTCGCCTCTTACAACAAGCATGGATAAAATTCTAACCCGGATCTTCACGGGTTGTGAGAAGTAATAAGCTGTACAATAAGATAATCTGATGATATGTGTCTTTCAGTATCTTTCTTTCATGTTTGATTTTATTTTCTGCTTTAGGTTGAAAAAGAGGTAATTGCTAATGCGAGTAATGTTTATTTCTCTTTCTAAAGTTACTTCCTGTTCCAAGTACAGTTAACCTGAGACCATGTATCACATTTAAAAAAAGCTATTTCAGAAGTGGGTTATCAGGGACCTTGTATGCATTTATGTAATGTTATCTGGAAAAAACCCTTGATTTTCTAATGGGCAAAGATAGGATAGCAGCTTTCAGCTCCAGCCTGAAGGAACATGCATGTTTAAATGACTGAATGTATTACATTGCTGAAATTTTCCCTTTTAGCCAAAATTCTTTATATTTTTATTAGACGCGAGTACTCATCTCATGACAGAAGTCATTGACATACAAAAAAGTATAGTCTGTTTGTGAAATATGAGCTATTGTATGGCCTGTTTCAGTGAGCCTGACTTGATGTTACCAATACTGTGTTAACTTTGTGCTGCATTTTAACCAAGAGATGACAAGAGTATTCTCACCTGTACTTGTAATCCCAGCCTCAAACCTTGACCTGGCCCATGTGCTGTTGCTTCTCACACAGATGGAGTGGTGGGGTAGCCTAGTGGTTAAAGCGTTCACTCGTCACGCTGAAGACCCGGGTTCCATTCCCCACATGGTTTACAATGTTTACAAGTCCATTTCTGGTTTCTCTCACTGTGATATTGCTGAAATATTGCTAAAAGTGGCGTAAAACCATACTCACTCACTCACTGTCACACAGGTAGTGATGGAACTGAAATACTGTTTAAAGTGGCCATAAAATCCTGTTCATTCACTCATTGACATGTAAAATTCTACTCCCAGATGTAATGATGAGATTTCATTATTGATAGTTGTGTGTAATGTCATTTTGAGATCATTACCCAACAGTTTGCTTTGGTAAAAGTTTAGTTGAACAATAATTAGATGATAAGTATCATGGGAAGTGATATTCTGAATGATAAATACTTCACTCAAATGGATATTAGTTTTCAGTATGAGAACTGACTTATACCTTCAAAGTGTGGGGCTATACACTGACGCTAATACTGTAGTCTGCAATAACTTCTGGGGATTCTACCTGTGATGGTCCGGGGTTAGAATATTGATCTTCAGTAACCCATGTCGTACGAGGATCGAGTGGTCAGGCTCACTGACTTGGTTGACACATGTCATCAGTTCCCAATTGCGTAGATCGATGCTCATGCTGTTGATCACTGGATTGTCTGTTCCAGACTGGATTATTTACAGACCGCCGCCATATAGCTTGAATATTGCTGAGTGCAGTGTTAAACAAAAAATAAACAAATCATAGAAAGAACTCCATTCAATCTGAAAATGAGTCACAGAGAAGGGGGGAACTTGAGGAAGTCATGGTGGCTGAACGGGTTAGGCGGCTGACTTTATGAGCTGGCGATTAGGTGCCTGACTCTGAGGGTGTGGGTTTGAATCCTGCATGGGACACAACCCAACAAAAGTACTAGAATCTGTACTTTACTAAGAAAGTGTACTCCCAAATATAACATATGTTAAACTTGAGGAATGCCTAGTATTAGTTCATCTGAGGTTTTGTGTGACAGGGAAAGAAAACTTTCAAACTTTCACTCTAGACCACAGGACCAGTGAGTGGACAATAATTAGTGGTCCTGTCTGTACTTCACTGGTCCAAAATAACATTCGTAGATGTACTTAACTATCAATACAAAATTCACTGACCACTGCAAACTTGTGATTTAGAGGTCCTAATGACATTTTACTAGCCAGGAACCACAGGACCAGCATAAATTTCACACACTGGCATGACAGTAGGGCTGGGTAGAATGGAAATTATGTAGTTTAGGGGCTTTGAGTTTGACTAGGCTCCTGACCACAGTTTTGGAAACACAGCCCTAGAATGGTACAGATACAGTTTTATCCTACTGGGAAATCCACATTGTGATGTCAACTAGGCTCCTACACGCTGGGCATGGTATAAAATCCTATATTCACTCATTCACGGACAGTATGTCCACCTGTCATTCTCATCACCATTGTCTGACAAGCACCTGTAACATGGAGCTGCCCTATGGATCCCCTCCAACTTGTTTGACCTTGACCTTTTCATGTGAATAACCATCCCAACCAGATAAAATAATGATGCTGATGAGACAAACAATAACGGAGGCATTCAAGGACACTCATCTTGTAAGTATTGTTAAAAAACCCACCATGTAACCATGGCAACTGATCATTAAAGTTACCATGAACAGGATGAAGAGTTTCAGGGATTTGAAAGCTAGCGTAAAACTTTTTGAAAGTCCTGTGTGAATGCAGTCTGTCTTCAAGTGGTTCAAGTGGGTGGATGATGAAAGTGAATTAACTGATTCTGCTGATGGGTCATCCGGTTCACACAGACAGACAGGGTACTCCCAAACATGGCGGAATCAGTGAGTGTTTAAAACATATGTGTTAATTTTAGTTTGAAATTTCTATTCTCAACACTCTGCTCTAAACAATTTATGAGAGTTAAATTTTGTGATGTTTGCCAAGATGTCTGTATAATTTCCTGGTGAGTTCAGGTGTATATTGAGTTACCGTGTACAACAGGGGACTCCATCAGCTGGGAAAGGGGGGGGGGGGAATCAGTTATATGAAGGCTTCATTATCCTGCCCCCGAACAGATATGATCTCTATATACACAGGAAAGTATATACTTCACCATTTTTTCAGAATCATATCTCATTAATTGATTTAGGACATTTGATTTGTTCATGGTATGATGTATGCATATTGAAATGCATGATTTGAGGGAATCTCGCGTCTTGGTGTAGAGGATGTCCATGATGTGTTAAGAGGGAGTTTACCTTTTTTGTCTAGGAGACTGCCATGTCTTCGTAGCGGAGGCTCTGTGCTTTGTGCAGGAGGCTGGGCTTTGTGCAGGAGGCTCTAATGTTTTGTGCAGGAGGCTCTAATGTTTTGTGCAGGAGGCTCTAATGTTTTGTCCAGGAGGCTCTGTTTTGTCCAGGATGCTATGTGTTTTATAAAGAAGGCTCCATGGTTTGTGCAGGAGACTCCCATGTCTTTGTGTAGGGGAAAGAAGGCTCTGTCTGTATTTTGTGAATGAGGCTTTGTTCAGCGAGGCTGACACATTGTGTTACTCTGTTTCTGCAATTTACCATCTCTGACACATTGTGTTACTCTGTTTCAGCTATGTACAATCTCTGACACATTGTGTTATTCTGTTTCAGTAATTTACCATCTCTGACACATTGTGTTATTCTGTTACAGCAATTTACCATCTCTGACATATTGTGTTCCTCTGTTTCAGCTGTGCATTGCAGGAGTGTCGGGTATATACTACTGTGCCACAAACTTCACATCATTCTCAGGGACGAGGAAAGCATTTGTCACTAAGGTGGGTGTTATCAGGGTGTTTTGTAGACTGTCTGCCGGAGGGGCATACAAGAGTAACAGTTAATGTGTGGGATATTTTATTCTGTAAATATTGAGATTTGTGATGAGACTCCTTGTTCATTTCATCACGGTTGGCAGTGCCGTAGCCTGATGGTTTGTGAAGCCATTTTCGGGTGTTGCACATTTTGATATTGATGGAATATTGGTAAAAGTGATGTTAAACCATACTAACTCATGGAGAGTCAAGTCAATCTTTAGCCCAATGAGATAATGTGCTACAGCTGTCTGTGTAGAATTATGTCCATTTGGTTTGTTGGCAGAAATGCTGGTGGGTTCTTTAAACTCACAAACGTCTTCAACCTTTGTCACCGTCACTCTTTTCACACATGAGGTCTTAATACTTGTTTGAGTTTCATTTTTAGAAGTTGGAGAGTCAGATATGGACAGACATTATGGATGAACAACTTCTATATTCAGGTGATGCAACGTTTCAATAGAGTCTCTTGTATCGTTGTCAAACATATCATACCAAACATACGTCGGATCACCTGAATATAGAAGTTGTTCATCCATAAAGCTTCTCCTTATCAGGTCATAATACGATTGAAAGAAACAGAATGTTGAGAGAATCACTAAATTTATTTGATGAAGAGAACCTACTCTCCAGGCAGATCAGCTCTTTCTTCTGTTCAACTTGGTGATCTGTTGCAGGCCGTGTGTCTCTTCTTCTCCGTGATCGCCATCTTCCTCTGCATCATCGCCACCACCTTCCCTGTCATCCACCTCAGCCGCATATTCACATTCGCCACATGTCGCCTCTCCGACAACAACTGCCTGTGTTCCATGACGGCTGACTTTGAGTCCCGTGTGTTTGAGTATTTTGAAGTGGCAGACTGCCGTGTTGTCCAGGAGGAAGTGAGACTGTACCTCCTCATCATGGGCGGATTGTGTTTGTTAGGATTCATCATCTCGCTCTGGTTCGTCATACTTGTCTGGCAGGCTCGGTATGGCAAGTTTTATTCAGGACTTCGTCGGCAACAATCTTTAAAGAACTATTTGAGGTGATGTGATGGAATCTATGGAGTGAATGACATGCTGACACTTATCCTTGTTAAGGGCATGGCTAGTTTAAGACTAGACCCTGATCATGGATAAGTAATAATAATCTACTGTATGTTGGTTTGCCTGGATTTTACTACTTGAGGTGATGTGATTGCTCTGGTATGAATGATATTTGTAGTGAAATAGATGTTTATTCATGTTTAGGGCTGCACAATGTTGAAAATATACCCTTAACATGAATATGTAGCAATTTGTTATGACTGATGTACATGTTGAGTTGGTTGAGAAATCATTGAAAGGTTTCAGTCATTTACATACATGTACTTGAGTTAAACACCTTCACATTTTCAACATGAAATAATCAGATTTTAAGCATAAAGACCTATACAACAAGAGATATTAAGACACAGTGTTATGACAGAAATAGGCCAAGCTTAATCAAGATTGATACTCTATCATTAATATCTTATTAATTGGATTACCGGTAAGTTGTTTGTTTCATGAAGAACTTGTTTATCTGTCTGCCAGACTCACCTACATTTCACTTTGTAATGGAGGAGGATATTGGATGTACGACTTATATTTGACCTTACAGGGTGGTATATAGAACACATCGAAATGTGATGCTTAAGAAATATTTTCCATAGCACATGGTTCACCAGCAAGTCTGTGTTGCAGCAGAGAATAATACCGGTATAGGGTCTGTAGTCTAGCAGATGACAGTGGTGCTGTTAGAGTAGATACATCCTGCTTGTACAATACGGACACATGCCAAGGAGAGTTATCTCCCATGACAAAGCCACGGACGAAGATGCCGGTAATCAACTGATGTGAGGCAGCATGATATTGACGTGTGTGAATCTGATTTGGGGGGAAGGTAATGACAAATTGGACATTTTAGAATACAATATAAAGTGCTTTTTCATTTTGTCTTTTCACAAAGAAACACTGTACAGGGGCATAGGGAGGGTAATTGTGACAAGCATTTTTAATGGCGATTTAGTATTTCTTTGGAGTTTTGTTTGATAGAATATTTCAATATATTAATTCAAAACAGAACATGTAGCATGTCCAGTGTTGTTGGGGAGGTTGGGTAGCCCAGTGGTTAGAGTGTATTGTTCATCACACCATTGACACAGATTCGATTCCCTACATGGGTACAATGTGGGAAGCCCATTTCTGGTGTCCCCGGACGTGATATTGCTGGAATATTAATGAAAGTGGTGTAAAACTAAAGTCACTCACTCACTCAAACTACTATCATGCACAGGTTATTTTAAAAAAAATATAAAGTGCCAAGTGATTGCACAGTATGACTGCTGGGGCCTGATGGTCACTCACAGTTGGGGGAAGGATCAGGATTCAGCACTGGGTTTGGTTGGGTCTGTCAGAGAGACTGACACTACGTTGATTATCAAACACAGATCTTTAGTCGTCTAGAAAGCACTGTCAGTGTCTGCAAATGATATACATTCGTTCATCTCAACTCAGCCATACCAGGACTTACAACTTACAAACTGATTTCTATGATGTTCACTAACAACTATCTGTTACATCATGCTCACAGATGACATTTTACTGACAACTACTTATATGTGTTACTACACTACATATGGAGATCACATTTTTCTTAATCTACATATTGCAGATCAGTGCCTTTTTAACTTAGCAGTCAGTATTCACAGTTAAGATTACATATAGAGGTCACAAACTTCATTACTAATATTTTTAACTTGTATGATACATTTTGTTGTACACAATTCACAATTTGACAAATGATGAACACTGTTTCACGATTCAGCACCTATTCGCCAGTGTCACCAATATGACCAGTTCCTTTTTGTTGCCAAGTTACTCTCAGGTATTGCAAGCTGCTGGAACCTTGAATACTGTATTGCTATGACAACCAATGTCATGACGTAGGAAGGGAATTTTGTTTTTAAATCCTCTGTAAGTTTGTGGTTTTTTTTTATATTTCTCTTTTGTAAACTTTTTTTTCAGTTAATGTAAACAAATAATTATCATTGATAGATATGCACCAGAAAAACTGTCCATTAGAAAAACGATTGCTCTTGGCGAGATGAAAGTGCAATGATAGAAATTGTATTTGTGTACAGGAACTTGCTGCTGCGTTACAACTGTCATTACTGAGACTACTCACACTACAAGCCGATATGGTGCGAGGCAGGAGACAGTTCATTGATCTTATTACTGCTGCAGGGTCATGAGTTGAGGTATTTACTGTGTAAAGCTTGTAAGAGATTTTGTATGTTTATGTAGCATTATTTATGATGTGTTTTATGTTTGCATATGTTCAGTTTGCAGGGCGAGAGTTGTCTCCCTTTGTGACTGGTTCTCATTCTAGCGGTTGTGATTACATGGAAGTTGAGTCTGTGTCCTGTGTTCAGTTGATGTGTGGTATCCAGCTTGTTGGATGACCATCATGTTCTTATACAGATGTCTGACTGGTCTGTTTTTGTGAGATTGTTAAGCATGAAAAAAGCTTAGATAAAAAACATGTGCATTAACTGCTACTTGATAAATTTTGAATGTAAGTTTTGAATGAGTTAGTTTTAATTGCTTGTTATTTAACTGTCCCTCTGCTGTCAGGAATATTTCAGTTATATCGTGGCAGTAAGTTTAAACAGGACACAATGAACCAGTGGTTGATGTTATGAGTTATATCCAACATCAGGGCGTTGGGGTAGCCTAGTGGTTAAAGCGTTCACTCGTCACACTGAAGATCCTGGTTCGATTCACCACATGGGCACAATGTGTGAAGCCCATTTCTGGTGTCCCCCGTCGTGAAATTGCTGGAATAATGCTAGAAGCGGTGTAAAAGTAAACTCACTCACTCACCCAATGTCCAGCATCAGGATGTGATGCCACCAACAGGGAGGACCCACAAGGAGATGTTCGCTCTGGCCTTAGTCTTGGTCACAACATGTTGCCATGCCGACGGTTGTGTCCTGATTGATTAGTTTCCAGAATCAACCATGAAAACAGACCAGTCAGCAAAAACAATAATGTATAGCTACATATTGCTGATTTTTATTTTTCATTGAAAACATTGTGCTGTTTGGCTGTTACCTGGAGGAAATATTGAATAGAACCCAGAAGTGTGATACGATCTAACACTGTGACCACTGGGCCGTTAGTTGTCACATGATGAATGTACGATACATTTACACACTTAATGCTACAAGCATCCTTAGAGAAACTTATGTTCAAGTCACTGAAAAATGGCAATTATTTATTGAGGCCTGATTTGAGTACTGCCTGTGTTGTTCGTGAGCAGATCATGGCTCCAGGTTCTGTGAGGCCTCTGTAGGATGTAGGATTGCAGAGTTGCACATTAAATTATACCATCTGAGTTCATGTTTGTTGGACATTGTGACAAATAATGTGATGTATATACTTGGATCTATCACTGTGTTGAATATTGCTCGTTATTCCAGTCTGCATCCATGAAGATATTGGTTACAATTGGTCTTCAACAACCCATGCTTGTCTCCGGCAGCTACTGACAGGATTTGGTGGTCAGGCTTGCTGCATCGGAAGGTGCTTGTCATCGTGTCCCAATTCCACAGATCAATGCTCATGACGTCAGTCACGGTATTGTCTGGTCCAGATATGAATATTTACAAACCACCATCACAAAGCTGGATAAATGTTGAATGTGGCACTAAAAACAAGGTTCTTGAGAGGCATAGAGAAGTTGGTATTCAAGTATAAGACAAATATTATGGATGTCAACTTCTTCTTTTTTTATTGTATACACAAGATATCTGGGCTATTCCTTGCCCCTACGTCAGGTGAATGATGAAGGGGTTAGGAAAAGCCCAGAAACGTTGCGTATACAATAAAGAAGTAGTCGTCATCCGTAATATTTTGTGTTATAATTAAACAACAAAGAAACAAAGAAAACCAGTCATTTCTTTGCATCATGACAACACTTGGATCTTGGAGTCTGGAGACCCAGGTCATAGCCACGGGCCAGTGAGTGTCCCCACATGTCATGCTCGGTAACCCATTTAAGAACTGAGATATCACATGAGACATTTGTTGTCTGGTTCCATTGTGAACATATATCTGGTGTTCCTTGCTGTGTCATTGGATGTCGCTAAAGGTGGGGTAACTCTTCTCACAAATGTTACTTCAGTTCTCGCCTGGCCCCAGCAACAATGAACAATGACATTTAGAATGGGATCAAAGTTAACACAAAATTATATTATGTTCGGGATAACACTTTCTTTGACAATAACAAATTTTAAAGGTCACATGCAACCAAAAAATCAAACATAATTAAAACACAATTATCACTTCTTCATGACATATAATATGCATTGCTGATTATGAAAAAACAAATAAACAAAATTATAAGCGTATAATCGCAAATCAAAAGTGCAATATTTTGTACTTTGGTTTACCTCCCTCGAAACGAAGCAGCCGGGATACCGAACCCAGTCAGAGCGGGTGGGTTTGCACTCAAGTGTAACGGCCGGTTCATTAGCAGATGCCGCCTTCACGGCTCATTGTGTGTGTATATATAGAGATGTTGGGTTTTGTAAATACATGCTCATTTTTGTGTATAACATTTTGCAATCAACAGACATCATAACATGTCATGTGTTCATCACACCTGCCTGTGTAATTACATAATGTGACAGAGACCGAACTCGGCCATAAATCAATGTGTTTTGTTTATGGTGTATAGCCTGATTGGTGTTAAGTTCAAATTGCATGTGGTCAGTGATCGCGCAGTTGTGTATTGAATATTGTCATTAGCAGACAGGCAGGCAGACACACAGGTGTCAATAAAACAAGACATTGAGTTTTGTCTGTGACAGCGACATATCTATATCACAGTTAGAAATTCTGTCAGCGCTAAATAATGACATTGCTTTTAAGTATCGAACTGAGAAAGTGACTTCGGTAAGAAGAGCGTGTGGTGAAATTGACAAATGAAATTATATAAACAGTTTATTTACTGTCATAACATATAAAAGCTCGCGCCTGTGAGATATCAACAAAACATTATGAAAATAGCTCACACCAAAGCCTTCACCGGGTATTTACCAGACAACCCGCTTCCAAGTTGCGCAAACCTATTTCACTGCGCACGTGCCATGAGCGCAGCCCAGCTGTTGAAACCCGTATTCCCCAGAAAAGTCTGGGGAAAATTAGTGAAACGTTTGAACTCCGATTTCGCGCGTTTTTTTTCATCGCGTTATTTTTCAACTTTATAAGTTGAATTTGCATTTTTGACGCTTTGTTTCGGTAAGTCCATACCGAAAGGTATCAGAATCTGCAAAGTTGTGTTTTACGTTGCATGTGACCTTTAAGCAATATTCAGAAATGCCAACCACAAAGTGTTGCAAACAGTAGTTTCAAGGATCAAAATTAATATTTTACCATCAAATTAGTAGTCAACTAAATACTTAAAATCTTGATGGATTCTGAGAAAGACATTAATCAAGAGTGAAGATGTAATTTCACATACCTCAACAGCAAATTTCCAAATTATCAGCATTATATATCTTTTTGTTGTCTCTTTTTGGTTGAAAATGTATTTAATCAACGAAAATATGTTTTTGTCTATATATCCAAATTTTAATGAATTGTCTTCAAATTTTGTAGAATTTCTAAGGCAATCATATTGGCTAAAATTCGTAGTGACTACGATAAAATAGTAGAGGTTGGCATCTCAGCAATATTTCTAGTACTGTTTTGGAATCAAGTCCCTATCTGAGATTCAGTTTGTGATACAGTGTTTGAATCCCACATGGAACTTTGCCAAAAAGGTACCAATAATTGTACTAATTACTTGTTTTCCCAAATACAACGTATACAAAGCATATCACAAAATATAAAAAACAAAGTCCATAGTTTATATCATATAAAATATTCAAATATTTATTACTGAATTTTGGCTTGGGGTTATTGACTCGAAGATGAGAATAGGACTGGCATTGGATGTTGCCTGCAGCAGAAGGGTTAAACAAGGTATTGCATAATTCCCTCCCTGCGTAAACACACTCCTGTATACACAGATCTATAGCCGCTCACAGAGACCCATGCACAGAGACCACTACAGGGTCTCTGCCAACAGGACGTTAGTCCAACAAATGAAATGTAGAAATTATGCCTTCAGAGGGTGGGTAAATGGGAGTAAGTAGAGGAAGATCAGTTAAGTATTAGGCATATATGGAATCTCTTGTACAAGGGAATGAAATCACTGCATTGTATTATACACTGACACTCAAGACCTATATATTACATCCAGATGAAGTTTCAATAATGCAGAAAAGGCCTGTTCTTGAGCTCAGAAATATTTCATCCAAGTAATGTGGCTAAGTTTAATAATGACTACCCTTGTAAGAAGTATACCAAGTGATAAACACTCAGACACACTAGACTGTGAACTGTGAACAGAACACAGCGAACTCGTTGCTTCAAACCATGGAATGTCAACACATTTGATTCAGTGAAACAGGACAATTTAGGACCATGAAGAAACACCCTGCCTCCTGCCCAGCGAAACAGTCCTGCAGACATGTTAAATCCTTAAAGAGGCTTCAGGTCTACAAGGAAAAAATCAATCCTTAACAAAGACGAGATTGATAACATTATAAACCATGTTGACTTGCCGACAACCTTACATCAGTGATATCAGAGACCATATAATATTAAGCAATATTGTTTACGTGGTTACCAGAGTGCTCATTTGCGAATGTCTGCGCATCTGTTGAGCATGTGTACCGGTAGAGGAAGTTAGCAGCAGGGTGTCGATGTGTATCAGTTACATGCCAGGCCGTAGCGCTGATGGTTAGTGATAAACTGTTGGGGAGGGCCGTCCCTCTATTATATGGTCTCTGGTGATATCAGCGTGACTGTTGAGAGAAAATACTTGACAATACAAACACAGAAATGTCTTGGGCACTGCTAAAGAAGCATAACGGTGGAAGGGACAGCCATTTTATATGCATTTTATAGGCACATTTTTTTGTTTCCTAATAACAACACAGAACTTATTCAGTTTTATTCACAATTTTAGGCCAATTAAAGAAATTGAATGGGTTCAGTGTGCTTGACCAGACAGAATTATCTCCCTTCCCTAAAGTTTAATTGTCACGAGTTTATAGGTTCTTTACAATATAATGCGTATTTCACACAGTCTTGAACTGTCAGCTGAAACAGCTAAGTGTTCCATAAAGCCTGCGTGCAAATGCTCAATCACTATAGCGACTCTAAAAATAAAAGCTTCTCATAGATATGTCACAAGTATGCATTTGTATTGTGTATTATAAAAGTGCATAAAAAGTGCATATTCTGAACTAGGAAACGCTTTAAATAAGTAAGCTAGCTGAGATCTAATAACTGAATACATTGAAACATATAATAAGGGTACTCTTTGGCCAATAATGAACTTGTGTAACCGGTTCATATATGAATTCATCTAAAGGGCCCATTACTCCAATATGGCTGTTTGGAAGTGTTCTAAATATTACATAACAATGAACTAATACAGTTATCCTTACTTTTTGACTGTTGAGGAAACACTCACAGACATAACCAAGTCTGTTAGTCTGGCCCTAGAGAGAAGTTGGTTGTAGTATACTCTAACAAATCTCACTTGTTCAACATTTTCAGACATAATAACATGCCAGCTTATTATACGTTCTGTGTGTGAACATTATACTGTTCTAGCAGATGTGGCCTGATGTATAAAAATACCCTGACAGATCATACAACTACTGAATGCTAGACTTTCATTATTATAGCTTCCTTTCACTGACAGCTGGAGCAATTCTAACCTGCTGGTAACGTGAACTGTGTAGACCTGTGTCTGTCCTCTCCAGGGATACAGACTTATACTTTAATACAACAACTGATATATAACTTGTATCAATTTCTTCACACCAATCAATATATTAAATTCTGCTTATAATTACTCTCTTTACAAGTTTTTAAGTCAAGATTGATATTTCATTATATGAAAATATATTCTAAGAGACTATTCTACAAGTATTTACAAGAGATGTTTCTTGATAAACGTGTTGTTGATCCTGTGACTTCTTCCTAGCACCTGATGAAGCGGAACCCTTCACTGACTGACATTAATGACCAGCCTCTGTACCAACTGGTCATCATAACATTAGGACAACATACATCTGTACTTACATTACCAGAGATTTATAATTTGACTTCCGCCAACTGGACATCAAGATTCAGATGACAACAATTTCCACTGATCTACTAGCAGATTACACCGTTTAACATGACTGTGACACTTGTTCCATTTTCCTTGATAAAAAAGGGATTTGGTTTTAAAATAGAAAGAGATACAAACATAATAAATAATGGGTATAAAATAGGCATACTGTCAGTGACAAAAACAAGTAGGGCTGTCCCCAGACACACATCACTAAAACACGGACAGCCAGACAGTTGCATATAGGTACATCTCTATTTCTCAGTTACCATGGTTACATATGTACACCTACCAGGCTGCGACTCTTGCATTTTCAGAAACAATTAAGCATGAAGGAAAACCTTGAAGGAAGGGAGTTGAACACTATTTTGCCTCAGTGAAGAATGGGTGAAGCCTTACTGTGTCAGTCATAATGAGGTCTCCACAGGAGTGAGTGAATATAGTTTTATGCCGCTTTTAGCAATATTCCAGCAACATCACGGCGGCGGACACCAGAAATGGGCCTCACACATTGTACCCATGTGGGGAATCGAACCCGGGCCTTCGGCGTGACGAGCGAAAGCTTTAACCACTAGGCTACCCCACTGCCCGTCTCCACAGGAAGCAGCAGTACTGGGTCTGACAAGGCCAACCTCTGCGTGTTTTACAAGCTGAATGCTGCATTCTAGTAATCCATGGAAATGTTAAACATTCTATAGATAAAAAAGAGAGAGTAACAAATTGGGGGGAAAAATATTTCCTACTTCCATCATGCAGCAAACTACCTTGGACCTTTTGCAGCAAGGGGTGTTGTGTAGTCTACAGTGGCACTGAAGTCCTCATGTCCGTCTGTGATCATATTTTAAATTAACATGGATGCCCTGTCTACTGCAGTTTTAACATCCCTTGACTTCAATTCAAAATTGGCTTTCATGCCTCGCCTCTCACTTCTAGGAAGAATGAACAGTACAAACAATAGGATCTGTTTAGAGAAGCTATTCTGACACTCTTTGATAACTATATTCATCCCTATCTCTTCTACAAGAGAGATTACGGTAAACTACACTTTTGTCTTATAAACTTTACAGGAGAGATTACGGTAAACTACGCCTGTGTCTTGTACAGGAGAGATTATGGTAAACTACACATCATCTGCTACAGAAGCAAGGCTAAACTCAGTGTAAAAGAACATCTTCATAACTTGACAGCAAAATCGTAATTTGTGACCATGATAAAAAATATTTGTAAAATTGTTCAAGTATTGTGTTCTTGGCTCAGCATTTCTGTACAGCACCATATATATATATATTATATAAGTAGATACATTGTCAGTCACTTCGCTGCCAGTCTCTGTATATATCTCTCTCACTGGCCTTTCACATCCGTTACCATGGTAACATATTACATCATATGTCGTAACTTTCATTGATAGTCTGGAAAAATGAAACACTTCTCCACTGAAGACAAAAACTCTCATTTTGATAGAAAAATATGTGCATGAAATGTGAAGAAATTGCATGAGAGCCATTGCAGTGAATTGTTGAGAAATGACATCCACCTGACCGGCGCCGCTTACATACATGGGCAGACAAAGGAGTGATCGACTCCTGTGGAAGGTAGATGAACTAGAGATGTGGATGGCAGTTTGCTCCGAATATGTTCTGATTGTCAGAGCGGAAAGTGATCTGTGACCTCTGATGCTACAGGGGCTGTATCACATAACTGAACAACATTATCCATCATCTCCATACACACTCTACTAAATCCTAATGAATAGCCTTCGTGAACACCAGCTTCTGTAACAGCGGGAGAGGACATCCTCCAGTACAGATGTGACGAAAGGTTGAACCAACCACAGCACTGGGGGTAGTCTCGGTACCTTTATTACACATGTGACACTGTTGTAAGTACTGCACTGTATACCATCAGTCACATTCCTAGTGCAAGGGCTGCTCGGGTCAGGTGGAGATGGTTCTTGATGAAGGGTCGGTGTCTGTCTACAGGCCCTGGTTGACGTAGGACACAGGATTGTGTTGTAGCAAACCCATCCTCTGTTTCTGTTTCCGCTGTTCTGTCATCTAAACACACACAGGAGAACTTTATGAGAGAAGATTGTTTACGAAACGTTCACAGTGTTTATGGCTGAGTTATTAAACATCCTTTCATTCTATTGACAAAGGCTAGGAAAGTTGGACAGAGAGGGTGAGGTCGAGGATGAAAATGGAGATAGAGTGTGTAGGTGAGGGAGAGGAGGTACAGGGTGAGGAGAGAGGAAGGTCGAGTTGAGACAGGGAGGTTGAGGGTGTGGCAGTGGTGAAAGAGGGAGGTAAAAGGAGAGGCGATGGGGAGAGGACAAGAGAGTGTGACATCAATCAGCTGGATACAATGGAGAAAGTGATAATATCAGGGTAAGGGAGAGAGAGGGAGGGGAGAGAGAGTGTGATACCCCACTCAGAGACCATAAACTGCAACATCAAGTACCATAGTTTGTTATGTCATGGTAGGGAACCACGGATCTTCCATTACATTAGATGGAATTAGCTATTCATAAAACCATGATGAGAGAGGGACACAGATACCTGCTCCTTGAGTTCAGACAGCTGGTGGGAGAGAACCTGGACCAGCTTGTTAGTGAAGTCCAGCTGCACCTGCAGATTTCGCAGGTCGCTCTGTTCACCCTCACTGTCCTCCGCTGTCAGGGACATCGCACGCATCCTCGGGAACCAGTCCAGGTTCTTGTCCTGTCACATCACACATAGAGTTACTATACAGTTCACAACGGAATGGTCCTGTGCCTCTGGTAATAGCTGATAATGATAGCTACAGAGTGTTAAGTATTTTTACACTACAGAATTGAATTGTTTTGAAAACACTTAATTACACATCAATCAAAAATAACACTTCACTCACTCAGTGCACACTGCTTTACTTCTAACACCCATCTCCTATTCACTCACTCACCCAATCATCTGAGTATCCCTCCCTCACTATCCACTCACTCACCCAGTCATCTGATTATCCCTCTCTAAATATCCACTCACTCACCCAATCATCTGAGTATCCCTCCCTCACTATCCACTCACTCACCCAATCATCTGAGTATCCCTCCCTCACTATCCACTCACTCACCCAATCATCTGAGTATCCCTCCCTCACTATCCACTCACTCACCCAATCATCTGAGTATCCCTCCCTCACTATCCACTCACTCACCCAATCATCTGAGTATCCCTATCTCACTATCCACTCACTCACCCAATCATCTCTCCCATACACTTTCCACTCACTTGCTTCTCTACCTTCCCTACTGAGCTACTGTAGCTCACCTTTATCATATCGTGGACATAACTCTCCGGTCCTGTGAATTCTGTGGGGTCCTTCACCTTCACCAGCACGATGAAGAACAGGTAGTGCCACATGTTGTGTTCTGATCGAATGTGCTCCTCAAACGATGTTGACCGATTGTCAAATTCACCCCTTTGAAGACCTTAATATAAAGAATTGTTCAGCATCATCATGAACAACATGACATGTATACATAGTGACCTTCTCTCAGAGGACTATACAGTTAACAGACACAGACTGAATTTGATCATATTTCAGGAACTTCCCCAGCCATTTCAAGGCCTGAGTCATTAACTGAGACATTAAAGAAATATACTACTACTACTACTACTACTACTACTACTACTACTACTACTACTACTTGGGGTGGGTATTGCAGAGAATATTCATGTTGCGATATATTGCGACATGAAAAGCATGTATTGATATGTATTGCAATATATTGCATGAAGTATTTTTAAACAAAAAACTACTTATAATCGAGTTACTGCTTGATTTATAGAGCAAAAACACAACAAAATCACTATGCTTGATTAAGCTTTAATAACAAATTTTCATCATGATAAAATGAAATGTGAGTACTATTTGGCACAAATGAAACAAGGAAATATCTGAAGATTTCCGAGTGTTATGACGTTTTCCGAATGCAAGTAAAAATACCAATTTTTCGATCAGCGTATCGCAATCCGTATCGTTTTCATGTCTGAACCGGTAAGTACCGGTAAACCGGTTATATTGCGCAGCCCTAACTACTACTACTACTAATAATAATGATAATAATAATAATAATAATAATAACAATGGATTTATATAGCACCTTGTATCCATCAATAGGTGCTCACTGGCGCGCTTTGACAAACTCAGAAAAAGTCAAGGAACATATGTACAGACATAGAGTCTAGTGAAAGGCAGTGTGAAAGAGGTGGGTTTTGAGGAGCCACTTGAACTCCTCCTTGGATATAGTGGTCGTTAATTCTGCAGGTAGAGAGTTCCAGAACATGGGACTGCAAACTGTAAAGGTGCAATCAGACATCATACAGGTGGATAGAAGTTGATTTAGTTGGTGATCATTTGACAATCGCAGTGAGCGTTCTGGAGAGTAAAGGGAGATCAGGTCCTTTAGATATGATGGATAACTGTCATTGAAGAGACAGTCATGAGTCATGCAGTAAATCTTGTAGACAATCCGAGAGGAGACATGAAGCCAATGCAGGGCTTTGAGAACTGGTGTTATATACTCTGATTTAGGGCTCTTAGAGATACACCTAGCTGCCGAGTTCTGAATCCTCTGGAGCTTGAAGCTGGCTCTGTTTGGAAGATTTGCATACAGGGAATTACAGTTATCAATCTTGAAAGACACAAGACACTGCATCAAAAGCTTGGCGGTGGATGTATCCAGAAGGTAACACACTTTGCTGATGTTATAAATGCTATGGAAACATACTCTGCTGACGAAGGATATGTGGGTATCCATTGTCATTGTTGAATCAAAAGTGACTCCAAGATTACCAGCTCTGGTGGCTGGAAACACTGAAGTATTTACTACTAACACTGTTCAACCTTTACATGTAAACTGTAATCAATGAATAAGAAAGTAAGATTGTTTATGGATAACAACTTCTTATTATATATGATGCGACGTTTCGGTATGGATTCTTATACCGTTGTCAAGCAAGAGTGAAGTACTACAGACTTATATACATGAACAGGGATTAAGTAATAATAACATGTAGGTATGAATCAAGGGGATTAACAACAACAACAAGGCACGGTGGTAATAATGTAGTGACAATAGGACTGACTGACTGAGTTTAGTTTTACGCCGCTTTAAGCAATATTCCAGCAACATCACGGCGGGGGGACACCTGAAATGAGCTTCACACATTGTACCCATGTGGGGATTCGAACCCGGATCTTCAGCGTGATGAGCGGACGCTTTAACCACTAGGCTACCCCATCGCCCTGTGTCAATAGGAGGAAGCCAATGATCCCAGAAACAAAATATACATGGCTGATGAGATTAACTAGCAATGATAGCTGGAGTGCTCTAATCTGTTGTTTTTATCAGATCATTGTATGCAGAAGGGATGAGATATCCCTGGTCTCTGTTGATTGAGGGCTTGTGTCTCCGGATTTGAACTGCTTCTGCAAGTTTTCTTTTGGTGAAGTCCTGGTGGTGTTTCGATAATATCTCTACATTGTCCCAAATTATGTTGTGATTGGGACAGTTGATGATGTGGTCTGATATTGCCGATTTTCTATCAGATTTAGTGGTAGATGATAAGTGTTCTTTGATTCTGATATTTATGGGCTGGGAGGTTTTGCCTACATAGGCTTCACCACAGTCACAATTGATTTTGTAGACAACACCTTTGGGTTGATGTTGTCATTTAGAGGTGTTCCTGCCATTAGCTTTCAGTAGGGTTTTCAGTGGTGTATAGCTGGTAAAGTAGGTTTCGATGCCTGCTTGTCGCTTCAGGGGACGGCTGATGTGGTGGGAGGTCTTCGCTATGAAGGGGAGGGAGATACGAATAGGTGCTGGTTCAGGTTTGTTGGAGGCCGGTTTTCTTGTTGGGTGGAGTGAGGAGCTGATAATTTCATCGACTAGCTTTGACGGGTAGTGGTTGAACTTGGTGAAAACATGGCGGAGGTGCTGTATTTCTGTAGTGGGACTGGTGGAGGAGAGGTTGATGGCTCGTCTGGTGAGGGTGGAGATAATGCCAGTTTTGGTTCTCAAGGGGTGTATTGGTTGGAGTATGAATGTATTGGTCGGAGTGGGTTGGCTTTCTATAGACACTGGTTTGGATCTTGTTAGCTGGGGTTCTGGTTACGAGGACATCTAGAAAGGGAAGTTGACCATTGGATTCTGTTTCTATGGTGAACTGGACCCGGGGGTGCTGTTGGTTGAGGTGTTGCAGGAGGGCTGCTGGGTCTTGGTCTTGACGAAGAATGACAAACGTGTCATCGACCTTCCTGTACCAGCAGGTTGGTTTGATGATTGAGGTGCTAAGTGCTTGCTGTTCGAAGGAGGTCATGTAGATTTCTGTGAGTATTCTGTGAGTAATCAATGAATACAGGACTTCCGGATTTTGATGACTCCTTTCAAGAAGTTACAGAATGATCATTTTTATGTTTCTATAGTTATTGTTATCAATATTAACAAAATTTTGTTAGTTATAGTATGACCAGAAATTATTGAGAATTTTAGGAATATGTTTAATTAGATTTCTAGTATAAACAACCTTGACCAGCTATCAAGTGCTTGGTTTCATTCAAGAGAGACAACTCCGTTAACCCTTTTCATTAGTTTGTGAAGAGTTATCCCCCTTTGTTTACTTGCTAGCAGACGACATTTTCAGTGATCCTCAGTATGGATGATTTAGAGAAGAGGAAGTTGATTTTAGAGTATTATAACAAGGACATCAGATCAGCTAAAGTGATTTCAAGTAGAACAGGCATCCCTTTGTCCACTGTTTATCGTGTTTTGAAAAATATTGCAAATGGATATGGCATTAAGCAATAGGGAGGCGCAGGTAGGCCCAGAAAATTGACTGTCGGTGACAGGAGGCGGCTTGGTTTTCTTGTTTCTAAAAACAAACGAAGGAGTTTAGAAAACCTAAGGCTGGATATGATTGATAGAGGAACTGGCTGTCTGTAAGGACATATTTTTCCTTATCCTGACTCACGCTAATTATGCTTGTAGAATTCGTCGGTGCCAAAGGGAGGAAAGGGACGCTACTCGTGGGTAAGTGATTTTACGTCCGTTTTTTTTTAGAAGGGAACTTCAAGGGATTTCAAGTGTTCCACTATCATTCCCAAGAGGAAGGAGACAAGCATAATTGGCATGAGTCAGGATAAGGAAAAATTAAAGGATTCGGACTTTCAACAGAAGTATGCCATGACTGTTTAAGATTATCTCACAAACAAAGCTTAAATTCTTGCATAAATATTTTGCTATTACCAAGGCCTGGGAAAGCCATACAAAACCAAATCAAAATTTAAATATAATATCTTTTATATAGGTAGACCAGGTTTTCCTTCCAGAGTCATCAAGAGATTTTAACATATACATTGTAATAACACTGAACAGGGAGCCTATGCGCTTCTAGTTGGATTAACCCACACCAGTATTTAACAGCTCCAGATATATATAATTAAACTGTTACGGACATCTGACACATTCACCTGGAACTAAACTGCTAGTAACATTTCTATCAACTCTTAAGAATCACCTGCAAATGTTACTTTGGAGACCTTCAATAATCTTACAGTAAGAAGTTCCCTACACTTCAGAGCCATAACATAAAATAGGTACAATAACTGCATCAAACAATTTAAACAGATCATTCGATGTCATATGGCCAAAGTTTCTTGGGAAAGAATAGATAGGCATTATATAATTAGTGCTTTATTTGCCTGGGACAACATACAATATTGGGCTCTAGTCCAAACTAACCTTGGGGTGAAAATAATTCCAAGATGTAAAATGTAGCAACTTCAATTTGTTTAACTTAAAAACAAAACAAAATTCAAAATGTCTTAAAGGACCAAAATTGCTGAAAACCATGATTTTAGTTTTAGCTAGATTAATTTTCATACCAGTATGTGTACAAAACAACTCTAGGGCATTTAATCTCTTCTGTAATTGAAGTGCAGTGTCAGCAATTCCAGACACATCATCCGCAAGCATTAATGCATAAAGACTATCCACATTAGTATTGATATTTCCACCTTTTCCACCAAATGTTTCAAAACAGAGAAGAGTTTGTTTATGAAAATGCTGAATAATCAAGGGCTTAATATAAAGCCTTGTCAGGTGCCTTGATTACACTTAAAACTGTGAAAGTTACTCATGAAAATGTCACAAGATACTTGTCTCCATGTAGGGTCATTGTTGGGTTGATCAGAGTTGGAGTTACTTTGGTTAATTGGAGCAGCTGTGTCACCATCACTTGTTGGAGATAAAGTCATGTTAAGAGAGGGATGGCAACAGGAAAATCTTTCTTGTGTCATCAAATGGGCAGTTCAGGAGGGATTCAAAGGATTTAAACGAGTCACAGAATTGATCAATTTCGGGAATTCAAAGTTGTCACTGGGGTAATCATCAATTTCATGTTGTATGAAGCCTAAGTTGTCATTTGGGACAAAATCTAACAAATCTTAACTTCTTGTATCTAAGTCACCAACAAGGAAGATATATTTCTCAGGGTGATCAGTTGAAATCATATGGAGGTGGTTTTCAAGTTGGTCAATTCCGTCACAGTCACTGTTTTCATAAATAGGTGAATTTTCAGGTGAAATATAGGTAAAATCCACAATACAATCTTTTCCCCACTTCCATTTAGTGCTCTTTAGCAACAGTATCGCACAGTTCTCAAACTCATGGTAGATTCTAGACACATATCCTTTGGTTATCCACACATCTCTAATACAGTAACTCCTCCACTGTGTCCAACCAAATGTTTAAAGGTCACATGCAACCAAAAAATCAAACATAATTAAAACACAATTATCACTTCTTCATGACATATAATATGCATTGCTGATTATGAAAAAACAAATAAACAAAATTATAAGCGTATAATCGCAAATCAAAAGTGCAATATTTTGTATTTGGGTTTACCTCCCTCGAAACGAAGCAGCCGGGATACCGAACCCAGTCAGAGCGGGTGGGTGTGCACTCAAGTGTAACGGCTGGTTCATTAGCAGATGCCGCCTTCACGGGTCATTGTGTGTGTATATATAGAAAGTTGGGTTTTGTAAATACATGTTCATTTTTTTGTGTATGACATTTTGCAATCAACAGACATCATAACATGTCATGTGTTCAAGTATCACACCTGCCTGTCTGTGTAATTACATAATGTGACAGAGACCAAACTCGGGCCATAAATCAATGCGTTTTGTTTATGGTGTATAGCCTGATTGGTGTTAAGTTCAAATTGCATGTGGTCAGTGATCGCAGTTGTGTATTGAATATTGTCATTAGCAGACAGGCAGGCAGACACACACACTGGTGTCAATAAAACAAGACATTGAGTTTTGTCTGTGACAGCAACATATCTATATCACAGTTAGAAATCGTGTCAACTCTAAATAATGACATTGCTTTTAAGTATCGAACTGAGAAAGTGACTCGGTAAGAAGAACGTGTGGTGAAATAGATAAATGAAATTATATAAACAGTTTATTTACTGTCATAATATACAAAAAGCTCGCGCCTGTGAGATATCAACAAAACATTATGAAACTAGCTCACACCAAAGCCTTCACCGGTATTCACCAGACAGCCCGCTTCCAAGTTGCGCGAACCTATTTCACTGCGCACGTGCTATGAGCGCAGCCAGCTGTTGAAACCCGTATTCCCCAGAAAAGTCTGGGGAAAATTAGTGAAACGTTTGAACTCCGATTTCGCGCGTTTTTTTTCATCGCGTTATTTTTCAACTTTATAAGTTGAATTTGCATTTTTGACGCTTTTTTTCGGTAAGTCCATACCAAAAGGTATCAGAATCTGCAAAGTTGTGTTTTACGTTGCATGTGACCTTTAAGTCTTTCTCTCACACAGTTTTCAGTAATGAATCCATCTGAAAAGTCACAAAATTCTGATTCGTTTTTAGCCGATTCATCAAAAGCAGCAATATCATACTGTTTACAAAAGTCCTTCAACTTACTGTCAACAGAGTTGTTTTTATTTAATCCTTTGATGTTCCGCGTGAATATATCAAAAGAACCCTGGCCTGCACATCACATTTGTTTACTGATGTTAGCCTGAGTCAGAGTGGCCTCCCCTTGCCGAGCCCACACAAACACCTGGGTTCCGCCCACATGGGTGTGTCGACTGAGTTGTTCTCTTGATGAGATGATGACCTACTTTCACAATATTTCTGGATTCCCTGTCGTACGTGAACACTTCATTATCCACTATGGGCATATTCAAATGTACTTTAGGTCACTTTCCATCTTTCAGTGCCTGTGAAAACCAGTGTGAGAGCACGCCTGTCCTCCCAAATATCTTGCAGAAAATTGTCTCTCACTTGAGTTTTTGATAGCCCGTCTTTCGCTCGTCTGTTAATGAAACTCTTATCCGATGTCACAAACTTGGTGATGATTGGAGACCTCTTATTTGTCATATGAAGTCTGTGAGCTCTGTCAGTGATGATATCATCCACGTGTTGAATCTCTTGTGTATCCGACAAGAACTCTGAAACATTCTGTTCAGACTGTTCCCAAGTTTCATTTCCCATTCCACCAATTCCATGGAAAATCAAGTTATTTCTTCTGTTACGACATTCAAAACAGTCTAGTTTGTCTCGCATAAGTGATAGTTCGAATTTAAATCGACTGTTTTCTGACTTCAGTCTCTGAAACTTCACGTGCACTTCGGCCGCCATTGAACAAAGTTTTGAAAGCTTTGTGATAATGAATGGATATCTGATATCCGGGGACCGGGGCCTGGGTTGGACTCCACACTGCCACATGTTACTAACAAACTACTCAACGGCACCGAGAGTCTCAAGTATGCAGAAACGTTATATTTCTGAACATTTTTAGTCTCTTCATAGTTTTGTCTGGTTGACAAAACCATCCTATTTTAGCTCTATACATATCCCCGTCATGAGACCTCTGTGAGACACGTCCTACCCGGTTCACTGACATGCACAAACAATTGTCATCCATAACAGATTCCTGCAAAGCAGTCAGTGCTGGCAGATTCTTCAAGACATTTCAAACTTTCGCCTGATTAAAATTCTCACTGAAAGAAAATCTTATATTCACTAACAAGGTGCGAGCCATGAATATCCCCAGAGGTTGTTGACAAGACAACAGGACCAAGAACAAGAGCAAGAACAGGAACTTACCACAAATGAAACATGTATTTTTGATGACTTCCTCTTTTGTCTGCTTTTCACTTCTGAGATCGGCAAAGGTGTCGATGATGACACCAAAGATGAGGTTAAGGACGATAATGATGACGATGAAGAAGAAGAGCAAATCGTAGACAATCCTTGCTACAAACAGCGGCTCCTGACATCAAAGGATTAAAGACATTGTAAGTTGTAGCATTATGATGAGGTTTTATCCACTGAGCTGGTAATGGTACAACAAATTGATCTTACCGAATGTTTAAATCTCTCATACTGAAAATATAACATTAAAACAAACTGAAATACAATCCTATATTTTACTGACATGGTACTGACTAGTCGATCTGAACCCTTTGGTTCACGGTTCATTGACTGCCGTGGAAGCATGCTTTTTCTATTGGGCGGGGTATAAGTGATTTATTCTCCCTCACAAAGATTTATACCCTGTTTGTGTGGTGTATGGCCGTGCACCAATCAGAGATGGACATTCTTATATCAGGAAGGATGAAAACTTTTGTATTTCATTTATGGAGCATTTGTTTCTCTTCTTGCATGTATTTAATTTCTTCAAAAGAAACAAGGATATAAACGCTACAAGACAGACACATGTTTCAACAGTTGGAAGCACTGACAGAACCACATCACTACCTGTGTCCACTGTTCATTATCCAGGGTATATCTCAGATCTGTTGCAGCACCCTGCACTCATTCACCACCGTAGTCACTTCAGAATCTCAGGTTATCTTAGGGATTGGTCAATCGTCAGGATGTCATTTGATGAAATTTGTCATTTCATAGGATGGTTATTTATAGCGGGCCATTTTGACTCGGCCTCAAAAGGAAGCTATGGCGGTGCATGGGTGCTTATCATTACATGTTTCTTGAGGGTCACAGTCCTCTATGGATCTACTGTATTTAGCACCAAACTGAGACATTGTAATGAGTTCATGTAGGTGATTATAGAAACTTGAAATTTGTGTCAGAGCAATACTGAACACAATGTGTTCCTGCATTCATACCTTGCTACTGGGTTTGCGGAGGACGTCACCGATGCCTCCCCCATTCCTTAGTCCCTCGTTGAGAGAGGTGACGATGCACATGATGAGAGTGTCGCACGTTCGCTGTTTGCCTTCTTCCTCCAGGCCGCCGTCTCCAGCTCCACTCAGTGTATCTGTTCAAGCAGAGAGCGCAGCGAAGCATGAATACCCCACTCAGACACATTATACTGACTCCGAGCTGACCAGTCCTTGTTGTACCCATTAATGCCGAGCGCCAAGCAGGGACCAACAAGTACCATATTTTAACCTCTTTTGGTATGACGCGGTCGGGGATCGAACCCGTGAGCTCTAACCACTACACCACAGAGGTGGTCACTTGACACAGTATACCAACACTAGGCTGACAAGTATTTGTGGCAGGCAGGGAAACAACAAGCATCATCTTCCACCTCCTGGGAGACGCTCTGTTCACTAGGTCATGGAGACAGTTAGACAAAAACTAGGTCCTACCTTCCACCTCCTGGCAGACACTCTCTTCACTAGGTCCTGGAGACAGGTAGACAAAAACTAGGTCCTACCTTCCACCTCCTGGCAGACGCTCTGTTCACTAGGTCCTGGAGACAGTTAGACAAAAACTAGGTCCTACCTTCCACCTCCTGGCAGACGCTCTGTTCACTACGTCCTGGAGACAGTTAGACAAAAACTAGGTCCTACCTTCCACCTCCTGGGAGACGCTCCGTTCACTAGGTCCTGGAGACAGTTAGACAAAAACTATGTCCTACCTTCCACCTCCTGGGAGACACTCTCTTCACTAGGTCCTGGAGACAGGTAGACAAAAACTAGGTCCTACCTTCCACCTCCTGGCAGACGCTCTGTTCACTAGGTCCTGGAGACAGTTAGACAAAAACTAGGTCCTACCTTCCACCTCCTGGGAGACGCTCCGTTCACTAGGTCCTGGAGACAGTTAGACAAAAACTAGGTCCTACTATACCTTCCACCTCCTGGTGGACACACTGTTCACTAGGTCCTGGAGACAGCTAGACAAAAACTAGGCCCTACCTTCCACCTCCTGGTGGACACTCTGCTCACTAGGTCCTGGAGACAGCTAGACAAAAACTAGGCCCTACCTTCCACCTCCTGGCAGACACTCTGTTCACTAGGTCCTGGAGACAGACACTGGGTCCTGGAGACAGACAAAAACTAGGTCCTACCTTCCACCTCCTGGGAGACGCTCCGTTCACTAGGTCCTGGAGACAGTTAGACAAAAACTAGGTCCTACCTTCCACGTCCTGGCAGACACTCTCTTCACTAGGTCCTGGAGACAGGTAGACAAAAACTAGGTCCTACCTTCCACCTCCTGGCAGACACTCTGTTCACTAGGTCCTGGAGACAGTTAGACAAAAACTAGGTCCTACCTTCCACCTCCTGGCAGACGCTCCGTTCACTAGGTCCTGGAGACAGGTAGACAAAAACTAGGTCCTACCTTCCACCTCCTGGTGGACACTCTGCTCACTAGGTCCTGGAGACAGCTAGACAAAAACTAGGCCCTACCTTCCACCTCCTGGCAGACACTCTGTTCACTAGGTCCTGGAGACAGTTAGACAAGAGCTAGGTCCTACCTTCCACCTCCTGGCAGACACTCTGTTCACTAGGTCCTGGAGACAGACGAAAAGCTTACCTTTTCCTGCCTGGATCAGCTGGCTGACAATGGACCCCGTCGACGTGCAGTTCTTGTCACCTGCTGAACAGGTAGATTCGGGCACTGTGACGTTAACATCTGCAACACCACAACATCAGATGAAGTCCGACAACAGGAAAGGTTACTCAGGTCTCAGTATCAGTGACAAAATGCATATAGGTGTTCTGGTCACTTCCTGATGGGACAACACGGCAGAATCACTATGTAAAATAACAACCTAGCTTATACTTAACAGAAATGTCAATAAAATCAGGAACATATGTCGGACAATAGAAGCAGGGTGATTTCACACCACATTTCAGACCAGGCAAAATCTCAACCAGCCCTGTCAACTCCCAACTTGCCTAACCAGTAGTTCACTAACAATCTGTGTGTACTTGCAGCCTTTTGGAGCTAGTTCCTTTCATCAGCATGTCAGATGGTGAAGTTGACCTATCTAGATCACATGAACGAATGACTCGACCCCACTCTGAGGCAGTAATACAGCTAGATCTTAGGGAACGAAACTCGAATTGTATGTTGTCTACTGTTAATCTGACACACAGTTTTTACAGTTAAGTCTGAGTAAACACTGACTAAGGTCATCAGCCTTTCAGTTGTCCATTCCAAAAGTCTGTTCGACATTTATTTTACCTGATACAATAGGTTATTTCCTTTGGTTGGGTCAAACATTGCAGCACCTATGGTTAAACTGGCAATGATTGATTCCTATTTGAAAAAACATGATAGATAGAGTTCTGTATGTGTTTGTGTCTACTGTACTTTACTCCAGTTTAGACCTAGTTGTTTACATGTTTACAGCTGTCTTTTGTAAAGTGAAAGAAGCACCATATCTGTAGGGGTGAATCGGTATACCGCGGCATTAGTAGAACTGCGGTATTTTGCCCTCGGTATGCAATACCGTAATGCAATCCAAAACGTCAGTTTTCATACGTCATGTTATTAACCTTTTTAAACCTTTTCTTAAAATGTCTAGAAATCGAATCAATTTGTCAAAATCTATGCATTTCTTTGCTAGGCGGCCGCTATTGTGGTAAGAGTGTACCATTTCACCCTTACATATCTGTAATCTGAGATAGCTAGGGCTTCTAGTTGTGCCACATCATGTAACCATGACAACACTGGATAACTTCATCACTCCAAATGGCTAGTTTCTAACTACCACTACCCAGGCAGGTGGGAGACCTTCCAGACTGTACATCAGTCAGAACAATAGATGAGTTGTGTGTAGCACTGTTTTGTACAGTATATCAGTTACATCATCACACAGCACCTTGGTACTAGAGTCATGTGAAGTGGACAAGGATCTAGTCTAGTAACCCCCAGAGAGGGTTGACTACAATGGCTACCTTCTAGCTGGGGAGCGTCAGTTGTCAGGGGGTCAACCTCCATCAGGAAGTCATCACGGAAGAAGATGAAAGCGATGATGGAGAAGAGGTAGATGAGGATGACAGCCAGCACTGCGGTCAACACGATGGAGCGACCGTTGCGTGTGACAGACTTGATGACATTCAGCAGTGTTTCCTCTCTATACACCACATCTAGAAGCTGGGGACAGGAAGGAAAACATAAGTATCAGCAACCTACAGCTGGGGGCAGGAAGGAAAACATAAGTATCAGTAACCTACAGCTGGGGGCAGGAAGGAAAACATGAGTATCAGCAACCTACAGCTGGGGACAGGAAGGAAAACATGAGTATCAGTAACCTACAGCTGGGGGCAGGAAGGAAAACATGAGTATCAGTAACCTACAGCTGGGGGCAGGAAGGAAAACATGAGTATCAGTAACCTACAGCTGGGGACAGGAAGGAAAACATGAGTATCAGCAACCTACAGCTGGGGACAGGAAGGAAAACATAAGTATCAGCAACCTACAGCTGGGGACAGGAAGGAAAACATAAGTATCAGCAACCTACAGCTGGGGACAGGAAGGAAAACATAAGTATCAGCAACCTACAGCTGGGGCAGGAAGGAAAACATGAGTATCAGCAACCTACAGCTGGGGACAGGAAGGAAAACATAAGTATCAGCAACCTACAGCTGGGGGCAGGAAGGAAAACATAAGTATCAGCAACTTACAGCTGTGGGCAGGAAGGAAAACATGAGTATCAGCAACCTACAGCTGGGGGCAGGAAGGAAAACATGATTTTCAGCAACCTACAGCTGGGGGCAGGAAGGAAAACATAAGTATCAGCAACCTACAGCTGGGGACAGGAAGGAAAACATAAGTATCAGCAACCTACAGCTGTGGGCAGGAAGGAAAACATGAGTATCAGCAACCTACAGCTGGGGACAGGAAGGAAAACATGAGTATCAGCAACCTACAGCTGGGGGCAGGAAGGAAAACATGAGTATCAGCAACCTACAGCTGGGGACAGGAAGGAAAACATAAGTATCAGCAACCTACAGCTGGGGGCAGGAAGGAAAACATAAGTATCAGCAACCTACAGCTGGGGACAGGAAGGAAAACATAAGTATCAGCAACCTACAGCTGTGGGCAGGAAGGAAAACATGAGTATCAGCAACCTACAGCTGGGGGCAGGAAGGAAAACATGATTTTCAGCAACCTACAGCTCGGGGCAGGAAGGAAAACATGAGTATCAGCAACTTACAGCTGGGGGCAGGAAGGAAAACATAAGTATCAGCAACCTACAGCTGGGGGCAGGAAGGAAAACATGAGTATCAGCAACCTACAGCTGGGGGCAGGTAGGAAAACATGAGTATCAGCAACCTACAGCTGTGGGCAGGAAGGAAAACATAAGTATCAGCAACCTACAGCTGGGGGCAGGTAGGAAAACATGAGTATCAGCAACCTACAGCTGGGGGCAGGTAGGAAAACATGAGTATCAGCAACTTACAGCTGGGGGCAGGAAGGAAAACATAAGTATCAGCAACCTACAGCTGGGGGCAGGAAGGAAAACATGAGTATCAGCAACCTACAGCTGGGGGCAGGTAGGAAAACATGAGTATCAGCAACCTACAGCTGTGGGCAGGAAGGAAAACATAAGTATCAGCAACCTACAGCTGGGGGCAGGAAGGAAAACATAAGTATCAGCAACCTACAGCTGGGGCAGGAAGGAAAACATGAGTATCAGCAACCTACAGCTGGGGACAGGAAGGAAAACATGAGTATCAGTAACCTACAGCTGGGGGCAGGAAGGAAAACATGAGTATCAGCAACCTACAGCTGGGGGCAGGAAGGAAAACATGAGTATCAGCAACCTACAGCTGGGGGCAGGAAGGAAAACATGAGTATCAGCAACCTACAGCTGGGGGCAGGAAGGAAAACATGAGTATCAGTAACCTACAGCTGGGGACAGGAAGGAAAACATGAGTATCAGCAACCTACAGCTGGGGACAGGAAGGAAAACATAAGTATCAGCAACCTACAGCTGGGGGCAGGAAGGAAAACATGAGTATCAGCAACCTACAGCTGGGGGCAGGAAGGAAAACATGAGTATCAGTAACCTACAGCTGGGGCAGGAAGGAAAACATGAGTATCAACCTACAGCTGGGGACAGGAAGGAAAACATGAGTATCACAGCTGGGGACAGGAAGGAAAACATGAGTATCAGCAACCTACAGCTGGGGACAGGAAGGAAAACATGAGTATCAGCAACCTACAGCTGGGGACAGGAAGGAAAACATGAGTATCAGCAACCTACAGCTGGGGACAGGAAGGAAAACATGAGTATCAGCAACCTACAGCTGGGGACAGGAAGGAAAACATAAGTATCAGCAACCTACAGCTGGGGACAGGAAGGAAAACATGAGTATCAGCAACCTACAGCTGGGGACAGGAAGGAAAACATGAGTATCAGCAACCTACAGCTGGGGACAGGAAGGAAAACATAAGTATCAGTAACCTACAGCTGGGGACAGGGAAGGAAAACATGAGTATCAGCAACCTACAGCTGGGGACAGGAAGGAAAACATAAGTATCAGCAACCTACAGCTGGGGACAGGAAGGAAAACATAAGTATCAGCAACCTACAGCTGGGGACAGGAAGGAAAACATAAGTATCAGCAACCTACAGCTGGGGGCAGGAAGGAAAAACATGAGTATCAGCAACCTACAGCTGGGGGGCAGGAAGGAAAACATGAGTATCAGCAACCTACAGCTGGGGGCAGGAAGGAAAAACATGAGTATCAGCAACCTACAGCTGGGGGCAGGAAGGAAAACATGAGTATCAGCAACCTACAGCTGGGGACAGGAAGGAAAACATAAGTATCAGCAACCTACAGCTGGGGACAGGAAGGAAAACATAAGTATCAGCAACCTACAGCTGGGGACAGGAAGGAAAACATAAGTATCAGCAACCTACAGCTGGGGCAGGAAGGAAAACATGAGTATCAGCAAGCAACCTCAGCAACCACAGCTGGGGGCAGGAAGGAAAACATAAGTATCAGCAACCTACAGCTGGGGACAGGAAGGAAAACATGAGTATCAGCAACCTACAGCTGGGGACAGGAAGGAAAACATAAGTATCAGCAACCTACAGCTGGGGCAGGAAGGAAAACATGAGTATCAGTAACCTACAGCTGGGGGCAGGAAGGAAAACATGAGTATCAGCAACCTACAGCTGGGGCAGGAAGGAAAACATAAGTATCAGCAACCTACAGCTGGGGGCAGGAAGGAAAACATGAGTATCAGCAACCTACAGCTGGGGACAGGAAGGAAAACATAAGTATCAGCAACCTACAGCTGGGGGCAGGAAGGAAAACATGAGTATCAGTAACCTACAGCTGGGGGCAGGAAGGAAAACATGAGTATCAGCAACCTACAGCTGGGGCAGGAAGGAAAACATAAGTATCAGCAACCTACAGCTGGGGCAGGAAGGAAAACATAAGTATCAGCAACCTACAGCTGGGGGCAGGAAGGAAAACATGAGTATCAGTAACCTACAGCTGGGGGCAGGAAGGAAAACATGAGTATCAGCAACCTACAGCTGGGGGCAGGAAGGAAAACATAAGTATCAGCAACCTACAGCTGTGTGAATTGAATTTTATGCAGCTTTTAGCAAAATTCCACCATTATCAAGGTGGGAGACACAAGGAATAGGCTCCAAACATTGTTCTCATGTGGGCTAGCATGCACCTTCGGTGTTATGAGTGGATGTTTTAACCACAAGGTTACCCCAGCAGCCCTGGGAAAGAAGGTGAAACATATGGACACAACATCCTGGAGCTGTGGGAGGAAAACAGGTATATAAAACATATATGCAACGCTACTAAAGTGAGTTTTCCTCACATTCATAGGGCGGTGGGGTAGCCAAGTGGTTAAAGCGTTTACTCATCACGCCTAAGGCCCGGGTTCGATTCCCCACATGGGAACAATATGTGAAGCCGATTTCTTGTGTCCCCAGCTGTGATATTGCTGGAATATTGCTAAAAACCGGTGTAAAATCCAACTCACGCACTCCCTTGCACTTCTAAATGCCATTCAAAGATTGTACATATCTTGTGTCCTGTTAAACAGTATTTTATTGATGAGAGTTTCCTGTGAGGCACTGACCAGTAGACTGTAGAAGAACTCGTGCACACACAGCCCCAGGACTGACAACAGCAGGTAGAGGACGTGGTACATGAACTCAAAGTCCGTGAGAATCACGTTGATGGGCTTGGAGAATGTTCCTCGGTTGCCCATCAGGCTGATCAGGAAGATGAACTTGTTGACAACCTGCAGTAACATGGAATACAGAAGAGTCAGTACTGATGATAGACACGGATCCTGTTCATTCAGGACAAAGACAGAGTAGCACTGAGCAGATTTTATACTTCAACACATGTGCAGACAACAGTGGAGGGTGAGAATGTTGGATGGACTCACATTGAGGCCCCCGAGTAGCCACAGTGTTGGTCCAAGACCCACTGAGAAGATGAGGCGAAGTATTGTAGAGACGATGAGAGTACGTATACCAGCAGGTCGGGGGATTGTGATCACGATGGCAAGAGACACCAACATGGCTGTCCATACCAGCCCAGACAGACGTGGATCCAACTCTGAAATGTACAAATTGAGTGAGTTTGGTTTGACCAGTACTGCAAACTTTTCCAAACCTGCAGAGGTTTTCAATTCTTTGAAGAGAGTCGTCCTTGGGGTACATATTATGCATTTTCCGGCTGTAAAATGTCCTGTGACAGTTGTATCAATGTTTTTTGAATAAAAAGATTGTACAATAAATAAACTCTTTTACTTATTATACGGACCCTACCTCACGGAGTTACCTCCCTTAGCGCATGCGCACCAACTGGGTAGGCTCCTAGACCCGTATCATCATTCCTTCTGCTGAATTCTCATCAGTGAACAGAATTGCGGGAGGTGGTGGGTTCTACCCCAAGGATCTACTCTCTTCAAAGAATTGAAAACCTCTGCAGGTTTGGAAAATTCTTTTCAGAGAGATCGTCCTTGGGGTACATATTATGCATAAACACAGACTCCCAAAGACCGGAGGCCAGGGAGGAGGGAATTCTGTCCAAGCACACACAAAATATAGCGATCGGATCATGGAAAAAAATTGAACAGACGCCATAACACTCACCTGTCACTGACCCAGTTTCGCCTCCTCGAGAGGCATTATGGGAGGGAACTGACAGGGAGGATTTGTGCTCAAAGACGACCTCTAGCATAATGAGACATTGCACGAGTGCTTAATGTCAGTGAAATCCGACCCACTAAGTGGCTTCTTCGCGGAGAGCACCGTGAGGGGAAAACAAAAATACCACTCACTAACGATATCGTAACTCCTTAGAGAATCGAAAAGGGGTACAGGTTCTCTGAGTGCTCGTGAGCAGACATGTCAATAATGGAATCATTGTACAGGAGCGCCAACACAAACCAATAAACCAAGACTCACTTGGTCAGGGTGGCAGGACACTGTCCACTGGAGAGAACGGTACGACCAAAGCTCGCGACGATTGCTGAATGTGTATCGAGCTGATAATGGCGATAAAAGTGCTTGGCCGGCTCCAAATAGCGGCAGAGCAGATCTCTTCAATGGGGAGTGCCGCTGCAAAAGCTTTTGATGCTGCTACTGCCCTGACCGAAAGTGAGCCTTCAACCCCTCAGGGGAGGCTTGCCCTTAGCCTGATAAGCGCACAAATACACGAAACAAGCCAGCCAGACAAAGTTTGCTTGCTCGCTGGCAGACCAGCCTTCCCGCCATCGTAACAACAGAACAGCTGGGTACCCGCACGGATCCCCGCGCTCGCTTGATATAGACTTTGAGCGTCTTCACGGACATCCAACGGGTGAGTGCTCAGAGGAGTGGTCCCCGATGTGGAAGGCTGGGTAAGAGTAGGAAGTTCGATAGGAGCTGTCACATGGAAAGCGGATCGACCTTCGGTCGGTAAGTATCTGGGAGGCTTAATGCTGACACGATCCGTGTGAAACACAGTCAGCGCCGGTCGGACGACATAGCATGTATATCGCCGACTCTTCGACCAGATGTTACCGCCACCAGAAACACAGCTTTCCAGGTCAACAACTGAATGGAAATAGCCGATAGGTGTGAGAAAGTGGGACCGACAGCCAATCGAAAGCACGATCGACAAATCCCAAGGTGGACTGGTTCGCCTGAGAGCAGGTCGAATCCGTTCCGCCAGCTAGAAAGCGCCAGACGAGAGGGTGCTGCCCCAGAAGAGCACCATCGACAGGGGTGTGAAAAGTGGAAATAGCGGTGGAGTAGCCACTTAATGGTCGGCCGCCAGGCCTTCTTCCAAACGAGCTTGCAAAAACTCCAATACCGGACTAAATCCGCAGAAAAGGGATCTGCAATGCCCCTATCTGAACACCAGCCGCATAGCGGGACCACCTATCCTCATACTGAACGCTTGTCGAATCCCACCGAAGCCAGAATTGTGTCTGCAACTGCTGCAGGAATTCGCGTGCCTCGAGGTTAGACCTGACAGAGGCCAAGCCACCCACTGAATCCGTGGATTTGGGTGGGCGCCCGCTCTGAGTGAGAATGTCCGGTCGCAAAGGTAATAGAACAGGAGGCTGAGCCAGAAACCTGAGAATTACCGAAACCAGCTCTGTGACGCCAAAGCGGTGCCAGTAGCACAAGTAGCCGAGCTGGCTGGGTGGACAGCTGTGAAAGGACACGGGAATGAGTGGTAACGGGCGGAACGCCCAGAGCACTTTGCCCGTCCAATCCAGCAGGAAGGCCGGCAGCCAACGCCTCTGGTCCGGTATCCGAGAGCAGAACATCGGGTGTCTGATGCGCCCCGCCGACGCAAAACAGATCCACCTCGAACGACCCGCATAACTGGGAGATTACTGTGAATATCTGCCTGTCGAAAGCATCCACTCGCAGCGGGCCAGGATCCGGGCGAGAGCGCGATCTGCTCGCGACGCTCTCCAGCCCCGGAGATAAACAGGGAGTACCTGACAATCGTACTGGTCGCCCAGAGGAGAAAGTCCCACGCCCCGGAGGAGCGCTGGGGACACCGCGGCCTCCCTGCTTCAGGATGTACGACATGGCCGCCTGGTTGTCTAACTGAAGACGGACTACCTGGCCACGGACATGCTCTCTGAAGCCAATACCAACCGCACAGCTCTCAGCTCCAACACGCTGATGTGAAGGTGAGCTTCGCTTCGACCAGAGTCCGAAGCCGACAGACTGCCCAGAACGCCCCAGCCCGTGAGGGACGATCTGTCTGAACTGTGAGAGCTGGCGCCGGGATTTCCAAGGGGAACCCCTGGTGAGATTCCCCGACATTTGTCCACCACTGAAGGTGAGGTGTCAACCACTGGGACTGTGAGACTGCGCCCAGATCCTCCGCGGTGAGTCCACAGCCCAGCCAAAGCTTGCTGTATGGGACGATCTCAACCGCTACCGCCACACTACAGAGATCGTCGCCGCCATATGGCTCCAGTAGACGGAGCCAAGTCCGTGCTGGTGCCTGGGGCTGGGAGAGGAATGAAGATACCATCTCCGAACTCTGGTGACCCGGTCGGGCGACAAGGAAACGAGATCCTTGTTCGCTTTGAATCGCCCAAGAAAAACCAAGTCCTGGGTGGGTACCAGGTCGGATTTCTTGAGGTTGATGATCCACCCCAGTCGAAGTTAGAATGTCTATCACTGTGTGAGTAGCATCTTGACTCGCTGGCTGTGTTAGTGCTCCGAGCAACCAGTCGCCTAGGTAAGGGTAACAACGCCTTCCTTGCGAAAGCAGCTAGGGTAGCTGGGACTAACATGAGCTTGGTGAACACCCTTGGGGCAGTCGATATGCCGAAGGGGAGCACCCTGATTGGTAATACATCCCGTCGTGAAGAGAACCGGAGGTACTGCTTGAACGAGGGATGTATGGGTACATGCAGATACGCATCCTTTAGGTCGATTGACGTGAGCCAATCGCCGGGCTGAACAGATGAGATCACCGAGCGCAGTGTCTCCATCTTGAAGGATGGTACTTCGAGCATGCGATTCAACCCCTTGAGGTTGAGAATCGGACGGAACCCGCCGTCTTTCTTCGGGACGAGGAAGTACGTGGAGTAAAATCCCGCCTGTTCCTCTCCCGGTGGAATGCGCCGATTGGCGGACTTGTCCAGCAGAGCCTGAACTTCGTCAAGCGCAATATGTCCGCTCTGGCTTGGCATGACGGCACCGGAGTGCGCCAGATGCCGGTGAAGTCGGGCGGACTTCGCCCACAGTGGGAGATGGCCTATGCTGACCGTGGCCAGCACCTGCGTTGTTGGTAGCCTTCTCCCATTCCGGCAGGAATAGAGAGAGGCGGCCTCCCACTGGGATATGGGGTAGGAGCGCGTGCGTGGACCCTAGTAGCGGAGCTGACTGGGTGTGACACACGGCTTGAGCGGCAGCCTGTTGGGTTAACGGGAGGTCGGGGCAGACCTCCCCGCCCGTGAAAAGGCTGGGAGCTAGTCGAGGACTGCTCCTTGCCCCTACCCTTGGCGACCTACTCCTCCGCCTACCCCTACCAAGCGGCCGGCCAGCCGGCAGACTCGGGTGTAGGCTGCACCCCGGCGGAGGAAGGTGGCACGGAGCGCTGGGGCGAGACACCGCGGGTGCTCCAACAAGGCCTTAGAATCCTTGAAGGAGGTAGCTGCAGCGCAGCCTCCCGTGATGACCTGCTGTGCCCCGGAAAGAGGGTCGCCCCAGACGGAAAGGGAGAGCCAGCAAGGTCTGCTGTGTTGCTGCCGAAAGTACCTAGACGCCGACAGCCACAGCCTGCGCGATCCCCATGACTGCGCGACATCACCGCCGACGCAGCAGACCGCAAAGAGTCGCCGCAGGTGAGCCTGAACTTCCGACAGCTGACGGAGTAGCACGACACGCGCGACACGCCGCCAGCATGCCCCTCCGCCTCCAGGGCCGACCTCTGTATCGAGGGAGAGGTAGGCCTCATGGACCACCACCGCACCTGCTGCATCGCTGCCCGCAGACCTCCTCGTAGGGTCCGTACACGCGTCGCAGGGGATGCGCTTCGCAGGGCAAAGGTGGAGTGAGGCGCCTTGCCGAAAGCAGCCGGAGCTGCCCGAGGAAGCCGAGCCTCCCCAGGGCTTACGGAAGTGAAAACACACTCGCCCCACGATCGGTAACGACGAACAGGGAATCCTCCCCAAGCTGGTAGCGCCAAGACGAAGTTCAGGTAAGTCAAACCTGACTCGGGTACCAGACAAGAGGGGATCGACCACGCCCGCCACCAACGATGGCAGAATGCGGAGCTGCGCCTGTGAGGGTTGCCTAGGGGCAAACGCCACCAGGCAAGCGGAACTCAGTCGAAGTCCACGCAACCAGCAGGCACCGCGCCTGGGGTAGGCCCTCGGCAATTCTCTGCCGGACCTCCCGCAAGGTCGGCAAAACGGAAGCTGCCGCCATGCTCCTCGACCTCCCCGAAGCTCCATTGCCTCGGCGTCCGAGCCCGAAGTCAGAGGCTGGGTCTCCTCCGTAAGAGGACCCTCAACCCCGACCCGGTGGACTGCCTAGCTGGCACCACAGGAAGGGAGGAACAGACCGACTGCTCCATCGCCAGCGCCAGCCGGCGCGCGGCGTGGACCCTCGTCCCGGTGACGCAGGAGGCAGGCCAGGCAGAACTGGTGCCTCCGCCTCATGGGCGGTGTGCGCAGGGACCGGAATACCAGGAATACTCAACGCCCAAGCGCAAGCTCCGAGAGGGGACTGGGAGCACCTCCTCTCCTCGAGCAGCCGAGGCGGCCCGGACCCGGCCAGAGGCAACGGATCGACAGACGCCTTCAAGGCTGAGGGATCTAGCCGAGGCCGGGCGATCCCACCCTCGACTTCTCCGCCTCCGGCCCGAGTGGGCGAGGAACTCCTGGCGGAGACCTCCAACCGACTCGAACGGAAGGACTTCATTGAGTCCATCTGCTTCTGAAACATCGACTCCATTAGAGACATGTCAAAACCACTGGGCGGTAGGAGAGGGGAAGGGCCACGGATTTTTTTTCCTTTTGGACGCTCGCTTAGATTTTGACGGGGAACCTGCGCCAGGTCCCCCTCCCCGCCACGATCTCGCGGTAAAACAGGGTGTCGGCCGCCCGCCTCTTCTGTGCCCGGGGAAAAGGCCAGACAAATTGAACATGTATCAGCCACATGGCCCGCCTTCTCCAGACAGGCCACGATTGGGAGTGACTGTCAGCCCGGGAATACTTCCCCACAGACCTAACAACAGGTAAAGCCTGAAACAAACACGCAAAACATGTTAGTTAACTTGTGGCCAGAAGCAGAGAAACACGAGAAAACATTGAAAAATACGCGGAAGGTTACCACGGAAAGTAATAGTTGGTTTTAAAACGCAATATTACGACCACGCCGCACGCTAAACTTCCCGCCATGGCAGAGCAAACTTGCGTGAAACCACGGAAAGTTTATGTGATTTTGATAGTACTTATACAAAGTCACAATTATGAAACAACCACTGTAAGGTTTTTACTGTTATTGTTTTAGACAAATAAAACCAAACATACAGGTGGTGTCTCAGACATCTTAAAATACAGCTCGCACGCTCATGAAAGGTAATCACAACTAACGCCTGTTCAGGGTCGTGACAGCAGAAGGAATGATGATAACGGGTCTAGGAGCCTACCCAGTTGGTGCGCATGCTTAAGGGAGGTAACTCCGTGAGGTAGGGTCCGTGATAATAAGTAAAAGAGTTTATTTATTGTACAATCTTTTATTCAAAAACATTGATACAACTGTCACAGGACATTTTACAGCCGGAAAATGCATAATATGTACCCCAAGGACGATCTCTGAAAAAAAAGAATGAAGGGGTAGAAGACGGCCACCATGAGGTTGATGATGACGGCGAAGTTGAAGGAGATGGAGCCCCAGAGGAGCATGTGACTGCTGAACCAGAACAGCAGCGGGTTGGCTGGAACACACCATACACTCAACACAGTAAATGGAGGGGCCTTCTCCACATTTCATTACTGTCATATAGTACTGACTGAGTTTTACGCCGCTTTTAGCAATATTCCAGCAACATCACAGCGGGGGAAACCAGAAATGGGCTTCACACATTGTACCCATGTGGGGGTTCGAACCCGGGTCTTCGGCGTGACGAGCCAACACTTTAACCACTAGGCAACCCCACCGCCCCTATCATATAGTAAGTCATATTAAGGAAGGTATAAGTCTCAGCCGCATCTGTGTTGATCTGTTTTTCTATTTGTGACAGTTTTCTGATGTGTCTATGGGACTATGTACTCTGGTAACTGACTTATGGCAATTTGGGGAAAAGAAAGTACATGACTTTCTAGTTTTTTAAACAATTGTTTGCAACATGTGACAATTGGTCAAGTAGTTCTAAAAACTGTAAACAGACAATATAAGGTGCTACAATATCTGGAATCTGGATGCTAATATGATAATATGTGGGATGGATCTGTGGTAAACAAGTGATCCATGTGCGTACATTGGGATACATCTGGTAACAAAGACTCAGTCTTCAAGAGACAAATCCCATCCTAACATAATAAAGCTCATGCTTATCATGTGTTTCTTTTCTTTAAGTCTACCAATGGGATCACTAGATGGCCATGAGAACAAGCACCTGTTCAGCAAACCAGTCACATCATGATTCAGTTATATTTGCTAATAGGATTGCATGGAATTACCAGTATACTGCAGAACGCTTCTCAAATGATACAGATTGAAATATTCTTTAGAGAAACATTACTCTGAGTCAAACAATATATGTGACGTTTAGTGATTATCCTGATTTTTTAAAGTTCAAATCTACACAATCGACTATAATAAAGCTGTGGATACTAGTTGGCTCTAGGGGTTACATCAGAATTGAGATACGTACGAAAATCACACAAGCTTTCTCATGCACAAAATAGTGCAGTTAAAGTGCTGTGACAAACTGTCAAAACAAAGCAGGGAGTAAAGATGTTACAAGATGGAAATAATCTGTGTTAAAGATGACAGGAGTTGGGAGATATAGGCTGAATAGGGATTAGTAGCATAGGATTAACTATAGTGTTTCCCTATTACCTGGGTATATGATATTATGTAAACTTATGAGAGAAATAACACATTTATAACATGTCACTATAAACAGCGTAGCATTCCTTGTTCAGGACACACACCAGTCTTCTGCTCCTTGTTTCAGGTAGAAAATTATAACTTTCTGTACTCAATTATTTTTTATTCAGTTTTGCATGAAATCTATGTTTATTTTTCAGACTCTGGTAAAGTCATTCCAGGTACAATATTGACCAATGGGAGCAAAAAGACTTTAAATATTCTCCCTTCTACAATGTTTATGAACAGAACATATAAACACAACAATACAATGGTGTAGCTCGAGGTTACCATGAGCCATGACCATGAAATGTATGTGCAAATACATGTGAACTTAAAACAGAATTGTCTGTTAACATTCCCACAGTTGTACCATATATTAGGGAGATAGGTCTTAAATAACTGTAAGTACCTATAGAAATCTGACACAGAATATTTTAATAGTCTGTTACCTGAAATATGTTAAAAGAAATAGCACTCAAAACCCAAAGCAATATTTTACTTTTCAATACCTACTTTGAGTCATTTTCTGGTAGAGATTTCAACACCTAAGTATTGAGTGTTCAATCTTTCCATAGATGATGAAATAGCAACTGCTTGTTCTGTAGAGTGGCTGACAGTTCAATAAGAGTTTGTAATTTTAATAAGGGATTTGTTTCTTCGTACTTGTAATCACAGGAAGAAAAGTCAACACCTCAGTGTTGAGGGCCTAATCATTCTGTATGACATATTGAAGGCCTTATATTATTGAGTATTTGATAAATAATTAGGTTTGTTAATTTTGAAACTACACCTAAAATATCAGTATGTAAATATATTTGATAGGCTAAAACAGAAATGATGTCTGGTTTCTCAAGCATGTTCAGCATTAAGTCTGCATTTACAAACTGCTGCCAAGGACCCATTTAACACAAAGCAATATATGCCAGAGAAACCAAACAAATTCCTGACGACCTGCATCGTCCATGCTTACCAGTCACTCCTACAAAAATGACAGGAACAATTAAATGACACAAACAAAAATAAAAACACAGGGTTAACAAAATTAAAAGCATCAGACTGGCACTATTACTGAAGGAATACATTGTGCTGCATCAGCAGTTTTAACACTACTTGTAATGTCAGCTACAGAGGGGCAAGCACACAGGCTGGGGCAGGAGGACATAAGACAGTCACAAGGACACATGGTTGTCTATATTGGTTTTATCTGTATGTTGAACATAAATCTGCTTGTTGCTTTACCTTGCACACAGCAATATTTCAGCAATATGACAGTAACCAGTAAACAATCGAGTCTGAACCAGACAATCAGGACCAACCCTCCTTGTGGTACACTGACAAGCTATCAGGAATGGCCCTGAGTATCACCACTATCAAGCAAGTCTACTCTCACAACCAGCGTGTTTCTTGGGGCTTTCTCATCATGGAACATACTTGTCCATTTAGTATTGCATCATCAGTTAGATTGGTTAGGAAATCATGAACAGCACAATGTTAACCTGACCATAAACACATCCAACAAAGAACATCAAGTTGTTACCCTCAACATATACAAATACTCCCACATTTGAGCCACTCACCACGCAACATTTTCTGCCACTTCATTTCGGCGAACAGATCTTCATGGGTGGCAAAGAAGTCCGCCACCTTGCTGCCCTGCTCGTCTCTCTCTGTCGTGTTGAAGACCTTCACCTTCGTCTCCTCCGTCAGGTACTCACAGATCTCCGGGATGGGGAATACGATGCGCTCCATTGTCCGGTCCTGACGTGCAATCTGTCACACACATACAGCTGAGTCAGCTCTTCTTCACAGACTTAAAATTTGAATATACAGGCAGACAAAGAGAACAGGTATTAGTTTGTTGTTCCCTGTTAATTCATCCTATTTTGCACAAAATGCATGTCTTCAAAACTCTTACCACTTCATTGAAACCAGTAAAATCAAACAGCTAGTAATTGGTATAGACAAATCAAGTATGATAATCAGGGACAATAAGGGATTAAAACTTGTGATCATTAGATCCTGGGACACAACTCCGGACAGCCAGTAGCCCCTGTTTGGTGAAACATACAAACAGGCCCAACAAGTGAACAAACTGAACCCACCACTGGTTGGCCTTGGCACAAAAGGGACACAACTCTCCTAGTCACTATCGATACGCAATGCCATTTAGAAACTGGTCAAATGTAACATATGTTACATTTGGGATTACACTAGTACTTTTGTTGGGTTGATTCCATCCGGGATTCAAACTCACATCCTCAGAGTCGGGCACCTAATCACCAGCATACAAAGTCAGCCATCTAAACCACTCAGCCACTGAGGCTTCTCCTAATCACCATAAACCATCTGAATACCTCTATCTGTGTTGTGTGCTTGGTGTAGATCTCATAACACCATAAACAACCTGAACACCTCTATCTGTGTTGTGTGCTTGGTGTAGATCTCATAACACCATAAACAACCTGAACACCTCTATCTGTGTTGTGTGCTTGGCATACACCTCTATCTTGGCGTAGACCTCATAACACCATAAACCATCTGAACACCTCTATCTGTGTTGTGTGCTTGGTGTAGGTCACATAACACCATCAACCATCCTGAACACCTCAAACCATCTGAACACCTCTATCTGTGTTGTGTGCTTGGCGTAGACCTCATAACACCATAAACCATCTGAACACCTCTATCTGTGTTGTGTGCTTGGTGTAGATCTCATAACACCATAAACCATCTGACACTTCTATCTGTGTTGTGTGCTTGGTGTAGATCTCATAACACCATAAACCATCTGAACACCTCTATCTGTGTGGTGTGCTAGGCGTAGATCTCATAACACCATAAACCATCTGAACACCTCTATCTGTGTTGTGTGCTTGGTGTAGATCTCATAACACCATAAACCATCTGAACACCTCTATCTGTGTTGTGTGCCTGGCGTAGATCTCATAACACCATAAACCATCTGAACACCTCTATCTGTGTTGTGTGTTTGGTGTAGGTCACATAACACCATAAACCATCTGAACACCTCTATCTGTGTTGTGTGCTTGGCGTAGGTCTCATAACACCATAAACCATCTGAACACCTCTATCTGTGTTGTGTGCTTGGTGTAGGTCTCATAACACCATAAACCATCTGAACACCTCTATCTGTGTTGTGTGCTTGGTGTAGATGTCATCCCAGTCTGCCTGTCTAGTATACAAGTCACCTCTTTTCTGACTGGAAAGTGTAGAACTTATCAGAGTCTTGTCTGTGGTGTTTAACTCACCTCTATCTGAGCCGTGTGCCTGGCATAGAACTTGAGGGCCTGGTCTCCGTACAGATCTGTTCCGCTTGGCTTCAGAAGCTCTGCCAACTCCTTGTTGTGCTGAGACAACTTAAAGACAGAGAAAAGTTCACATTGATTCTTCGAACCAAGACTTGTCAATATGCTGGTTTAACACTGGACAGAAATAACTTAAATACTTCAAAGTGTAGGTATTTATAGCCTGGGCCATCACAGTGGTTAATGAATTATCATCCATGCACCCCAATATATCAGCAATAAACATAAAGCATGCTGTACTACAGTCTACTGTATGTGGCCTGTTGGTTTACGATCAGCCAGGATCAGCCACATCTAGAATGGTCGCCCATGATTAACACAACTGTAAAGTTTGATTTTTTGTTGTGGAAAGGTCACAATTTAGCACTGCATCATGTGAAAAATATGAATGAGATGACACAAACTGGGGATTGATACGGTGAGCAATGTTCCATCCAGGTCACCAAGCCAGGTGTTTGGTGTGACAAGCTCTAACCACTAGGTGACAAACAGCCTCTCTATTCTATACCCGGTGTTTGGTGTGACAGGCTCTAACCACTAGGTGACACACAGCCTATCTATTCTATCCCAGGTGTTGGGTGTGACAAGCTCTAACCACTAGGTGACCCCACAGTCTCTCTATTCTATCCCAGGTGTTGGGTGTGACAAGCTCTATCCACTAGGTGACCCACAGCCTCTCTATTCTATCCCAGGTGTTTGGTGTGACAAGCTCTAACCACTAGGTGACCACACAGCCTCTCTATTCTATCCCAGGTGTTTGGTGTGACAAGCTCTAACCACTAGGTGACCACACAGCCTCTCTATTCTATCCCAGGTGTTTGGTGTGACAGGCTCTAACCACTAGATGACCACACAGCCTCTCTATTCTATCCGTGGTGTTTGGTGTGACAAGCTCTAACCACTACGTTACCCCACAGCCTCTCTATTCTGTCCCAGGTGTTTGGTGTGACAAGCTCTAACAACTAAGCGACCACACAGCCTCTGTATTCTATCCCAGGTGTTTGGTGTGACAAGCTCTAACCACTAGGTGACAAACAGCCTATCTATTCTATCCCAGGTGTTTGGTGTGACAGGCTCTAACCACTAGGTGACCCACAGCCTCTCTATTCTATCCCAGGTGTTTGGTGTGACAAGCTCTAACCACTAGGTGACCCCACAGTCTCTCTATTCTATCCCAGGTGTTGGGTGTGACAAGCTCTATCCACTAGGTGACCCACAGCCTCTCTATTCTATCCCAGGTGTTTGGTGTGACAAGCTCTAACCACTAGGTGACCACACAGCCTCTCTATTCTATCCCAGGTGTTTGGTGTGACAGGCTCTAACCACTAGATGACCACACAGCCTCTCTATTCTATCCGTGGTGTTTGGTGTGACAAGCTCTAACCACTACGTTACCCCACAGCCTCTCTATTCTGTCCCAGGTGTTTGGTGTGACAAGCTCTAACAACTAAGCGACCACACAGCCTCTGTATTCTATCCCAGGTGTTTGGTGTGACAAGCTCTAACCACTAGGTGACAAACAGCCTATCTATTCTATCCCAGGTGTTTGGTGTGACAAGCTCTAACCACTAGGTGACCCACAGCCTCTCTATTCTATCCCAGGTGTTTGGTGTGACAAGTTCTAACCACTAGGTGACCACGAAGCCTCACTATTCTATCCCAGATGTTTGGTGTGACAAGCTCTAACCACTAGGTGACCCACAGCCTCTCTTCTATCCCAGGTGTTTGCTGTGACAAGCTCTAACCAATAAGTGACCCCACAGCCTCTCTATTCTATCCCTGGTGTTTGGTGTGACAAGCTCTAACCGCTAGGTGACCCCACAGACTCTATTCTATCCCTGGTGTTTGGTGTGACAAGCTCTAACCGCTAGGTGACGCCACAGTCTCTATTCTATCCCCGGTGTTTGGCGTGACAAGCTCTAACCACTAGGTGACACACAGCCTCTCTATTCTATCCCAGGTGTTTGCTGTGACAAGCTCTAACCACTAGGTGACCCCACAGCCTCTCTATTCTATCCCAGGTGTTTGCTGTGACAAGCTCTAACCGCTAGGTGACCCCATAGCCTCTCTATTCTATCCCTGGTGTTTGGTGTGACAAGCTCTAACCGCTAGGTGACCCCACAGACTCTATTCTATCCCTGGTGTTTGGTGTGACAAGCTCTAACCGCTAGGTGACGCCACAGTCTCTATTCTATCCCCGGTGTTTGGCGTGACAAGCTCTAACCACTAGGTGACACACAGCCTCTCTATTCTATCCCAGGTGTTTGCTGTGACAAGCTCTAACCACTAGGTGACCCCACAGCCTCTCTATTCTATCCCAGGTGTTTGCTGTGACAAGCTCTAACCGCTAGGTGACCCCATAGCCTCTCTATTCTATCCCAGGTGTTTGCTGTGACAAGCTCTAACAACTAGGTGACCCCACAGTCTTTATTCTATCCCAGGTGTTTGGCATGACAAGCTCTAACCACTAGGTGACTCCACAGCCTCTCTATTCTATGCCAGGTGTTTGGCATGACAAGCTCTAACCACTAGGTGACTCCACAGCCTCTCTATTCTATGCCAGGTGTTTGGCATGACAAGCTCTAACCACTAGGTGACTCCACAGCCTCTCTATTCTATCCCAGGTGTTTGGCATGACAAGCTCTAACCACTAGGTGACTCCACAGCCTCTCTATTCTATGCCAGGTGTTTGGCATGACAAGTTGTAACCACTAGGTGACACCTAAGTCTCTATTCTATCTTAGAATCCCCAGAGTGAGTGAGTTTTACGCCACACTGAGCAATATTCCAGCTATATGACGGCGGCCTGTAAATAATCGCATCTGGAACAGACAATCCAGTGATCAACAGCATGAGCATCGATCTACACAATTGGGAACCGATGACATGTGTCAACCAAGTCAGTGAGCCTGACCACCCGATCCTCATACGACAAGCATGGGTTACTGAAGATCAATATTCTAACCCGGACCATCACGGGTAGAATCCCCAGAAGGTATTGCAGACTACAGTTTTAGTGTCAGTGCTGTTGTCAGTTCAATACTGAACCTGGTGTGCAAGGATGAAGATGTTGTGTCCGACAGCTTTTGGGGATGCATCCCGCTCCTCATCCTCCTTCTCATCATCTTCTACAGTGTCCTCTCGGTGAAACGCCTGCTTCGCAACATCGACCTGCACAAAACACAACACAGCATCACAAGACCTGACAATGCAACCACTACTCTAGACTTGTGGGAATCTTGATTGCTTTATCAAAGTATTTCAATGTGATATAAACTTCAATAAATTCTGTGCAATAACAACAGAATCTGTGAGATACGGTGCATAAATAAACACAAGTCTCATACTCTGCAAGACATCACTTTATTCTAGTGCACAAAGTGTGCATAAAATAAGCAAAATGAGTTTAAGTTAAATCTTTGTAATAAGGTGTTGAGAAATAAATTTTACTTCCCTAAACATCAATTCTGTCAGGTACAATCTTTGACTGACACCAATTATATATACTTGAAATAGTGTCATTATTTTCATTAAATGTTTTCTAATTTGAGTCATTCTACTGACACACGCTACATGCCATGAATGTCTGTTGTTCCACATCTGTCACCATGACAACAAGAAGTATATACTGGGTAGGCTATATCACACCATGCCACAGTCTGCTACCACTAAAGCCAAATTGTACAACACTGTAATACATGCACTGACAGCATCCAGATAATGAATGTCAACTGTGGTCAAGCTCCGACCAGGGCTTCCCGACATCAGTAATTCCGCAGTTGAATTCACGTCATTACTCTAGTATCAGTAAACTGTGCATCTGAATTCAGTCTTTACATAAGATGTTAGCAAAATATATCCGCGTCATCAGGCAAGCACTGTTTACATCATTGCTTAAATACATTAACAGTGAATCATTGCTTAAATACATTAACAGTGAATCTTTTTAAATTTGTATTGAAAATAAAAAAACTTAAATTGTTGGGAATTTCTTTATTATTAACCTGAAAGTACTACCAGCATATCCACCTCTTCCCTCTAAAATACATCTGAAATATGGTGTATTTTGAGAACCAGCACCTTTGAATTCCATGCACCAAATAAGCAAAGAGTAAATGAAAATAAGAGAGATATGTTAAAAACGACTGCATGTAACAAAATCAAATCTAGAACAAAGATCAACCACAATGCCACAGATATCTTACAAAGTAATAGAAATCATATACATAAATATCAAATCAATATAGAAAAAAAACAACCAAAACACAAGTGGTACCTAAAGCATTTAAAAACAAATAGACCTCTTGAAAGGAATGGCCACCAAAAAATAGGGCTGGGTGGTAGGGTGTTAAACTACAGCATACATCATTTTGTATACAGTCACATTCACACACTAGAACCATAATTCAGAAACACTCCTGGACAGAGGTACCATCAGCCAAGGATGCCATCTTTCAGACTGTGGCACCATAGGTCTGACATACTCCTGGTCTAAGAAACCATCTGTTTAAGACAACATCAACCAAAGGCACTGTCAATTATCGAGAAACTCAATCAATCTGAAACAGCATTGGCTCTGAGAGGTCATCAGCCTAAGACACCACCTGTCAGACGGGTATCATTAGTCAGACACCATTTGTCAGATTGGGCATCAACAGTCAGACACCATTTGTCAGATTGGGCATCATCAGTCAGACACCACCTGTCAGATTGGGCATCATCAGACACCATCTGTCAGATTGGGCATCATCAGTCAGACACCATTTGTCAGATTGGGCATCATCAGTCAGACACCACCTGTCAGATTGGGCATCATCAGACACCATCTGTCAGATTGGGCATCATCAGTCAGACACCATTTGTCAGATTGGGCATCATCAGTCAGACACCACCTGTCAGATTGGGCATCATCAGACACCATCTGTCAGATTGGGCATCATAAGTCAGATTGGGCATCATCAGTCAGATTGGGCACCATCAGACATGATCTGTCAGATTGGGCACCATCTGTCAGACATGATTATCTGTCAGATTGGGCACCATTATCGAAAGACACTATGTGTCAGATTTGGCAACATCAGACACCATCTGTCAGACTGTAGCATTCTCGGTATATATCCTATTCAGGTAGACATAGTAGATACCCTATTCAAAGGTCAGATGGACAATGACTTCATTGGTCATCACTCTATGATTCATCTGTCAGATTGGGCATCATAAGTCAGATCATGGCACCATCAGTCAAAGATGCCATTGACAAAGACACCATCAGCAATAAACATTTGTTTGCAGGGATGGGCACCTGAACAAGTGCATGCCTCATTAAAACCCATCTATAACTACGGTAGGTCTGGTGTAATCTCAAGCCTAACAATTCAGGGCAACTATTCCTTGGGACTAATGCTCTAAAGTCCCTGCAGAGTTGGGGAAAGATTTCAGGCAGATACACTTAAATCAATTTCAGGGATTCAAAGTATGCCATCAGCAACTATGAGAAAAAAACACTTTGTTTCATAGATGATAATCAATTCTGATGCAAGACTACATTTCTTTAAATCTTTTTTTTTTTTTTAAAGTTAATTCAAAATGTTGCTTTACCGAAAGCTCCGCCCACTTCACAAGCATGCTTACAATAAACTCAAGCAGTGAAACAGTCACACAACTTTGGCAGTGATCAAACACACATGATATGGACCAGCCACAGATACTACCAAACCTCCCAATACACCTGAACCGAAGTTCACTTACCAAAAAAAAACCCAATCACTTCTCTCAAATGATCACCTGCCCAAATAAACTACTTAATTTAGCCTAAAACTGTTCAACGGGTTACCTGACACAATAATCTACATAATCACATCATGCTTAACCCCAAACACATCCCTACCATGTGAAGCCACAGTGATTTGCTTCACAATCCAGCTACACATGAACACACCCTACCTCCGTCAGGCACAGGGATTTGCTTGACAATCTAGCTACACATGAACACATCCCACCCTTGTCAAGCCACTGTTATTTGCTTGACAATCTAGCTACACTCGAACACATCCCACTATTTTCAAGCCACAGTGATTTGCTTGACAATCTAGCTACACATGAACACACCCTACCTTCATCAAGCCACAAACGCTTTTTTGATGATCTAGCTAGACAAGACCACATCCCACCATTGTCAAGCCACAGTGATTTTTTTGACAATCTAGCTACACATGAACACATCCCACCATTGTCAAGCCACAGTGGCTTGTTTGATGATCTAGCTAGACCAGAACACATCCCACCCATCTCAAGCCACAGTGATTTGTTTGACGATCTAGCCTCACCAGAACACATCCCACCATTGTCAAGCCATGATGGCCAATTCCAGAGACAATCCACACCAGAAAAAACAATAGAAATCTAACTGAAAATAACTGGAAGGGAAAACACAACAAGCAGGCCAGGCCCTCAAAACAAACAGGCTCTGATCATCACGCGATAGACCTTAGACAATAAAATGTTGCCGTCATGGACTGCCTGTCTAAACACTTGTTTCATGGCGTCCACCTGTGAAAATTAGGACAATAACATCAGTCAGTTTCAAAAAACTAGAAACTGCAAGTTTGGGGCTTTGTTTTTATTTATATTTCACTCCACTATCAAGTGTCATTACAGTGAGTGAGTAAATTAGATCATCCATTCAGCTCTAAATGACAGCATGTCACCTGAATGTGAGAACTAGTGATCCTGATCTGAGAGACTGGGACCAATAATCACACTCAGGATAATATGAACACCCACATTAGAGGATTCTGGAACTGTTCAGGAATACAACAACTGGATAGCCAACTGTACTGCATTCCATGAGGGGCAACCATTCTCTCTACTTACTGGTGAATGCAGATGAATTTATGAATTCCTAAGCATCAATGGTCCAGAGATGACACCATCTTACAATGGTGTTTCCATATGCTGGTTTAGTCTTGGAACTGAGCAGGAATACTTGATACATGATTTATTCATTTGCCTAAAATGTTCCTGCATGTATATTAGATCCAGTATTGATGGGTCAGACTGTATAAGTCAGCCTCTAAGCTACAAGACTTCCTTTCAGAGAGGATAATGTTGTTCACCATGATGCCATGTATGACTACCAGCGACATGTTGTCAGCTGTAAGATAACATCAGCCTGCAGGCTGAGAAATACTCAAGGGAGGCTACTGTAGCAACTATAGGTTGTAACTATACAAGGAAACCAATACATAATTGCTGTAAATAATATATATGATTAATGGGAACCTTCAAAATCCAGGCCAGATGAAATTACATTCAAGTCCTTTCCACATCAGATGAGTTTTGACCAGAACAGCATGTGTAGGAATCTGACAGTAATTCCCAGGAGATACTGGCTCCCAGTCTGCACTGTGGAGGCAAGCAGTCACCACTCAGCGTGTAAAGATCCTATGTCCTAAAGCCCACCAATCATCTGGCCTGGGTTTTGATGGTAATAACAAGCACATCAGTATTAAACACCACTCATGTAATACAGCTGGAAGATACAGATTCATAGCAGAGGGACAAATGATAAGGTGTACAATTTGCACAAAATAAAAGAGATATATTGTGTTTTATAACAAAAGATAATTACATAAGGGGCATCATATGCAGTGCACATTGGCCATTCCATGTTAATCATTCAATAGAGTCTCCAAAAGAAGTCTGTGAATCGGCGGAATCACTTGAATTTCCTGGTACTAGGCTTTATAAAGGAACAGGCATTAACTCTGGAGATATGAGAGATGATACAATCTTCCCAAAACAGCCCTTCATAGACTTCAGTTCACAGAAAATAGAGAAAAGGACAATTATAATGCACTGCATTCAGATACTGAAACAATAAGTGTTCAGAACAAAATATTATCTGTATATATAATTCAAAACATTTCTTAATTCCAACGTATTCTTAAGTTTATAGAATTTCTCAACCCAGGAATGAAAATATAACACCAACTGACAATTGAATTCAGCTATACGCAGACTCATTACGCATACTTATGGACTTAAGGTTACACTAGATTCTAGTTGCACCTAGCAGTTGTTAGGGGTCAGACATAGAAGTACGTAGCAGCTGTTTGGGGCCAGATATAGAAGTACGTAACAGCTGTTTGGGGTCAGATATAGATGTACGTAGTAGTTGTTAGGGGTCAGACATAGAAGTACGTAACAGCTGTTTGGGGTCAGATATAGATGTACGTAGCAGCTGTTTGGGGCCAGATATAGATGTACGTAGTAGTTGTTAGGGGTCAGACATAGAAGTACGTAACAGCTGTTTGGGGTCAGATATAGATGTACGTAACAGCTGTTTGGGGCCAGATATAGAAGTACGTAGCAGCTGTTTGGGGTCAGATATAGATGTACGTAGCAGCTGTTAGGGATCAGATACAGAAGTACGTAGCAGCTGTTTGGGGTCAGATTATAGATGTATGTAGCAGCTGTTTGGGGTCAGATATAGATGTACGTAGCAGTTGTTAGGGGTCAGATATAGATGTACTTAGGAGCTTTTTGGGGCCAGATTATAGATGTATGTAGCAGCTGTTTGGGGTCAGATATAGATGTACATAGCAGTTGTTAGGGGTCAGATATAGATGTACGTAGCAGCTGTTTGTGGCCAGATTATAGATGTATGTAGCAGCTGTTTGGGGCCAGATATATACTGAAAGGTAAAAGAAACGTCGTAATATTGGAAATGACATTTAAGTATCAATGGAATATTTGAACCTATTTTTTTTTTAATAATACGCCACTGAAATGCAGTACCGATTTTTATCAGAGAAGATAACCCCTCTCCATTGTCCCCCACGACAGTTTTGCCGCTGTTGTGTCCACTTGGATACGTTCCCGGCGGTGACGTTGGGTGAATATAGGTCTCCTGGCAGGACATCGACAAAACAGGTTCCTGGCTTGGAGACGTCGCCGAATGGTTCGGTCACTGACTGGTCGCTGGTGGTTTCCTATGGTCACCCAAGCTGTTTCTCTGGCCCTTGCGAATAGGTCTTGCACGTGTTGATGGATGATATGACGGTCCTGGCGACGTGTTGTTACACGGGGTTGACCATTTCGTGGAGGGTCATCAGTGCTGCTGGTGGCGTTGCATCGCACTCTAAGACGTTCTATCGTTCGGACGGTGCAATTGAAGTCATTAGTAATGACTCGAGCATGTTGACCAGCGTGTAGACGTCCAATGGCTTGTTGTGGTTGATCTCTCGTTAACCTAGTCATAGCTGCTGTGTTCAGAAAACAAGTGAACCATTGCCATTCAAGCCGGCAATTTATGCCTGAATGCATTTATGATGCATGTGCATCTCGATTTCAATGTTGTGTTTGCGGGAACTTTTCCCTCTCCAAAAACCAAAACATTTCTAACCTCAATCTCAAACAATACTTTGATGGGGAATGCAGGCTATACGACCACGATTCATGTTTCCTCAAACTTGACTTCTGGTGGATATTTAAAAAAAATAGGTTCAAATACTCCATTGATACTCAAATGTCATTTCCAATATTACGAAGTTTCTTTTGCCTTTCAGTATAGATGTACGTAACAGCTGTTTGGGGCCAGATATAAATGTACGTAGCAGCTGTTAGGGATCAGATACAGAAGTACGTAGCAGCTGTTTGGGGTCAGATATACTCAGAAATTGTACGTAGCAGCTGTTTGGGGCCAGATATAGATGTACTTAGGAGCTGGTTGGGGCCAGATTATAGATGTACGTAGCAGCTGTTTGGGGTCAGATATAGATGTACTTAGGAGCTGGTTGGGGCCAGATTATAAATGTACGTAGCAGCTGTTTGGGGACAGATATAGATGTACTTAGGAGCTGGTTGGGGCCAGATTATAGATGTACGTAGCAGCTGTTTTGGGTCAGATATAGATGTACGTAGCAGCTGTTTGGGGCCAGATTATAGATTACGTAGCAGCTGTTTGCGGCCAGATATAGATGTACGTAACAGTTGTTGGGGCCAGATATAGAAGTACGTAACAGCTGTTGGGGGCCAGATATAGATGTACGTAGCAGCTGTTAGGGGTCAGATATAGAAGTATGCAGCAGCTGTTTGGGGTCAGATATAGATTTACGTAGCAGCTGTTTGGGGCCAGATTATAGATGTACGTAACAGCTGTTTGGGGCCAGATATATAGATGTACGTAGCAGCTGTTGGGGGCCAGATATAGATGTACTTAGGAGCTGTTTGGGGCCAGATAGAGGTTGTACCTACCAGCTGTTTGGGGCCAGATAGAGGTTGTACCTACCAGCTGTTTGGGGCCAGATAGAGGTTGTACCTACCAGCTGTTTGGGGCCAGATAGAGGTTGTACCTACCAGCTGTTTGGGGCCAGATAGAGGTTGTACCTACCAGCTGTTTGGGGCCAGATAGAGGTTGTACCTACCAGCTGTTTGGGGCCAGATAGAGGTTGTACCTACCAGCTGTTTGGGGCCAGATAGAGGTTGTACCTACCAGCTGTTTGGGGCCAGATAGAGGTTGTACCTACCAGCTGTTTGGGGCTCATGTTGTAGAGGATCCTCTCTGCATTCTCACTGTCATGCCGACTCTCCATCACAGCCAAGAGCAGCTTGGAGGCGTTGTTCTGGGGGAAACAAAGAATCAGTCAGAAACAGAGTTGGAAGAATTTCAAACAATATTGGAATGCCATAACCAAACCGACATTGGGCAGAAAGTCCAATATGATGCAGATACGAACCCACAACACATGAAGAATCCAAGTCATGGTGACTCGGAGACTTAAATACCCAGCTATATCTTCCTAGCTGTCAGTTGTGCCTCACAGTAGAAACACAGAACCAAGAAACAGGGGTTCACGTTTAGACGAACAATCATCATCATTTACAGTTCTCCATACAAACTACTGTGTGATTTTCTACAGCCTGGATTAGGGATTAACATATATCTTCATCCTCCTATTTTCACCTTCAGCTCCAACACCAAGTCTATGCGATGTTTCCCCAGTGGGTTGATATCATTCAGCAGCAGAGCGATGATGATGTCGATGCCATTACTTTCGTGCATAGCTATAGCATTCTGAAATATGAATAAAGCAAGTATTAAAGAACAAATAAACTTTGTTTTTTTGTACTCTTTTAACTATTACATATGAAAGATTGGTGGTTAGACTTATGCGGAACACCAAATTCATTCTTTAAAAACTTGTGGTTAATTAATACTGAGCCATTAAAAGTTGCCAAAAAGTCGCCTGCTTTACTCAAATATGTATATGATTGATGACCAAAAACATTTTCAATGACACAACTTGTAACATAGCGATTTCTTCCTCGGAAGTGAGGTTGTGGTCGAAGTAACAATAATACTGTAAGTAGTATTATATTGACACCCACATCGCTGCCACGAGAGAAATTGTTATGTTATAAGCTATGTCATGCAAAATCCTATTGGCCATCAATCAAATACATATTTTACTACCAGTAGAAAGTAGTTTTGATTTTGTAACTCGGTGAAAACAAACCTAAATAGCATTTATCCTCACACTGGCAGATGTTCGCAACAGGGCCGCCATTTTTGAAAAAATAGAACGTGGACGGGCTAAAGTCTGTTAGAATTAATGAGATTATGGTTTGTTTTCATCAAGTTAGAAAATCAAAACTACTTTCTACTCAGAAGTTAAATATGTATTTGAATCATAACCAAAAGGATTTTGCATGACACAACTTATAACATAACGATTTCTTCCACGGAAGCGAGGTGGGGGGCGAAGTCACAATACTGCGCGATAAATGTCTTGCTACATTCATGTGGTTAATGTGCACTCACCAGTATGTAGATACTAGTCAATGTACGTCTATATGTTTGGTCTTATAATCTTAATTAGTTTATTATCATAGTTGTATGCATTTTGAAACTTAATAAAAAGCAGACGATCTGCTGATACTTATAGTGAATTTATAACAGAACTGTAATATCTAGACATTTATAGTTTGCCAATGTGAATCATAATTCGCACACACACCCTAGTGTATGTTGTCTGTCTCATTACACTTCACGGCGAAAACAATCATTCTGTTGAATGCTACGACAAATGAATAAAAACAAAATGCAAATATTAAAATTAAAACAGATTAAAGTTATAGGTATCCATCAATATCCACAAAAACGAGTGATATGCCATTCATCTGCAGCTGTTCCAAGTGATGTGACTTTTAACAGTTTAATATACGAAAAAGTGATAAATCTTTTCAGGTATTTCACATTGGTGTATGGTCTCATTGGTCACCCAAGATAGCACACCTGGCAACTAATTGCATAATGTCCGCCTTTCTTTAAAAACAGTAATTTAGTTAGCCAATAATGGGCAATCAATCAATGTATTGCCGGTTAATCCTTTGAAACAAGGACGTTGTTTTTACGCAGACACCGACACGACAGAGTGTATTCAGTATAGATTAGTAAATCTACATACAGAAACACTACCTTTTGACAAATCCGTTGTGTAAGATAAAAATAATTAATCAATCAGCGTGTTATCGGTTAATCCTTTGATCGATGTTTATAATGTTGAATATTTACTCCAGACACAAGAAATGCCAAATGGGAACCTTTGTCGGGTAATATAAGTGTGTTACCACTAATTATACCTGTTATAAATTCATTAACTGACCATCAAGTGAATGATGACAAATAACCACCTAACATGGGTTACGACAAGGGAGTATTAATTGCTGTATTGCAAGTGAAAACTTATGGGCCAACACTGTTTTGAGAATACAAACAGATTTTTTGCATGACATGATTAAATATCGAGGTAAAAAAACACAGAAATGGGATCAATTTGGATCAGTCATTATACAAATAAGGCCTAACGACACCAAGCGATTTTGAGAGAATCGTCTATGAAAACAAGTTGTAACTCAGAAACTAGGCAAAGCAGGAGACAAAATTAAATGCCAGTAGATTGTGAGAACATATAGCTTTCATTTTCCACAACAGTTGTCACGATTTCAGGTTTATACAAACCTGTAAACAAGATAATTTACCCCCTGAAATGTAGATGAATTCTGCATCGGCCCTCATATCTATTCCTCATATGACGTCACAGAGACGCCCCGCTCTGATTGGTTGAAATTTAGTTCGCGGGTGAGAATTGTGCACTGTTGTCCAAAAGGTCGATTTAAGTTAATTAAAGACTGAAGTGAGTAGATTTAATGACGGGGTTTCATTTATAGCGATCCCAGTTAGTGATTTATGTATTTGTACCCCCCTAGAGTATATGTGATCTTTAAAGGGGCATTCCAGTGTCTGTGCATCCAGTCTTGGATTAGACAGTGCAATTAGAGCCCTGTGTGAAATAGAGACACTGTCCCAGGGAAATTTAGGCTGGGATATTACTAATAAAGTTGGCCAAGAAAAATGGCACTGAGACCTTTTTCAACCTATTTTAAAGCTAAAACAATTTGTTCAACCATAATCTTGTCCTATGACAGCATTAAACTTGTAACACCAGTGGTATTAGTACTGAAACATTTAGCAATTTTGTAAATTCTTCCACCTTACACAAGATTGTGCCTTGGAGTGAAAGACTGGCAACTCATTTAAATAATGTAAAAGTGGTGGAAGCCTATTTTCACACAAGAATACAAGAAACTGTGGAAAAGGCAGAATTTGTTTATCTTAAAATATGAGTTTCAGCTTTACGTCTTCAGTTATCTAGGGGCATATGTGCCAAGAAACGCTTGATCTGGACGTGAGTTAACTGGAGTGTATATGTTGAGGACACCCCCCACCTGGTTCTCATGGCAGGGTCCCTGGCAGTACTCAGTCAAGCTGCTCAGTGCCTGGTTGATCAGGACCACGTTGTTTTCGTTGATGTAGAGGCCAAGGAGGCCGAGGCCACCGGTGGTGCTGCCGCAGATACAGTCGAGGAACTGCAGTGTCTCACACACCAGGTTGTAGGTCGATTTGATGTTGTGCTGGAAGCGCAGGTAGTTCTACAACACAAGGAGGTAGCTTGGTCACCACATGCACCTACCAATTAACATGATGACATATTTCTCAGTCATAACTTGCAAGTGTTGGATTGTCTCACCTGTATGTGTTTGTTGCAAAGTCTCACCTGTATGGGTTTGTTGCAATGTCTCAACTGTATGTGTTTGCTGTAATGTCTCACCTGTATGTGTTTGCTGTAATGTCTCACCTGTATGTGTTTGCTGTAATGTCTCACCTGTATGTTTGTTGTAATGTCTCACCTGTATGTGTTTGCTGTAATGTCTCACCTGTATGTGTTTGCGGTAATGTCTCACCTGTATGTGTTTGCTGTAATGTCTCGCCTGTATGTGTTTGTTGCAATGTCTCACCTGTATGCGTTTGTTGCAATGTCTCACCTGTATGTGTTTGTTGTAAAGTCTAACCTGTATGTGTTTGTTGCAGTGTCTCACATGTATGTGTTTGCTGTAATGTCTCACCTGTATGTGTTTCTTGCAATGTCTCACCTGTATGCGTTTGTTGCAATGTCTCACCTGTATGTGTTTGTTGTAAAGTCTACCCTGTATGTGTTGGTTGTAATGTCTCACCTGTATGTGTTTGCTGTAATGTCTCACCTGTATGTTTTCTGTGGCAATGTCTCAATTGTATGCGTTTGTTGCAATGTCTCACCTGTATGTGTTTGCTGTAATGTTTCACCAGTATATGTTTGTTGTAATGTCTCACCTGTATGTGTTTGCTGTAATGTCTCACCCGTATGTTTTCTGTGGCAATGCCTCAATTGTATGTGTTTGTTGCAATGTCTCACCTGTATGTGTTTGTTGTAATGTCTCACCTGTATGAGTTTGTTGCAATGTCTCACGTGTATGTGTTTGCTGATATGTCTTACCTGTAGGTTTTCTGTTGCAATGTCTCAATTGTATATGTGCTGGTTGTAACGTCTCTTTCACAATATCTCACCTGAAGTTCTCTGTCACAATATCTCACCTGAAGTTCTCTGTCACAATATCTCACCTGAAGTTCTCTGTTACAATATCTCACCTGAAGTTCTCTGTCACAATATCTCACCTGAAGTTCTCTGTCACAATATCTCACCTGAAGTTCTCTATTGTGGTTCTCACACAGCAGCTGCAAGAACCTCAGTATTGGCTGCATCGTCTTGACCTGTGGTGACATCTTCTTCTCATCCTTGTCCTTGGAGACTTTCTCTGCGTCGTCATGGTGAATGGTCCGGGTCTCCTCTGCCCCATCATGGTCGGATCGGACCCCGTGGAGTTGTCGGACGGAAGACAGAGCATGGTTGGTCTGCTTGGCAGCATCATCCAACTCATGCCGGAAGACATCGTTCACCGAAGTCTCGTGTGACTTGCCTGGACAGAGATACAGAGTTACAGCCCCTGACTGACAGTCTGATGCTCTCTATCGTCAAACACTTTCAAATCATTCCTGCAGCTTAACATAAACACACCAGAAGGACATTTGCATCTTACCAGGAACATTCCTGCCTAGGAATCATTACAAATTCTTGTTTAAGCATTTACATTGACAACAGTAGTTTACTGAACAATAGGTCATAATTCTGATACAGTATATACCAAAGAATAATAGGCTTGTGAAAAAAGATTTGTGAATATGAAAGCTTGTATCATTAGTTGCGCAGTGCTAGACACCTTTCTCCATGATGATGTTACGTATCACCTACATGAAAGTCTTTGAGTGATTATAAAGATACTGTTGTATTCAGGCACTTAATTACTAGTATCTGGACGCTGCGCCAGAAAGCTAATGAAGCATTAAGACGATCATAACTCCCTTTAACATAGACTTAGGATGTCATAGCACTATGACAGCTTTGTGGAACAGGGACAATATGTCCAGGCTGTCATCACCAAACTGAAACACTGTGCATAATCTAACAACACACCCTAACACAGATAGGTCATAACACTATCAGTACACCTGACTAAACCAAGGTTACTTCCATGAGTTATGAAGAGTTGTAAACAACAGCATCTACTTCAGCTGTAACTGACAAGATACAGCTGTATCTGCAGTATCTGATACAAGCTTGATCCATCTGTGTATAAAAATCAATAACTACCACTGTAGATCCTGTATTAAATGTATTACATGCAGTATATGTTACAAGTGGACAGTTGAGGGTCAGTAATAGATTTATAGCCACTCCGTTTCAGCCAATCAGAGCAGCTCGTTAATTAGGCCCATTATGTGTGGCAGGTCTTGATTAGCACAGTACAATGTTAAGAGTTGAGTAACTTCAGCTGAGATAATGTTAAAATATTAATAATTAATAGATTAGAGTGATGCAGACTGGTTACTGGACATGTTCATCATGACCTGAACTACACTGGCAAACATCTGACGTTATAGATGACCTCTACGGTATATATGGACCTGTCTCGAGATTTAGTTATCGGCCAAATGATTCTTTCATATTACTTATCGGTCATGGCATGACAGTATATATATAGTAACTTGATAGAATAGGGTAATCCTTAACTTGTGTCGAATAGTGTATGATTACAAGTCCCAAAGAGAACCAAGACAGGATATCAAGATGGAAGGTAAAGAATAAACATCCAATCACCAAAACATCCAAAAGGAAAAGTCATTCCACTGTCTGAAAGTCGAACTTGGTCATAAAATGATGATGAGAGTTTTGTATACAATTATTCATCTAAGATATACAAGAGGGTGCATGATAATATTACATACAGTAAGCACTGTACTGTAACTTCCTGTTTCTTTCAAATGAATATACTGATGGTCATTAAGAATGGAGCAAAACTTTGATATTGATATATTCAGTCATAATTTCCCATGAGATAAAAAGTGTTTACTGCATAAATATTTACTCTACCTCAGCAAAGATATAACAGAAGTTAATTGTACAACTATATACTCTACTTTAGCCAAGTGATAACATGGTGTTAACTGTATATCCATAAATTCTACTTGAGCCAGGGGAAAACAGGAGTTAATTGTTCACCTATATACTGTAATTTAGAAATGTAATAAGGAGTTGGCTGTACACCTACATACTCTACTTTAAAAATGTAATGAGTTAACTGTACAACTATATATATATATTTTAAATATGTATATACCCTACTTTAGCCATGAGATAACAGGAGTTAACTGTACACTTACATACTCTACTTTAGCCATGAGATAACAGGAGTTAACTGTACACCTACATACTCTACTTTAGCGATGAGATAACAGGAGTTAACTGTACACCTACATACTCTACTTTAGCGATGAGATAACAGGAGTTAACTGTACACCTACATACTCTACTTTAGCCATGAGATAACAGGAGTTAACTGTACTCCCACATACTCTACTTTAGCCATGAGATAACAAGAGTTAACTGTACACCTACATACTCTACTTTAGCGATGAGATAACAAGAGTTAACTGTACACCTACATACTCTACTTTAGCGATGAAATAACAAGAGTTAACTGTACTCCCACATACTCTACTTTAGCCATGAGATAACAGGAGTTAACTGTACTCCCACATACTCTACTTTAGCCATGAGATAACAGGAGTTAACTGTACACCTACATACTCTACTTTAGCGATGAGATAACAGGAGTTAACTGTACACCTACATACTCTACTTTAGCGATGAGATAACAGGAGTTAACTGTACTCCCACATACTCTACTTTAGCGATGAGATAACAAGAGTTAACTGTACACCTACATACTCTACTTTAGCCATGAGATAACTGGAGTTAACTGTACACCTACATACCCTACTTTAGCCATGAGATAACAGGAGTTAACTGTACACCTACATACTCTACTTTAGCCATGAGATAACAGGAGTTAACTGTACTCCCACATACTCTACTTTAGCCATGAGATAACAAGAGTTAACTGAACACCTACATACTCTACTTTAGCCATGAGATAACAAGAGTTAACTGTACACCTACATACTCTACTTTAGCCATGAGATAACAGGAGTTAACTGTACTCCCACATACTCTACTTTAGCCATGAGATAACAAGAGTTAACTGTACACCTACATACTCTACTTTAGCCATGAGATAACAAGAGTTAACTGTACACCTACATACTCTACTTTAGCGATGAGATAACAGGAGTTAACTGTACACCTACATACTCTACTTTAGCGATGAGATAACAGGAGTTAACTGTACACCTACATACTCTACTTTAGCCATGAGATAACAGGAGTTAACTGTACTCCCACATACTCTACTTTAGCCATGAGATAACAAGAGTTAACTGTACACCTACATACTCTACTTTAGCGATGAGATAACAAGAGTTAACTGTACACCTACATACTCTACTTTAGCGATGAAATAACAAGAGTTAACTGTACTCCCACATACTCTACTTTAGCCATGAGATAACAGGAGTTAACTGTACTCCCACATACTCTACTTTAGCCATGAGATAACAGGAGTTAACTGTACACCTACATACTCTACTTTAGCGATGAGATAACAGGAGTTAACTGTACACCTACATACTCTACTTTAGCGATGAGATAACAGGAGTTAACTGTACTCCCACATACTCTACTTTAGCCATGAGATAACAAGAGTTAACTGTACACCTACATACTCTACTTTAGCGATGAGATAACAAGAGTTAACTGTACACCTACATACTCTACTTTAGCCATGAGATAACAGGAGTTAACTGTACTCCCACATACTCTACTTTAGCCATGAGATAACAAGAGTTAACTGTACTCCCACATACTCTACTTTAGCCATGAGATAACAAGAGTTAACTGTACACCTACATACTCTACTTTAGCCATGAGATAACAAGAGTTAACTGTACATCTATATCCTCAACTTTAGCCATGAGATAACAGGAGTGTACAGTACATCTATATCCTTACTTTAGCCATGAGATAACAGGAGATAACTGTACACCTACATACTCTACTTTAGCCATGAGATAACATGAGTTAACTGTACTCCTACATACTCTACTTTGAGATTCTTGAGAGGCATTTAGAAGTTGATGGATATATAAGACGAGTATATGGATGACAACTTCTTTATTGTATGACACTTCATATTACCTGAAGAAGGGGCAAGAAGTACCCCAGAAACATCGTGTTATACAATAAAGAAGTTGTCATCCATATACTCGTCTTATATACTCTACTGTAGCCATGAGATAACAGGAGTTTACAGTACATCTAGATACCTCAATGCTGCCCCAAGATAATAAATGAGACCCAAGACATCACACGTGCAAGTTAAATATGCCATTGTTTTCTACATTGGCGATGCATGAGAAAAATGATATCGTGATAAAAACCTGAAAGATAAAAATCTGCCCATAGTGGTAAAACAGAGAAGCCCCTGCTGCAGCAGAGAGTGAGTCTATTAGTAGTCTATGTAGCCATTGAGTCAAGCTAGTGGGACAACTAGAAGGTGCAAGTCTAGGGTGGACTCTCACCAACCACACACACTCTACCGGGACCATACTGACTACACCAAGGGGAATGTGATATTCTGATCACGTTACTGTCTGAAATCAACCTGGAGAGTGTATTCCTGGACATTTCACGATGTAGTCATAGCAAATGAGCTTCCACATTGCCAACACTTTCTGACAATTCTTGTAACTCTAATGTTTTAACATACCGATTAGATAAAATCATCACCATCTACCTGCCTGTGAGGATGATGTTGTCAGGACTGGCAGTTTTATCCCCAAAATGTCAGGATGTTACATAAAACTATTCCAAAGAATTTAAAATAACAAGAAAATTGTATTGAATTACATGAACAGTTACAGTCTAGGACACCTTCAGGCAAACTGACACTATAGTCCGTTTGGCTCAAAAGGGGACCGATGAATTGAAATCTAACTCGATAACTAATAAACATAAAATACTCAATGAAACACTGATCATAATCAAAACCTCAGACCAACTCTGTGAGATTTTTGCAGAATTTATGTTGTTTAACAAACTATCATTAAAATATCGACACAATTCACTATTTGTTACGAGGGACGAGTGCAGAGAAAGGGACAGCCAGGTGCGCGAGAAAGGATGGAGATGGCACAGCACAAGTTAATGAATCAATAACGTTGTCGGCACTTGTGCACATGCTTCTCTAACACCTGGCTGTCCCTTTCTCTGCACTCCTTCCTCGTAACAAATGGTGAACTGTGTCAAAATTTTAATGATAGTTTGTTAAACAACTTTTTTTAATTTTAGAACATAAATTCTGCAAACAAATCACAGAGTTGGTCTGATGTTTTGATTATGATCAGTGTTTCATTGAGTATTATATGTTTATTAGTTTTTGGGTTAGATTGCAATTCATCGGTCCGCTTTTTGAGCCAAACGGACTATAGCAAGTTGATTATTCTGACATATCCAGGCACATTCTATACTTAGATGCCAATTTGAATTAGATAATGACTTGTGACAAATAGAGTCAGCTTTGTTTCCAGACAATGCTTGAAAACTTATTGTGCCTCCGGTTTTAGACTCACACAAATTTGTCTCATGGGCATGCTTGATGTCTCAAAAAGCTAACAAATAAAACTTCAGAAAAGAAATTTAGTCAGTAAGAAATTCCCAGCTGCCGTCAACCAATTGGTCAGTGAGGACGGTGAGTGTAGAGTGTGTGTGGTCAGAAGGGCAGGGTAGTCCCAGGCTAGAGTGTGGGTATCAGGAAGAAGCTTACCTCCACTCAGACTCATTTGTTCATAATGTTCGAGTGTGAGTGTCATCATGTAGCCATCTGGGGAATAAGTACACTACCATCACATGTGCTCCTTACAAGGGCCACTACCATCAACATGTGCTCCTTACAAGGGTCAATACCATTACATGTGCTCCTTACAAGGGCCACTACCATCACATGTGCTCCTTACAAGGGCCACTACCATCACATGTGCTCCTTACAAGGGCCACTACCATCACATGTGCTCTTTACAAGGGCCACTACCATCAACACGTGCTCCTTACAAGGGCCACTACCATCACATGTGCTCCTTACACTGGTCACTACCATCAACATGTGCTCCTTACAAGGGCCACTACCATCACATGTGCTTCTTACAAGGGCCACTACCATCAACATGTGCTCCTTACAAGGGCCACTGCCATCACATGTGTTCCTTACACTGGCCACTACCATCTCATGTGCTCCTTACAAGGGCCACTACCATCACATGTGATCCTTACACTGGCCACTACCATCTCATGTGCTCCTTACAAGGGCCACTACCATCAACATGTGCTCCTTACAAGGGCCACTACCATCACATGTGCTCCTTACAAGGGCCACTACCATCACATGTGCTCCTTACAAGGGCCAATACCATCACATGTGCTCCTTACAAGGGTCACTACCATTACATGTGCTCCTTACAAGGGCCACTACCATCACATGTGCTCCTTACAAGGGCCACTACCATCACATGTGCTCTTTACAAGGGCCACTACCATCAACACGTGCTCCTTACAAGGGCCACTGCCATCACATGTGTTCCTTACACTGGCCACTACCATCTCATGTGCTCCTTACAAGGGCCACTACCATCAACATGTGCTCCTTACAAGGGTCACTACCATCAACATGTGCTCCTTAAAAGGGCCACTACCATCACATGTGCTCCTTACAAGGGCCAATACCATCAACATGTGCTCCTTACTGGGGCCACTACCATCACATAAGCTCCTTACAAGGGCCACTCCCATCATATGTGCTCCTTACAAGGGCCACTACCATCACATAAACTCCTTACAAGGGCCACTACCATCACATGTGCTCCTTACAAGGGCCAATACCATCACATGTGCTCCTTACAAGGGCCACTACCATCACATGTGCTCCTTACATGGGGCACTACCATTACATGTGCTCCTTACAATGGCCACTACCATCACATGTGTTTCTTACAAGGGCCACTACCATCACTAGTGTTTCTTACAAGGGCCACTACCATCACATGTGCTCCTTACAAGGGCCACTACCATCACATGTGCTCCCCCCACACGGGCCACTACCATTACATGTGCTCCTTACAAGGGCCACTACCATCACATGTGCTCCTTACAAGGGCCACTACCATCACATGTGCTCCTTACAAGGGCCACTACCATCACATGTGTTTCTTACAAGGGCTACTACCATAACATGTGCTCCTTACAAGGGCTACTACCATAACATGTGCTCCTTACAAGGGCCACTACCATTACATGTGCTCCTTACAAGGGCTACTACCATCAAACATGGGCTACCTGACCAACAGTTGGTCAGGTACATAATCAGGCTTACTGAGTCAGCAATTTCAGCCACAACACAGCGGGCAGTTATGAAAGTGCAGCCTCACCTAGGCACTGCCACCATTTCACAGATGTAGGGGAGATAACTCAGTTATGCTGTGTACATGGGAACAATGTTTTCCCTTGGCACGATGGAGGAGGGAAAGACATGAGTGGGGGAGGTGCACTTTGGGCACCATCTCTTCTCTTGACAAGATGGGGGATGGGAACACATAGATAGGGACACAACACATTGGTTTGGAAGGAATTGGGTTTTCCCTGAAATATGTGATATGACTAACAGTTAGAAAACAAATTTCTTTGGACTAGCAGATACTTTCACCTTTTTAAGCCTGTAATTGTTATAAAACCACTGGAGAATATTTCTCAATCACCCATTCACTGTTATTTGTCCATAGCCCAACAATCTTTTAACAATATATATATATGTTCCCACCTCAATATTTTTACAAAAGTATACAATATCGGCACTTATCATCACAAGAAGTACTGGAGACACTTCGAAATACATAATAAGATGATGCATATAGATTGTAAGCATTTTCTTTTCTCTGTAACAAGAACAATTCATCTAACAGTGGGGGAGTTGGGAGTTTAACATGGAGGAAAAAGTGATGCAGGTATAAAGACATTTGGACAAATACAATATGCTTTACATCAAGTATCATTTGTGCAAAGCCAGAACAACAGATCCTTAAAGCTGAGCCCCATATTGGCTCTGTGTTTGAATGGGTCCCCTGCAACCAATATGCTGCTGTTTGTCCAGGACCTGGTTGACTACATGTCATTATACACCAACAGAGTGGACTGACTAATTCCAGGCTTCATTCCTGGACAGGTCCACATTCAACTAAAGTCCCCGGTCATATACCTGGCATGTTGCTCAGTGCGCACATTACAGAGACAACAAAATATCAACCACCTCCCCTTGTAAAACTACAACAGACGTAGACTGCAGAGAGATTCGGCTTTAACTACTGGACCAACTGAGCTACTTGCTGTAACACTCGAGTGGGAGTTGGGTTTAAGGCCAAAAACAAAATTATAGTAACGCCCTAATGTGATCGCTTTGTCTAGGAAGACACACTAAAGTGGCTCATGTTTTAGATGTTTCACATTTGTGAAACCCATGAAAATACATGTGGTGATATCCATCCAAGGATCATACTGAGATGGAATGTAGGCTACAAACTCATGACTGGACAGCTAAGGGATGTAACTCTACATAGAGAGCTGGGTGGGTTATGCTAACCACTAAAACATTATCTACGTTACCGGTAACACTGTAGGGATTAGAGTCTCGCTGTCTACATGGCCTGACACTAGGGAGTGAATAGGGTGGCTGGACAGGACAAGTGTGGGCTCAATTGGTCTGGGTTCTATTCTCATTACTGAAAATGAATCTAGACATTCTTCTACAACATACACATGCAACATGTCATCTATTCTACCTCAACAACAAATGTACTTTATAATAACATAAAGATTCATGCAATGAACATATACCATCAGTCATTTCATGTAACTTTAATCTATCTATAGAACTCATTTAAGCAGCTTAAAAACACACAAATAACATACAATTGAGCATGTGTTCACATTATCTAAAACATATCAACACATACAGTTGACAATAAAGCCAGACCTTTATGCCGCAGATCACCAATATATATACCAGTCCAGAGTTGGAAGAGGTGATAAACATGTTATACCATAGTGTTTGAGTTATCAATAGCAAATTCCTTCTTCATCCCGAGGGTGACATAACACAGAGTAAGTTGCAATGGAAAAGAATGTGCGACACACAAAATATCAAGTCACAGTGTCAGGCTCTCTGCTCCGAGCCTTACATGGCTGCAGGATGTGCCCAGACAAATCAATGATCTACACAACAGAAAGGTTGACCTCATAGAGTAACATCCTACTAAAACTGACTACACATACACAAATAGATCACACTGACATACATGACACCATGCATAGTGAACCATGCGGACATTCTGGACACCCCGGATAAATATATATTACCTTTCCCACCTTTTCCCTGTCCTTTCTCTCCCCCGAAGAGGTTCCTGTCTGTGTCGCCTGTGTTGACGGTGACAGTGTTCCGGATCTCCTGTTCCGCCTCCTTCATACGGTCATAGAACACCTTGAAGAACTTCTCGGTGTTCTTGTCTGTCCGTAATCGATTCATGAGTGAGCGCTGCAATACCAGGGTGAGTGAGTGAGTAGGTTTTAACACAGCTCATCAGTATTTCAGTGAGGACAGATGGTTTGAGTGAGTGAGTATGGATTTATGCCTCTTTTAGCAATATTCCAGTAATATCACAGCATGGGACACCAGAAATGGGCTTCACACATTGTACCTGTGTGGAGAATCGAACCAAAGGTCTTCAGCGTGACGAGCCAACGCTTTAACCAATCGGCTACCCCACCGCCCCCAGATGGCTTGAAGGAAAGCTAGCTAGACGTTGAGCCTGAGCATGGGTATGGTGGTGGTGACAGTAATACAGGCACAATATCAGGGTGGACATGTGGCATGAACTCTAAGTAACTGTCGAAGGACTGGAGAAACAACCAGTGGTCTCCTCCTGCACCTGTACTCATACATGATCATGGTATGCATGTACTGGACTAATCTCACCATTCAAGTTGCATCTAAGATGTTCAGAAACTATTAAAATCCATGTTGACAGGCATCCTACATATGACAGCCCACCTGTATGACGGCCTACCTGTATGATGGCCTACCTGCATGATGACCTACCTGGATGATGGCTTACCTGTATGATGGCCTACTTGTATGACAGCCTACCTGTATGATGGGCTACCTGTATGACAGCCTACCTGTATGACAGCCTACATGTATGATGGCCTACTTGTATGACAGCCTACCTGTATGATGGGCTACCTGTATGACAGCCTACATGTATGATGGCCTACTTGTATGACAGCCTACCTGTATGACAGCCTACCTGTATGATGGCCTACCTGTATGATGTCCTACCTGCATGATGACCAACCTGTATGATGGCCTACTTGTATGACAGTCTACCTGTATGATGGCCTACTTGTATGACAGCCTACCTGTATGATGGCCTACCTGTATGACGGCCTACCTGTATGACAGCCTACATGTATGACAGCCTACTTGTATGACAGCCTACCTGTATGATGGCCTACCTGTATGATGGCCTACCTGCATGATGACCTACCTGTATGATGACCAACCTGTATGATGGCCTACTTGTATGACAGTCTACCTGTATGATGGCCTACTTGTATGACAGCCTACCTGTATGATGGCCTACCTGTATGACGGCTTACCTGTATGACAATGTTCCCTCCCTCCAGGAGAGCTATGCCAAGCTCCACTGTCTCCAGGAAGATCCTGTTGCTGGTGTTCCGGATGATGATATCCACAACCAGGTCGGACGCACCTTCACGGTCCAGGTGGCACTGTACACAACAAGGGAGATAAATGATCATACACACTGTGGACCTTCAGGGGATGTAAAAACCCATGTTACCTCTTCACCTCACATGTGGTCGTTCAATGCATGGATGAGCCGGTACACCTACAGAATACCGGATACCTATCAGCCATATTGTTTAGTGTCACGTCAGCATATCCCTAAACCTTACCCTAAACCTAAGTAAACTCGCGTGCTTTCAAAGATGGGGAAGGTATCCGGTATTCTGTAATCTTACCGATGAGCCTGGCATACCACACAGTTTCACCCATATACTTGACGCGGCTGTGCTACACATAGATGACACCTCCAACTGAGGTGAAGTGAAATAACAATGTGGCTAGCATCACAGATTATATAACAACTCCAAATGTGAAAATACACAGAAAAAGTGTGGTGCTTCACTTGTTGGCTGTATAACCCCACACTCAAGCAATATCCCAGCTATATGATGTAATTAAAGCAGTCTTGACCATACAATCCAGTGATAGATATCATGGCAATGATCCACACCAATGGGGTGTTATGACATGCAATCGGTCTAGTTTCCTGGCCTGACTACCCAAGCCTGACATGCTAGTGCACAGAGCCTGGGGTTCAACCTATAGAGATCTCTTCTGTGTAACTTACTTTGGTAGTTGTAATAAATGAGCCTTTTCAGGGGATGGTCACCAATTTGGTGTGGCACACATGAAAGGGCACCATATGCTGGAGTTCTGAACAAACCTTGACTGATATCGTTGCTCAACTAAGGATTATTAGTCACCAGAGGTCGTGCAGTGACATCTCGTTTCAAATAAAGATTGTTACTTACCTGTACGTCGTGTAGCGACATCTCTGCTCTGCTGAGGATGACAGACCCAGGGTTGACGGCTTGTCTTCCACCAATGGAGTTTCCCATGACACTGTCACGGCGGTTCCGTGGGTGTGCCCGACCATAGTACCGGGTCAACAGACTCTGACGAAGGGCCTCACCCTGAATAATAACATCCATATTCTTTGAACAGGATCTTCATGAAGAACGAAGATAATTTTATGGATGTACAACTTCTTTATTCATGGTTACATACAGTCAACTTTCCTTTAATTGTTACACATTATATCTTTCTGAGAAGCATTGTACTGGAGAGCTACTTCATGTCATGGAGAATATTCACCTCAATGCAAAACGAAACGAGGAAAGTTTCCTTATGACGTAGATCTTCTTAAGTTCTAAAGGCCGCTCAAAGGAGTCAGAATATATCGCCTGAGGCGATCAATTCATTGCACAAAAAAGTGTGCACCAGCTGCACATAAAACTGATGATCCTGAACAATAACAAATAGTTAACATCTGTCACACTCACCTGCCTCTACTAAAAGTTTTCATCAATATTTACAAGTAGCAAAAAACTGGAGCAATTTCCCAGTTAGAAACTATAAAATACTACGGCATAAGTGTAAGTGCCAAATAAAATGAAAAGTTTAACATGCTTTTTTTCTTTACTTGTTCTGCAGTTTAGTCAGCCTACAAGCAGCTGTAGCTGGTCAAGTGTGAACCAGTCAGGTGAGTGAGTGAGTGAGTGAGCTGTGGTCAACACTGATGTGAAACTGTTTCAGCTACATCAGTGGGTCAGCTTAGTGGAAGTAGCGCCAGGTCACATGGTGTCAATGATTTCCAGTCTGTGAAACCCACATCATAATCAGCGTAGAATTCGAACTACTGACTGACGGACCCGACAGGTAAGGGAGGTAATTCAGCAGAGCAAGTTAGGCTACTGGGCCTCATCAAGTAGTCAAAAGCAAATTTTTAGCTGTTAATTATGGCAAAGTTTGTTAAACTGAATTAAAAAAATCAATAAAACAAAGCAAGCAAATTCACTTTCCTTAAGTCCTGCCCCTGCTTGAACCCTACTGTCATGATGTAGACAGAGTACAGGAGACAACTTCCTCATTACGTCGCTACTCACAGCAGGGCGTTAATGTTCATCCAGCCTCACTGTTTCTTAGGGGACCAGTTCAAAACTTTAATGTAGGATAAAAAAATAATTCCCAAAGATTCAACTCATATCCCCCAACCTTCAAAACACTTCTGAAAATGTTGTATTCCTTGCAATATTGAAAAAAAAAACACTGTCAAGGAACAATGACTGACTGACTCCTAACGTGTATGGCTGGTCAATGCTACTGTGTTACAGCTTCCATTTCCTGTGGAGGGAGCTTATGGCGACATTTACCTGATCATTCTCTCAACTTCCCATGATAATGATGTTGGGGTAAAATTAGGATCAGTGAAATAGGTTATAGGTTATAGGTTACTGTATGAAACATGGAAAATCGGAAAGTTGATTTTGAGAAATGGAAAACTTGGAGGGCCATTAATGCCACCTCTCACCCCTGAACAGACACAGACAGACACGAAAACACAGACAGACAGACAGAGACACACACGCACACACACACAAACCCACCAAACTTAGGAATGCAGATTTTTAATGGACATGAAACCTTTGAACTGGTCAGTAAAACTATTTCAGTTATATCAGAGGACATCAACTGAATGTAAAACAAATTCTTTTTCGCAGGTCAAAGACATCCCCACTTTGGTGCAACCAGCAGCACGATATGGTTCTTCATATCAACAGTGAATTTTGGTAGGGACAGAATGAGGAAGTTGTTGTTCCTAGACAGACTGATACAGAGCTCCCTGCTCTATACTCCTGATATCCTTACATGAACATAAACCACCACTGTCAACAACTGACAGATTACAACAAGAAGACACATCACAACACTGACTGTTAAATCACATTGAAAGTTGAGTAGAAATAAAGATCACAACATCAACTACCACACTGGTTAAGCAGTTCTCAGATACCACCTGGATCCTTTGCTCGGATTTTTATCTCTTAAACTCTTATTCCATTAGGATATTATGATTAGCCTGAGATCATTTTCTCTGTCAATTTTCAATTTTGTTTTGATGATATATTCAGCAGTATTTTTTTCAAACGAAAAGTGAGTGTGTTAATCTCTAGAGTAGATGTTATTCACACTGCATGCGGTCTGATTGCACCACACACAGTGGATCTGGAGGGAACTAAACCTGATGGCTCTGTCCGCTAGACCAACCTTCTGCTCCATCAACATTTTAACATCAAGTATTTGTAAGCTGTGTGCAGTAAACTGTTTTGGTGAATTGTATGTGGTAAGACTGTGAATCAAGTTATGAGTGAATCAGCTGGTAACTGAATTACCTTAGAAGTAAATCATCCCATGAGGGAAGAGTTTCACGTGATTTGTTTTACAGGTGAAGTGTGCTATGAGTGAATTGTATTACCAGTGAATTGGGTTATAAGTGAACTCGTTTACAAGTGAACTATCATATGAATGAATGGTCTTATGAGTGAGTTGCCTTTCAAATGAATTGTCTTATGATTGAATTGGCTTACAATTGAATTGTCTTATGAATGAATTATCTAATCAGGGAATTGTTTTACAATGGATTGTCTTAATGTTGAATTGGCTTACAATTGAATTATCTTATAATTGAATTGGCTTACAATTGAATTGTCTTAAGAATGAATTATCTAATCAGGGAATTGTTTTACAATGAATTGTCTTATGGTTGAATTGGCTTACAATTGAATTATCTTATGAATGAGACAAAATTGGGACTGAATCAAGCACTGAACTCCATGCAGGTTACAACGAACTACAAATCTGAAACAATCTGAAACAAGGACTACACTCTAGATGAACCAACGGGCCAGAGGATCGCTAGAAAGGAGTCACAACACCCGTCTATTGTGCCACCACAACATGGTCGCCTTCTTACCCTCCGATGGTCGTCCAACTCAGATTTGTTCATTGTCTTCAAGTCCACCTTGTTGCACAAGTACAAATAGCACATGAAAATCTAGCTTCAGGTAGGGTTCATGCTTTCAAACATTGTGAAATAAACTGTTTTGCTGAGTGTCTTTCTGTATCTGTAATACATATTGTTGTTCTAAATAACTAATAATACGCCAAATGCCAAATAATGCTTTGTTTACACTGAAACAAGTTAAAGACCTGTTTCCATTCACAAATGTAATTACAGGAGTAAGAATACATAAGCATGAGGACACTGTGTAAAATCTTAATGTTTTACATCATGTAAGATGAGTTATGTCCATGTACATTCACACTCCCTCATCGGAAACTCTTGACGAAGTGAAAATGTTATGCAACAGTACATCAAGCCAGTACCAGTAGGCATCGCCTCGATATAACAAACTATGTGAATCTAATACATGACCTTATTTGCATATTTATCACATCTTGACTTTAAATTTATCTGATTGGTTTATCCAATAATAACACTACCAGAATCACTTTGTAAACCCATTAAGGAATATTCTTAAAGATTATATTTTAATAATTCCTCTAATCTGTGAATGTACAAGAATCCTCTCCCTTGTACACAGCAGTCTAGATATGTGGAGCCAACATGGCTGACTACTATTCAATATTATGTGGCCATCAAGTCCACTATAACACTATGTTACTGTGAAGTCCTAAACTGTTTACAAAGACAAACATGGCTTACTTTCTGGTGCCTCGTGAACCTGAATATGAGAAACTGACATTAGCCTCTTACTGATGGTTCTACTGACCTTGACCTTCACCCACATATCGGTGGACAATAATGTGTGTGCCAACAAGACAAACAATCATGAAGTGACAGTAATAATAAATTCATTGACAGTGTTCAGTGAGATGTTTGTTGCCCAACGCAATACAAACTAGCCATTGTAGTGAAATTCCATAGCATAAGGATATCAAAATAAGTGTAACATTCTTGTTCTGTGAAATTACAGTTGTGAAAAAATTAACTAAATATTGTGATGTAACACAAAACAGATATGGTGAAGCTAGCTCAGCCATTGCTGTCAATTCTGAAACACCTAATTGCTAGTGAGCTCAAGCAATACTCATTCCCAGAGACAGAGTCCCCAGACACTGTCCTGATATGAGGTGACGTGAATCTGCTGTGGCTGTACTGACCTTGTCTCCGTACTCGATGTCGATGGTCATCATCTCCTTGAGAGTCTGCAGCACCTTGATGCAAAGCTTCTCCTCCTTCTCCTCCAGCAACTTCTCCGTGTGCGTGATCAGCCTGAAACACACCAGCAGGGGGCACTGTCATTCACTGATAGAGTATTTAACACAGGCATCTTCAAGCAGATGCAAGCTGCTGGGATCCTTTTCTGACCTAGAATCACAATGGACAAATTAGCATGAAGGGCTGGAAGAGTAATGCGGTCTTGACACCCCTTTGGCAAGGCAAGCATGCCACACATGGCAACTAATCTACCCTGTTCCACAGGGAGACTAGCATGGGTACTCAAGACCTAGTCCACCCTGGAATCTCCACAGGGAGACAATCACGGGGTACTCAGGACCTATTTTGGCCTGAAATCATCAAAGGGAGACAATCATGAGGTACTAGGGACCTATTCTGTCCTGGAATCCCCACAGGAAGACAATCACGGGTACTCAGGACCTATTTTGGCCTGAAATCATCAAAGGGAGACAATCATGAGGTACTAGGGACCTAGTCCACCCTGGAATCTCCACAGGGAGACAATCACGGGGTACTCAGGACCTATTTTGGCCTGAAATCATCAAAGGGAGACAATCATGAGGTACTAGGGACCTATTCTGTCCTGGAATCCCCACAGGAAGACAATGTGCAGCCTACCTGGAGATGAAGCCCCCACTCTCGCATCTCTTCCTGGCCTCAGTGCCAGGGGGGAAAAGCTGCTCAGGGCGGTGTAGCACGTCAACAAGTACAGATAACTCTGCTTGAACCAAGGGACGTAACTGGTCTTCCAGGGTGGAAACTATCTCCTGAGAAAAGAGAAACACAACTGTTACCATGAAAACCACATTCAAAATGTTCATTTAATATCTATTATGAGTGAAAAGATAATGACTTACTGCATATGTCGTGTGTGTAGAGAAAACAAAAGAATATTTTTAAAAGCTATAGAGTGATGTTACTATCACAGAAATGCTTATGATTCTAGTTTGTTTCTGCACAATATGGACAAAAAGGCTTTGTTCACACATAGACAATGTAGCTTTACCTGAAGGCACTTCACAGTTCAGTACATACACTTATGAAAAATGACGAAACTTCTACCGCAAATCACAAAATTATTGCACCACCAAATTTACATAAGTGTAGAAACCTGCCCCGACATGCAACATGAGTTAAATATTGCTTTGAATTACCAGACAACACAATGATGTCTCTATGCTTTGAATTCATGGTTGTCAACTGTCCTAACTTCTAGATGATCTTGTATGACCAAAATGGCCACACTGACGTGGACCTTGGTCTATCTCATTATTTCTGCTTGTGAAGTGACTTGACCATTTAGTCTAATATGTCAAGATATGAGTGAGTGAGTGAGTTTAGTTCTACTCTGCACTCAGCAATATTCCAGCTATATGACGGCGGTCTGTAAATAATCGAGTCTGGACCAGCTAGTTCAGTGATCCACAGCATGTGCATCAGTCTACCCAACTGGGATACGATGACATGTGTCAACCAAGTCAGCGAGCCTGACCACCAGATCCCAATAGTCGCCTCTTACGACAAGCATGGGTTACTGAAGATCAATTCTTGGATCTTCAAGGTTCAAGATATAAAAGTGTCGCTTTATCAGTGCAAGCAGGAACAGTCACATTTTCAACATCAATGTCATGATCTACAGTGAGTGATGTTAATGAGGTAGAAGCAATCATCCACATCACTTCAAACCAGTATCCTTGATTATTCACAACACGTTCTACTGTCAGCAATCAGTACAAAACAAATGGTCAGTAGTTTTAATGCTGTAATTAGAGAATTCTGTAATTATTCATTAAATGGTCAGTAGACTACAACTGTAAGGAGGGACCTGGCACCATGTTCATGAGGCTCACACCTCAGGGGGAACAGACACTTACACACAAATCTTGGTCTAATGTAGATTCTGCTGTGGGTTGTTTTTTATGTTTTAGGTATATTCCAGCTATTGTGATTGCAAGGAAACTCAAAATGGGCTTCGCATAAAGTGAAACCCTGGCCTTCAGTGTGAAGAGGGCACCTTATCCATGCATTTACATAGCCATGTACATTAAGGTTGGACATGTACCACAATGATGAAACCAACAAACTGAAATACCAAGGAAAAACCTGCACAATGAGGAGATCCTGGCAGGTCCAAGGGACACAACTCTGCACAGCAACAGCTTAGACTTATGGGCGATCAATTCTCCCTAATATAAGTTGACGGCTTTAATAGTTACATTGTTTGAAACTAAGAGTTTTGACTGGTCAGCATTCTTCAGAGCTGAATAATCTATGCATGTATAACCTAAGCAAGGTGAGGCTCAAGTCTTTACTAGCAGTATCTAAAATGAATGTCTGAATCTACATGGAGCCTATAGATCTGGCTTGGAGGAAGATGTGTAGTAAGTGTTTGAATTAAAAGACAAAACAAAACGATAATGAGGCACTAAGTTTCTATCACACAGTTTGCAACCTTTGTAATAAGTAATAAACATTGTAGCGATAACCTCAATTATCTCCCAGCCTATATCAGCATTCTGAAACACAAACAGTGTATAACACATGAATTATCTGTATCGTCAGGGGCTAGATGGTCTATTGTACATGGACAAACAGTGTGTAACACATGAATCATCTGTATTGTCAGGGGCTAGATGGTCTATAGTACATGGACAAACAGTGTGTAACACATGAATTATCTCTATTGTCAGGGGCTAGATGGTCTATAGTACATGGACAAACAGTGTGTAACACATGAATCAGCTGTACTGTCAGGGGCTAGATGGTCTATAGTACATGGACAAACAGTGTATAATACATGTATCAGCTGTACTGTCAGAGGCTAGATGGTCTATAGTACATGGACAAACAGTGTGTAACACATGAATTATCTCTATTGTCAGGGGCTAGATGGTCTATAGTACATGGACAAACAGTGTGTAACACATGAATTATCTGTATTGTCAGGGGCTAGATTGGTTGATAGTATATGGACAAACAGTGTATAATACATGTATCAGCTGTACTGTCAGGGACTAGATGGTCTATAGTACAGTACATGGGCAAACAGTGTATAACACATGTATCAGCTGTACTGTCAGGGACTAGATGGTCTATAGTACATGGACAAACAGTGTGTAACACATGTATCAGCTGTACTGTCAGGGATGGTCTACAGATGGTCTGTACTGTCAGAGGCTAGATGGTCTATAGTACATAACAGACAAACAGTGTGTAACACATGTATCAGCTGTACTGTGTCAGGACTAGATGGTCTATAGTACATGGACAAACAGTGTGTAACACACAGCTGTGCTGTCAGGGACTAGATGGTCTATAGTACATGGACAAACAGTGTGTAACACATGTATCAGGGACTGTCAGGGATAGATGGTCTATAGTACATGGACAAACAGTGTATAACACATGTATCAGCTGTACTGTCAGGGGCTAGATGGTCTATAGTACATGGACAAACAGTGTATAACACATGTATCAGCTGTACTGTCAGGGACTAGATGGTCTATAGTACATGGACAAACAGTGTATAACACATGTATCAGTACTGTCAGGGACTAGATGGTCTATAGTACATGGACAAACAGTGTATAACACATGTATCAGCTGTACTGTCAGGGACTAGATGGTCTATAGTACATGGACAAACAGTGTGTAACACATGTATCAGCTGTACTGTCAGGGGCTAGATGGTCTATAGTACATGGACAAACAGTGTATAACACATGTATCAGCTGGACAAACTGTCAGGTATCAGCTGTACTGTCAGGGACTAGATGGTCTATAGTACATGGACAAACAGTGTATAACACATGTATCAGATGTACTGTCAGGGGCTAGATGGTCTATAGTACATGGACAAACAGTGCTGTAACACATGTATCATGGACAATGTATTGTCAGGGGCTAGATGGTCTATAGTACATGGACAAACAGTGTAACACATGTATCATTGTACTGTCAGGGACTAGATGGTCTATAGTACATGGACAAACAGTGTATAACACATGTATCACATGGACAAATGTCTCTCAGATTGTCAGGGACTAGATGGTCTATAGTCACATGGGACAAACAGTGTATAACACATGTATCAGCTGTACTGTCAGGGACTAGATGGTCTATAGTACATGGACAAACAGTGTATAACACATGTATCAGCTGTACTGTCAGGGACTAGATGGTCTATAGTACATGGACAAACAGTGTATAACACATGTATCAGCTGTACTGTCAGGACTAGATGGTCTATAGTACATAGGCAAACAGTGTATAACACATGTATTATGTAAAATTGTCAGGGACTAGATGGTCTATAGTACATAGACAAACAGTGTATAACACATGTATCAGCTGTATATACTGTCAGGGACTAGATGGTCTATAGTACATGGACAAACAGTGTATAACACATGTATCAGCTCTATTGTCAGGGACTAGATGGTCTATAGTACATGGACAAACAGTGTATAACACATGTATCAGCTGTACTGTCAGGGCCTAGATGGTCTATAGTACATGGACAAACAGTGTATAACACATGTATCAGCTGTACTGTCAGGGCCTAGATGGTCTATAGTACATGGACAAACAGTGTATAACACATGTATCAGCTGTACTGTCAAGGCCTAGATGGTCTATAGTACATGGAGAAACAGTGTATAACACATGTATCAGCTGTACTGTCAGAAGCTAGATCAACGAGGAACATAGATATATAGATATACAGTTTCTTTTCGTCTTTTCGTTAACACTGTTATCAAGCACCAGGAATTCTAGGAAGGTTTCACTACCCACCTGAAGGCCCTCGATTATGTTGCGAGAATCTCGGGACTGGTCGGTGTTGGACTCTCGGCGGCTTGCACGGGCACTGAGCCACTTGTTGCTGTGTTTCATCACAATGTTTGTCTTCTCAAACAGCGAGTTCACTTGACTGTCCAGGTCCACGGGGATCGCGATACTACGACTCTTGGCTGAAATATCAGAGGACAAATTTATTATTAGCAAACATCGATACCACATTACTTTGCAGAAATAACAGAAGGCAGCTTAATTACTGTGTCAAACACTGGGAGGTCACAACAGCGGAACTTTTCTCACTATGAAACACATGACTACATACATACTGCACTACCACTGTCAGTCAGCCAGACTAACTCACCTGTCTCGGAGAGAGTCTTGATGCAGTTTTCAACATGGTATCTCTGACTCCCACTCAGCCATTTGCAGTGTGACACACGGAACGCTCCCTGAAGCAACCGCACAAACACTGCCTGGTTCGTCTGTAACAGTAAACAGCGGCAGAGCCACATTGTATCCCTTTGTGCTAACATGTCAGAAAAAGTAACTGGTGATAGTGATAGGGTTTAGCCCTATACATGGAACATGGAGAATGTAATGAGGTAATTTGGACAGGTGAATATTGGGTAATTCAAACAGCATAATGTTGGTACCTGGACAGAGGTGCTCTGGTCAGAGAACTGGGAGCTGAAGAACATGGTGATGATACTCATGATGGTGATGCATACGCAACATACACTCATTGTATACAACATGGACTGGTTCGGCCTGTAACACCACAGTTCTAGTTCTCCAACCACGGTGTCAGCAGTGTCTTCCTGTCTGTGTGGTGGTGTTGTACACCTGCATACATACACTCATTGTATACAACATGGACCACCACAGTGTTTCCTGTCTGTGGTGGTGTTGTACACCTGCAACATACACTCATTATATACAACATGGACCACCACAGTGGTGTATTTCCTGTCTGTGGTGGTGTTGTACACCTGCAACATATACACTCTGTATACAACATGGACCACCACTGTGGTGGTGGTGTTGTACACCTGCAACATACACTCATTGTATACAACATGGACCACCACAGTGTTGTGATTTCCTGTCTGTGGTGGTGTTGTACACCTGCAACATACACTCATTATATACAACATGGACCACCACGGTGTCTGTGTGTTTCCTGTCTGTGGTGGTGTTGTACACCTGCAACATACACTCATTATATACAACATGGACCACCACATGGACCAACTGTCTGTGGTGGTTCTCTGTCTGTACACCTGCAACATACACTCATTATATACAACATGGACCTGTGGTGTTTCCTGTCTGTGGTGGCGTTGCACACCTGCAACATACACTCATTATATACAACATGGACCAACACGGTGTCCGCGTGTTTCCTGTCTGTGGTGGCGTTGCACACCTGCAATATACACTCATTATATACAACATGGACCAACACAGTGTCCACGTGTTTCCTGTCCGTGGTGGAGTTGCACACCTGCAATATACACTCATTATATACAACATGGACCAACACGGTGTCAAAGTGCTGCATACTTCTTGCAAGCTAATGAGCCGTCCGGGAACAGGAGCACTCGGAGTGTTTGGTCAAGAGACACAGAAACCTTTTCAACTTTGCTAAAACAACGTTATTCAAATCTATTGTCGACATAAGAGAGAGAGTACAAGACGTGAGATGGGATAAGTTTATAAATTTATAGCATTTTAAACTCCATCAGCACAAATGACAAAGAATGGGCTTATCACACTGCACCCTTGTGGTTGAAAAACACCTGGAAAAACACTCTAGTCACACCCCCAAGTCTCCCCAGGCGGCAGGGACACCCACGCTACTGATATGATGGTAGGTCTACTCACAATGCCCATGTCGATGAGGAAGTTCTCGAAGAGTGTCCACATGTGCTTGCTGTTGTACACTTCCTTCATCTCAACTTCTGTGTCAACGTAGCAGTGGTTCAGGAAGTTGATGTACGCTGTCTTCACCTACAACAGTCAGGAGGCCATCACACACTGTGTCAACAGGTATGTAATCAAATTGTACAGTAAGCCAAACCTAAACCCTAACCCTAACTGTAACACTAACCCAAAACTACAAAACAAACATGAGTCCATCACACAGATCGTCAATAGGTCAAAATATATCACCACAGTGTACTCTTACCCTAACACTTCAAGGCTGTCAGCTGTTGGTCAAATCAATGAGCTCTCTGATTACATCACCAATATTTCTTGCACCCTTACCTTATCAACTGTTACAATGTTACTAACACAGGCAACAGATATAGAACGGTTTTTATCTGCAAATTAACTCAATATATTGTTAATGGTCCCAGGATTTTTAACTTCAAGGAGTTTTGCAATGACTTAGCCAAAACATCTCTTGTTCCGAGTACTTCCGTCATTTCAGAATCAGTCAGCTTGTAGTTCATCTTACTCTATGTACATTTAACACGGGGTCCCTCAGGGGAGACAAGACAGAGTTACCTCTGGGATACAGTCGGGCTGTGTGACGACACGGACAATGTCGTCCAGCGGGAGGAGGGAGTGGCACTTGATTTCGGTGTAGACATTCTTGCCCTCAGTGCACAGAGCCAGCAGCTGGACCAGGTTGATGTGATACATCAGCTGACTGTTCTCGTCCGCTCGGTCGAGCTCAGACTGCATCAGGCGGATCAGTTCTTCAAACGAGGCTCGGTCATTGTAGAACAGGAGCACCTCCTCTCCCACATTCACAAGCTGCAACATTGTAGAACAGTGTAGAGAGTGTAGGATGCAAAGAGCGTAGAGAGCATGGTATGTAGACAGTGTAGAGAGTATGTAGAGAACTTGCAGGACACAGAGAGCGTAGGCAGTGTTGAGAAAGTACTTGCTGTAGAGAACTTGGACAGCACAGACAGTGCAGTAGCATGAGCGCAACATGAAATTTCTCACAAAATTCCGCCATTATCAGCATCATGATGGACCCACCTCCGCCATGACCATCTCCTGACAGCGTCGGATGTACTTGTTCTCCGCCTTCACACGATCGTCTGCAGGAACTTGATGTAATGTACGTGCGCCCGTGGGTCTCAATACATCGCACAAAGTGCTGCACCACTCGTTCCTTGATCTCGTTGCACAGGTGGGCGTTGTCAAGGAAGATGCTGCGAGTAGTTTGTGCCTCCAGCAACTATAACAGAGTTATGATTTTGACATTGGCACAAAAGTGGACACGAGTACCAGGCTCTAGTACTGATATCTGTGGATGGAGAGTGTGTCCCTGTGTGTTGTTTGAGATGTGTGTGCTGTGTTTGTGCATATGTGTGTCTGTATCTGTGTTGGGTTTAGGAGATAAACATCATGTGTTGGCCAATTTCCGGGTGTTATTGAGTATTTGAAGCACGGGAATTCATTTGGCGCCAGCCGGAGGTTTCAAATGAAATATTCCTGTGCTTCAAATACACAATAACACTCGGAAATTGGCCAACACATGATGTTTATCGACATTGTAAACACAAAAGTAAACCAAAAGGTCCACACATGTTTTTGTGTCTGCATTCATTAACATCGAGTACGGGTACACCAGTGAAATGACATCGGCTGGCAGTCTCCCATGGTAGCATCTGGAACTGCTCATTTGTGACATCATTTAGACTTTACGTCACAATATGATTTGAATGACGTCATCACAGCTGACGACGTAACAATACAATGGTGTGAGCGATGTTTGAAGAGCTTCAGGGACTGGTACAGCAGGTCCTGGTTGTCATACTGGTGATTGAGGTGTCTCCATTTACAATGTGCGTGTTGTGTGTATGTGAGCATGTGCCTGTATGATGGACTCACCCCTGGAGTGAGGAACAGGTCGAGAGACTGGTACAGCAGGGCCTGGTTGGGCTGGTTGCCCAGACAGAAGGCCTGGAGGAACTCGTGGGCCAGCTTCATGATCTCCTGCATCCGTATGTCCTCCGTCTGTAACACACGGGCGCAAATATACATACAGGCATACACAAAGTGAGGTGAGGTGAAATTGGGTTTAACGTCGCGCTTGAGAATATTTCGCTCATATGACGACGTGCATGCGTGTGTATGTGTATGTGCGGCTGCTTGTAGTAGCCCAGACTTAAGCTGGTTTTATAGTGCTAGCCCACTGAGATACCATGCCGCAGTAAAGCATGAATACCCCATTCAGACACATTATACTGACTCCCCGAGCCGACCAGTCCTTGATGTACCCATTAATGCCGAGCACCAGGCACGGACCAACAAGTACCATATTTTAACGTCTTATGGTATGACGCGGTTGGGGATCGAACCCGCGACCTTCCGCTCTCCGGGCGGACGCTCTAACCACTACACCACGGAGGCGGTCAGGCATACACAAGCATACAGGCACTCATACAAAATCATAGAGGCGCTCATACACAATCAAATATAGGTACTTGCATACAAACATACTTGCATGCACAAGGATACAGGCCTTCAGAAACAAACATACAGGCACTCATACACAAGCATACAGTGCTAATATGTGTACATACACAATCATACAGATACTTCGCTTAGAAACGCTACAGTTCACTGTATTATATCGATTTGTTACAGTTCATTCACTGTATTATAAAGACCACAAACAGCTCACTCAGTGTACTATATAGACAAGGAACAGCTCATTCAATGAACAGGCTAGTAAATGCTCACTCTAGACTAGTGCTGGATCACTCACTGTATCATACCAGACTACTCAACCACGTAGTCCCCACTTACTTTATCATAGGGTATCTGTAACAGCTCCAACACCACTGAGTGGGCGCCCATGTTGCGAAGAAGACGTTGTTCATGTTTGCGTGGCTTCTTGGAGATGACGGAATCAGGGAGGTCCTGGACGCAGAGTCTGGTGAGTCTCAGTAGCACCTGGAATCACAAGCCAGGTTGTGACACACTTCATCAGGTACAGGTACTTGTAATATACTCACCGCTTGTACATGTGCTGGTTAGTACAAACACAAGGACCAAGAAACATTGATGTCTTGTCACTATTGTAGAGATCAGTCGGTTATTATGGTGAAGCACTTGGTTACATTTGTACTGAGCATTGTAATGCTATTATTGTACAAAGCACACGGTTATCGTTATACACACGCATGAGAATGAAGTTTTGAGAAAAACTCTGAAAACTAGCCGGGGGTCTGGGGGCCGCAGGATTTAGACAATTCACAAAAATTACCCTTGACCTTATGAAATTCTCGGATTTCCGCGTACTGCGGAAAATTCTCATCCCTGTTTACAGAGAACTGTCATTATTGTACGGAGTATTGTAATAGTATTGTACAGAGCAGTACAGCATTATTATACACAATATTGTGTTATTGTAGAGAGCACTGGTATTTTTTGACAAATCACTGTTTTACATTATACTGAATAGTGTAATCATTGTATGACTTTGTGTGCTGGTGATTAGGTGCCTGACTCTGAGGGTGTGGGTTCGAATCCCGGATGGGACTCAACCAATAAAAAGTACTAGAATCTGTACTTTAATGAGAAAGTGTAATCCCAAATAAAACATATGTAACATCAGAATGAGCATCACACGTGGAGCATACAAAACTTCAACTACCAGATCAGAAGGATATACACAGGTTTTCTGTGACAGGGCTGTTGAATAAAGTTGATTAAAATATACAGATTACTGGCTTGTGTGACTGACATGCACAGAGTTTGATACTGAAGACAACAAGCAAAGATTTCATATCAATCAAGATGGGTTTTGCAACAGTGAGACAAGGCCTGATGTTGATCTGTAGGGATTCAAACCCAGACAGCAGTAACCAACTGAGCTACTCAATACACTGGATACACTCCTTTCAATAAGTTAACTCCCGGGGGTCCCAAGTGTTGATACCCAGAACACAACAGGCATAATTAGCTGTACCAGCCAAAGCTTGGTGCTTGGTGCCATGAAGGACTCGACCCAGTCTGTCAGTATTTGTAATCACATAGAAAGCAAACGAATCAGTAGTATGTTAGATAGACTGCAACGGCTCTCGTCATACAATACACTGTATGTTCCTAGTGCATTATATTTATGATAAGGAAACACATTCAGCTAACAACGCCTTTTCGACAGACAAATCGATAGATAAAAAAAAATGTTTAAAGTCATATTTTTAAGTGAAGGGAGTTTTAGGCCTGAAGGAACCAAGGCCTCATCCATATAGGAATTTAGATGTCAGTTATGTCAGATGGTTCATATGAACATGTGTATATGTCTTGAATGTTTGAGCTGAACTTGAAGTGCAAGGATAATGTAATGAAAATTCAAAGAGCATAACACAAAACTAAAGACACACACACAAAACATATCAACCAAAATGTCAAAAAGAAAAATACAGAGTAAAAAATGAAAGAAAAGGAAAACATCAAACTTAAGAACAGGAGAGAAAACCTTGAACACCAGGGTAGTACAGATATAGACCACAGCACAGCACGAGGTACATCAGTGATACTATTCACTGTGACCTGCCAGTCATGAATTATGGTGGTGTCCTAAACCTTTACTCATTGTCTTGTATCGGGCCTAAACAAATAACCAAGCAAGGAGACATCACTGAATGGGACGTTCCATTTGATACCAGCTTACATGGAGAGGACTGCATAGGAGGTTTCAGTCTACATTTTGTTTGTTTGATGTTTTATGCTGAAGTCAGCAATATTCCAGCCACACACAGAGGTCAGACAAACCAGAGGTCAGACAAACCAGCGGTGGACATCATGGGCATATACCCTGTAAGATGGCATCATCAGCTCCGCTGATGGAGTTAGCTCAGCCACTTCCTGTTTGTTGACCTTCACCTCAAGACTTGACCTTCACCCCTGTTTTCCAGGGAACATGGCCTGCAGTCCACACCTGATGTCAAGAATACATCTCATCCTGTGACTTTAGTCCCAATCCTCCACTTAGTCATATTTATTCAGTTTAAGAACACAGCTGATAATAGTCCATATGTTCAGCTTGAAATCTACTCGGTATAATGTTCATGATGTTTAGGCTAGTAAAGTGACAAGTCTTTCAGACAGATGTTAGCAGTGTTTGAAAATAACCAGAAAGTCAAGTCCTTGTCATTATGCAAATAATGAAACTCATTCATGTAGAGGATCTCAAGGACCCTTGAATAACTGCAATTTGGTACGGGTAACTTTCATAGATTGACTTTGTGAACATGATGCAGAGAGTGTTTGTGAGATGATACCACGCTGTCTTCATCCCACAGCAAACCTTACTTGGCAGTACAGCTGTGTGTCGAGGAGCCACGGTGCGACATTGAGCTGACAACCAGACAGTCACAAGGAAATACATCATGACACACTTTAGTGAGACTGTGAGTGAGTGAGTGAGTGAGTTTAGTTTTACGCCACATTCAGCAATATTCCAGCTATAAGGCGGCAGTCTGTAAATAATTAAGTCTGGACCAGACAATCCAGTGATCAACACCATTAGCATCGATCTGCGCAATTCGGAAAAGATGACATGTGTCAACCAAGTCAGCGAGCCTGACTACCCGATCCCGTTAATCGCCTCTCTTACGACAAGCATGGGTTACTGAAGATCAATTCTAACCCGGACCTTCACAGGTCAGTGAGACTGTGAATGGTACTTGGAATGATACACTTAAGGGAGAGAATGTCAGCTTCTTTATTATAAAGAACACAACATCAGGGAATACATGCTTATTGATCTTATGAAGCTTACTCCATAATCACCTGATGTGTTCTTCATAATATAGAAGTTCCTTGATAAAGAATTATGATTTTACTCTGAAACGATTTGTTCTTCATGATAGAAAAGTTGAAAACCATAAATTCTCCCTGTTGCTCAATTTGATTTATATATTCCCATGTATTAAAACCCGGTTGGGTGACAAGAGAACAAATGTTTACTTCATTTTCTCCCCAAATCTGACAATCTGTTGCCATGTGTCAAGCATGTCATCTAAGCAAGTTATCATCCTGAAGTTTATCATACTCCAGCATCATGAGAGTATGTTTTTAACAGTGAAATAAACTGAGTTTTTAATATTGAAGGGTTACTTGAATCTTGATAACAATCTAAAAACATGGTAATATTTACACATCTCCAACAATGAAGACTTCAGGTGTGTTTGCCAGTCTGTAAATTAGTCTTATCACACTAACATGTAGATAAAATCTCGGAAGCCATTCCAACAAGTGAGTTCCACTTACAGCTTTGATGGCCTTGTAGTTCTTCGTAGCAAGGTTGTCAATCGGTGGGCCAAGTTCAAGGTCAATAGCAGATCCCTGGTCAGCAGTCTGAAGAAACAAACAGCAGGATTACTACAGGGCAGCAGGATTACTACAGGGCAGCAGGATTACTACAGGGCAGCAGGATTACTACAGGGAGACAGGACATTGGTGAGTCCTGTAACAGCAGTATAATAGCCACAAGCCATCGGACACAGTCGGGAGTATAACGGGTTGGTTGGTTGGTTGTTTAACGCCGCACTCAGCATTATTCCAGCTATATGGCGTCGGTCTGTATATAATCGACTCTAGACCAGACAATCCAGTGATCAACAGCATGAGCATCGATCTACGCAATTGAGATTTGATGACGTGTGTCAACTGAGTCAGCGAGCCTGACCACCCAATCCCATTAGTCACATGGCTTACTGAAGACCAATTCTAACCCAGACAACTATAATAGGAGCTGTAACAGCCGAGTCATACTGCCTCAAGGGTCTAGTGGATAGAGCGACTGCCTGCAGAGCAGAAGGTTGATAGTTCCATCCCTGGATGGTTGATATCAAAACACATGCTGCTTGTAAAAATGATACTTGATGTTTCCCTGCATGATGGTTGGCATTCATACTTCATAAAATCATACTACAAGTTTAGAAACTAACTAAAAAGTTCTACGGTCTTGTATGGTGATACATGGTGTTGTATGGTGATACACAGTGTTGTATGGTGATACACAGGTGTTGTATGGTGATACACGGTGTTGTATGGTGATACAGGTGTTGTATGGTGATACACGGCAGTGTACACGAATAGCGTCTGACCCTCTGACAAATCCGGCAGATTCGCCAACGGTCAGACAGAAGTCTACAACCCGCCGGCCCCAGTGTCTGACTGTATATTTCACAATGACTTTGACTGAAGTTGTTTTACGTGACATGTGAGACTTGTTTGCTGTTTATAAATCTTATGTTTGTTAATAATTTCAATGTCAATTATAAGAAATATTAAATCTGAAATGTGTGTTTAATTTTATTCAATGGGTCCTGTGCATTTTCAATGGGTCAGACAGACATCTGAAACTTACAGGACCCAATGTCCTGTGACTTTGAAACACCATTCGTGAACACTGCACAGTGTTGTATGGTGATACAGGTGTTGTATGGTGATACACGGTGCTGTATGGTGATACACACACCTGAGATTACCATGACATCAAACTGCCACATATCCAGGCCACTGGTGCAGAGTGTGGTACTCACCCACTGTGATGCTGCCTTCGACTTCTTCTTGCCATTACCTTCTCCCTTTTCCTTCCCTCCCTGGAACCCGACAGATACATCACAGAGTGTCAGTGTAATTGATTCAGGACAAAGATGCTACACAATGAGGTTGAACACATATGTATGATTAGAGTCTTCACAACCAATGATCAGTGTTAGGGATTCAAACCACAACAAGCAAATCCTGTGGTGGAGACGTTTTATTCTTACTAATTGCACAGAGCGACGTTTCGATGTAGATTCTTATGCCATTATCAAGCTAAAAGTGACTACTACCAAATGGTGTTTAAAGTATATAGAAGGCTGATCAATCAAACATTTATGATCAAGGAGGAAGAGAACAAAATTGAATACTCTTAATTTTAACAACATATTGTTTGCAAGACCTCCAGCATGTACTGTTATAAAAATTCATTCTTTAAATATTTTCTTGAACAAATATGTAATTACTTCAATTACTAAAACATGGCCCAACATTTCTTTAACTGGAAAGGGATCATTTCCCCTCCACCTGAAGCTCTAGTCCCTCTCACCTCTCCCTCCTTCTTTTTCTTCTTGCCCTCGGAGCCTGGCTTGCTCTTGTACACCCACAGCTCGGATTTCTCCACCATCAGTCGTAGCTGGTCCAGGTCCCACTTGATCTGACGGTAGTTCTCTACGTCGCTTCGGGTAACCAGCAGCTGCACCTGTGAACAAAACATGGTTGGATCATGTATTTAGATTGACCTTAATGAGGACAGCTGGCCGACACAGGGTTTGATCACTGACTTAGAGGGGAGGGAGCTCCTTGATCGGAACAGCTGGCCGACACAAGATTGGATCACTGACTTAGAGGGGAGGGAGCTCCTTGATCGGAACAGCTGGCCGACACAAGATTGGATCACTGACTTAGAGGGGAGGGAGCTCCTTAATCGGAACAGCTGGCCGACACAAGCTTGGATCACTGACTTAGAGGGAGTTGCTTGTTGGGAACAGTTGTCCGACACTAGATTGAATCACTGACTTAGAGGGAGCTGCCTGATGGGAACACTTGGCCGACACTAGATTGGATCACTGACTTAGAGGGAGCTGTTTGATGGGAACAGTTGGTCAACACAAGATTGGATCACTGACTTAGAGGGAGCTGCTTGATGGGAACAGTTGGTCAACACAAGATTGGATCACTGACTTAGAGGGAGCTGTTTGATGGGAACAGTTGGTCAACACAAGATTGGATCACTGACTTAGAGGGAGCTGCTTGATGGGAACAGTTGGTCAACACAAGGTTGGATCACTGACTTAGAGGGAGCTGCTTGATGGGAACAGTTGGTCAACACAAGGTTGGATCACTGACTTAGAGGGAGCTGCTTGATTGGAACATCCAATATTATAATATGTCTAACCATGGCAGTGTATCTCACTATTACAGCAGGTGTCACAATTCCAGTGAGTCTCACCTGTTTAAATGTCTGTAGGACTTCTTGCCTCTGACTGAAGTGGCGGAACAGGAGTTGAAGGGAACCTGAGACGAGGGAAGGGTAGTTGTGCATGACGAGGTTGAGCAGCACGCGGAGGAACATCTTCCCGCTGTGGCCGTCCAGGTCCAGCTCGGCCGTGTCCTCACTGAAACACAGTTTGAGTGAGATGGGTTGGAACAGTAGTTCAGACACAACCAGTCTGCCTGAGGTAAGGTTATCCTGACTCATGATCTTTTGCTTATCTCCCTTTTCTTTTCGAATGGTAGTGGAACACTTGAATCCCTTGAAGTACCCGAAGCGGACATAAAAATACACTCACCCACGAGTTACCTCCCTTTTTCCCGCGTAAACAGTCATGTGACCAGCCTTACTTGTCACTCTCTCCTGATTTTTCTGCCCAAGCACTTGGATCTGCTGTGCAATCTGAAGTGTTTCCAGCGGGGAGGTCGGGAGGGCTTGACCTCATGAGTCAGGATAAGTATAAAAATATCAATTTTACTTGAAAAATTACATATTTTTTCTTATCCTGACTCTTGATCTGTTGCTTATAGAATCCGACGGATTGGTGGTGGGTCAGACCACTTCCTGGATTCATCAGCTGTCCTTAGATACGTCCTGTATCCCCCCCATGGGAACTGCGTAGCAGCATTTCCGAGATCCTATTCTTCCAACTTCCGGTTTAACTCGGGGGGACCACTTCTTGTCTTACTTCCATCTCAGACAAGTTGAATCATCTTGATTCATGTGGCTTCAGATAAAGTAGTATCTTCTTATTACTAGATATCTTATAACAACCCATAGATTATGATAAGATCTTTATCATAAATGAGTTGCGACCCCTTCACGTACAGGCAAGATCTTTACCCATACAGGATCTTTAATCACTCTCACTGTCCTAGACTGTGCGCATGGACTTTCAAACTAATACTTTTCCTTAGTAAAAGTTATCAACAAGTCAACGTGATAAAGGGTGAGATTTTCTAACTCAGCACCTTTGTGGAGCCGTTAATAGCTGTGCTACAACGAGAGGCCAAAATTGGGGAATGCCTGAGACGTCTTCAGTGGCTATGGCTCGGAGGTAGTGTTTGGCAAACACCGTGTCCGACTTCCAAAAGCAGACCTTCATAATTGCTGATATAGAGCAATTTCCATGCAGAGCTAGTGTTGACGCCAATGCTCTTACTTCGTGTGGGTTGGAAGCTCTAGGACGTTCTAGTCCTGCTGCTTTATAGGCTCTCAATATGACGGCTCTCATCCAGAACGATACTGTCGTTCTTGAGACTTCTGCTGATGTCTCTGTGGATAATAGGATGAACAGGCGCTTGAATTTTCGTCTCCTTGTCTCAGTCTTTGAAGATATATCTTCAGGGCTCTGACCGGACACAAGGATAGGTCCTCTATATCCTCTGGTCCGAGGATTGTAGATAGTGCTGGTACGTGGAACTGTCTATCTGGCTGACCAGGTAGTTGGTTCTTGGCAATGAAGTCCCATCTAAGTCCTAGATGAACTGCAGCATGTTGCCCTGTGTCGAATCTGCTTCGACCAAAGTCCAGCGTATGTACCTCATATATTCGAGCTGCCGTGGCTAGCGCAAGCAGGAACAAAGTCTTCTGTGTCAGCAGCTCGAGGGTAGTCTGGTCTAGAGGTTCTTTGGTCTGTCTAAGATGACACAGGTATTCCGCCACTTGAAGATGAGTAGCTTTCATCGCAATGAAATCTTTCCACCTTGCATAAGTCTCAAACTTCAGCCACTTGTGATCATACAGGTTATGAGTAGATCTGTGTAACACTAGCGTTACTGCCTTGGCTGCCCTGGCGGAGTATCCTCTTTTCTTCAAACATGTTTTGATACAGTCCACACGTGTAGCTGGAACAGTGTTGGGTGCCTGTGGACTTGCTTGGTGTGCGGATGTATGAGTGGGTTCGGCCAATCTGGTAACTTGATTGTTGGACTTCCGAAATCTTCTATTAGGTCTAGGAACCATACTCTCGCTGGCCAGTATGGTGCGACCAAGGTCAGTTGTAGCGCCTGTGTCTGTTTGATGTTCAACAGTACTTCCGGTAGTAATATCAGTGGTGGAAACGCATAAGCGTTTAGTCCTTCCCATGATATGTTCAGTGAATCTGTTGCCCAGGCTTGAGGATCTGAAACTGGTGAGACAAACGTCTGTAGTTGTTTGTTGATCCTCGTGGCAAACAGGTCTATGCATGGGGATCCTATTTCCCTTCTGATGAGCCGAAATGCTTCTGGATGGAGTATCTATTCCGTAGGTGACGGGTGCAGTGGTCGGGAGAGAGCATCTGCAAGCACGTTCTTGGCTCCGGGTATGTGACACGCCTTTATCCAGATGTTTGCCTCCTCCGTCATGTCAAACAACTGGAATGTGAGCTGTAGTAGGCTTGGTGATCTTGTATATCCTTGCCAATTTATGGAGAATGCCACTGTAGAGTTGTCCGTGTGGACCATCAGCATTCTGTTGATCAGCGAGCTCAACCATAGTTGTAAGGCGTAGATCACAGCTTTCATCTCCAGCAGAATGATGCTAAGATGCTGCTCTGTTTGGACCACTTCCTTGATGCAACTTGATTGTTGAGATGTGCACCCCAACCTTGTATCGATGCGTCTACGTAGAGATGTGTGTCGAAGGCCAGCTCTTGTAAATAGGTCCCTCCGCAGACGTTCAACCTGTGGGTCCAACAAAGTAGGTACCTCTTAAGATTGTCTGGCAGCAAGATAGGGTCGACGCCGTCCAGATGTTTTGTCAGGAACCGTAGCAGCGGATTAGTTGTAATCTTCCTGTGCGAGTCAAGCCCTGCGCCGAGGTTAGTAGACCGAGTAGACACTGCCATATTCGTAGTGTTAACGAAAAGATGACTGCTTGTGGAATCATGGCTTGTATCTTGACCAAATGATCTTCTGGGACCACAATTCGATTCTGTGTTGTGATAATTCTTATTCCCAGCAATTAAAGATCTTGTTTGATTCTAACTCCAACTTCATCAGGTTCACTAGCAATCCTAGTTGCGTGATCAACTTAATTGTGAAGTTCAGCTGCTGTCTGAGTTGATTGGCACTTTGAAGAACCTGTATGCCATCGTCCAGATAACAGGCACTGTGTGGACCTCGATGATGCAGATAGGTGCCGATAGGCTTGGTTATTCGTATGAATAATCATATAGCCGACGATATTCCAAACGGTAGGACGTTCCATTAGAAGTGCTACTCTCTGATTGCAGTGATGATACATCATTCTTCCCCTTATATACGCAGGCAATCTGTGTTGATCAGCATACATCGAAACGTTGTCTATTTATAGCAAGGCTGGCTCCAGTGTAGCATCGCAGGGGACAGGTACTCATACCGACTTTTAACAGCGACAACTTCCAAAATAAACATTGTTTAGCCTGCTGTCAAGGCTAGACATCTATTAGATTCCCATGATGATAACAGGCGGTAGTTGTATACTGTTTCCAAGGCTGCCGATGAAGTATTCCCCCGTACCACGGGTTTGTTTACAAATCAGAAACATGCTGGAGCCTGCTCTGTCAGTGGGAGGCGTTGTTTGACGTGGACCAATCAGCTTCCAAGCATGACGTCACCAGTGTTGTTGCAAGTTGGCCTCCATAAAATCTGATGCAATTAGTTGGTTGAGTAAAAGCGCGCGTAATTCTATGCCGCTCATATAAACCTCTTGAATAAGGGTTGCTCCAAGTGTAAAATCTTGTTCAGGTCCGTAGGTTTGTGCACGATGTCAGTAGATGAGAGGCTTCGATGAGCCTTCACTTCTTCCTCGAACCTGCGTTCCATCATGGCCATCATCTGGTTGGTGAATTGTCTCATAATTTCACCCGGATCAAGTTCTGCGTTGATTGAAGCTGCTGCGGTGTAGAAGAAGCGTTCGCAAACGCTGATGAGATGTGTGCCTCGACTTCACTCAACTGCATTGTAGCCGATCTCTTCTTGGCCCCCGTACCAGTAGCCACCCTTGCAACGTACTCAACATAGCACCAGTATTATGAATTCCAGCAGTAGCAAGCAACATACGGTTTGCAGGCTGATCTCCTGTTTTATCAGCCGTGGCTTGAGATGACTTCCTCACCTGATCCATGGCACGTCTATAGATATATGACAAATATTGATTATATTGTAGATTTGATAAATCAACACAATAAGTACAGTGCAAGCTGGAAGAACATGGTTTTATGCACGAAAGGCATTGGGGGTGAGGATCAGCCACGGATAACCTGTGCCTGCAAACACTGCAAGATTTCATGAAATGTAAACAAACTTACACGATGAAATTATGACACAAATACAAATAATTTTTACAATTTTTTTACATTTAATACATAGTTGTTGTTGCCAAATCCATATACAGCGTAATTTTGAGGAATACGACCTAAAAAAAAAGGATATAATGCCGTATACGGGACTCCAGTGCTCGCCCAACCATCCACTTGGGCGAAAAGGGAGAGAGTGACAAGTAAGGCTGATCACATGACTGTTTTACGCAGGCAAAAGGGAGGTTACTCGTGGGAGAGTGTATTTTTATGTCCGCTTCTGGAACTTCAAGGGATTCAAGTGTTCCACTACCATTCGAAAAGAAAAGGGAGATAAGCAAAAGATGATGAGTCAGGATAAGCAAAAATAAATAAAATAATGGTTCATTACATTACAAGACTGGTTGGAAGCATGCATCAAACCTACAGAGTACAGGGTACCTGATCTGGCATGCTTCCCAAATGATTGTGACAATGCTTCCCTCAGAGACAAACACTCACCTGCCACCGAAGATGTCCTCTGCACTGTTGGCAATGCTCTCCAGGTCCAACTCTGTTATAATGTAAAAATACCATCAGTCAGCTGATATACACACGATACAGACATCATACCTTCATAAACACCACAGACAAATGATACCTCAACCAACTAACTATCCTGACTCTTATTCTGTAGTTATCTGATGGAGTCCACCTTCTGATAAAACTAAATATCCAAAAATATAAGCATTTAACATTTACTTTAAGTACAGCTTACTTATTATGGAAATGAAACATCAATTAAAAATTTGCTTTTTTTCCATTTGCTGACGTGGTTGGTTGATATTTTAAAATTCAATACAAAAAGTATTTCTTCAGAGGTCATATCAGCGTTTGTCAACATTTACCAATTCACAACAGCAGGGGTTGGTGTTAGGACATCATGCATAAAAGGTTCAAACAAGCACTGGATAAAGTACATGTTAAGTAAACTCACAAAACAAAATAAATGGGATTTAAAGAATCATGCCTCAGTTCACAATCAAACGAAACATTCAACAAGAACAACACAACACTATGCTTCCACAGAAAGAGGCATTCAGTCCTCCCTTCGTACAAAGTAACATATATGGTGAAACAGCTCATCTACGACTTGGGATACAACATGGATGAGGTGTCGATGGCCTTCTACCCATCTGTATGAATATGATGTATTCCCTGAGATTTACATAAAGATGTAGTTTAACAAATAGTTTTTAAAATAGTTTACCTTCATCCTCTATATCACCAGGGCTGATATCTTGATGACCTATACTGACCCTTGGATACATGCCCATGGTTGTCGCGTTCTCAAGTTGAACGACCTTGATTTCCATTGCCAATTTAATTTGCTACGTCACACGGTGTAATAAATGAAACACAGTTCGAGTTACAAACCAGGCTCAATCAGGGGTTACCAATATCAGCAACATGGCAGCCAGCCCCATTGATTATGACTAAGTTTGTGAGAAATTAATATTCAAAAAAACTAATGAAAGTTCTAAGAAATTGTATTGATGAAAAGGATGACCACATAATTTTAAAACTGTCAGTGGCTTTGGTTCCCAGATAATACAAGTTACCGCCCTTCCTCTTATGTCATTTTTTGATTGGTCAGAAAAATGTTGATGAAAATGAAGGGCAGGTAAATTGTGGTTGCACAAATCCAAGGGTTAGTGTAGGCGGACCACACTGCTAGCTGATAGAGAGGATGGGTTTACAATATGGTCATTGTTATCACTTCCTGTTCCGGGGGTTGAGGATCAAAATTGTCAAACAATGTTTCATTGCTGGCCACAGCAACACCTCATCACCTTGACAACAACATCTACTGGGCAGTCGAGAGTCATGACATACTTATAAATATGCTAGAACTCGACTGATTTTCACTTTTCAACTGCGGCTGTATTTGAGATTTGAACTTAGACAGTATCCAGGCTATACGGTAGTCGAGTCGGACATGCATGAGATACTGCAATAGAGAGGGTTAATCAGCACACATAGAGGTTAGTAGCAGTTTAGTAATGGCATGAGTGAAAGACTGAGTTTGGTTTTACGCCACTTTTAACAATATTCCAGCAATATCACGGTGGGGGACACCAGAAATGGGCTTCACTCATTGTACCCATGTTGGGATTCGAACCCGGGTCTTCGGCGTGACGAGCCAACGCTTTAACCACTAGACTACCCCACCGCCCCAGTAATGGCATGAGTGAATGAGGGTTGAGTTTGTACAAGTACAGCAATGTTCCAGCTTCACAGCTGAGTACATCAAACAACGCCCTATGTAAGGAAACAAACACAGATGCTGTCAGTGATGAAGTTTTGGACTACTCATGTCCCAACCACTGCACTGTCAGCCATATCATGAAGACTACCATCTCACATGGTGTGGCCATACAGAGACATTCACAAACAACTAAAGCAACTTCAAGACTAACTGCAAAGCTGAAGTAAGATAAGTTCATATTGAGGCATAATTATTTGGAACATCTGGGATAGTAGATGGGGAAACCAATATGTTGAACATGATGAATGAAGTTTATCTTCATTCACCCAATATCACTCAATTGCCCAAAGGTCAAGGGACAAGTCTTACAGTAGAAACACTTTAATCAAACATTTGTTTGTCGCTGTATAGAACTAAACTGAACTGTAAAAGAAACTTTGCACATTTAAAAGTAATGATATTGTAAATTCGTTGCACTGGTTAAAACACAAACAGACACACACACATAGGCCAAACGCAACGTTGTTATAACGGTGGTTTTTATTAACAATGTGCACGTGATTTTGTGAAAAAACGGAAAATCACGTGCTGTCATTGCTGGTAGAAATGCACGTGCCAACAGGGTATAAAAAACGCACAGCTGCAATGTCAAACATCCACATTGTTAAAAAAACACATTTGAAATGCCAAAACTGACATGAGAAAAACGTGAGCGAGCAACTGGGATGGTCCAGATGGGGGCCACGCACAGGCACGTTGCAAGAACCTTTGGATGTTCCTGTGTTGCCGTTGGAAACGTTTCAGACAGACTGGGCGCACATCGGACAGGCCCAGGACAAGGAGACCACCCAGTCACTATGCCACAGGAAGACCATTATCTCCGAACGTTGCACCTCCGGAACCGCTTCCTCACAGTGACGTCATCGGCAGCGCATGCCTTTGGGTCGGTGGGTGAGCACCTACACAGTAACCAGAAGACTTTGGGCAGCATGTATCAGGGCCTACCGACCGTTTAGAGGACAAATGTTGACCGCTCAACATTGACGCAGACGACTACGATGGGCTAATACAATCAGACGGTGGCAGTGTAGGGATTGGCAGCGCGTGGTCTTTAAGGACGAAAGCAGGTTCTGCTTCTTTAGAAGTGATGGCAGACAGCGTGTTTACCGTCGCAGAGGTGAATGGACAGCTGCTTGCTGCGTTCAAGAAGTTTTTCCATACGGTGGAGGTGGCGTTATGGTTTGGGGGGCATTTGTGGAGACCAGATAACGCCACTCGTCGTCGTCAATGGAAACCTCAATGCGTAACGCTATAGAGATGACATCCTCCCTCCAGTAGTGCTTCCCTTCCTTCAGCAACAACCCCGAGGTGTTCTGTATCAACACGACAACGCCAGGCCCCACACAGCTCGTATCGTAGTGGACTTCCTTGCCACCAACAACGTTGACGTCTTACCATGGCCGCCATATTCTCCTGACTTATCACCCATAGAACAGCTCTGGGACGTCTTGGACAGGCGAGTTAGAGACCGGCCACACCCTCCCGTCAACAGACAAGACTTGATCCAAGCTCTACAAGTTGAACGTCATGAGACGTTTGACGTTTGACGTCCAACGCAGAGTCTTTGCATGTATGGAGGCACATGGTGGCCATACTCGGTATTAGAGTGACAAATTTTGTGTCTGTGACCACTTTCCGTGTTTGCATGCATTGCAGTGAACATCTGGACAACCGAGGTTTCAACACCCACTGAATCTGTTTGTCTGGTGTACAATATTTAACCATAAGATGTCAAGTTTGAGTTGTTGACTACTTTGTGAAATTGTTGGTTTATTAAATATACTTTATCCGAAACATTTGTTATTTTTAGTTTATTAATTACATTCACTTCAATCTGGTGCAAAGTTTCTTTTGCAGTTCAGTTTACATTGACAACAAACATCTACTGGTCAGTCGAGAGTCATGACATACTTATAATATTTCAGTCTTCATACATTGAAATCAGAGTGAAGTTGTGGAATATGTGGGTATGCTACTCTTATGGCTGACTGAAGGTGCTCAAGGGTGATCACTACCAACAAAGGGAATCCCCCCTCCATTAGCAGGAATCCTTAACATCCAGGGGAATCCTCTCCATGGGCAGGGGAATCCAAATCAGCAAAGGGAATCCCCTCCTTCAAAAGGAATCTTCATAAGCAGGGGAATCCCTACAAGCAAGGGAATCCCCTCCACCAGAAGGGATTCTCAGAAGCAATGGGATACCATTCCTGTGAGTACTACCTACAAACCTTAACCTGAATGTGACTCCCGGGCTACGGGAGTCTTTGCCAGCAGTACACACAGCCCTGACTGAGGGTGAATGGACAGCAGATGACAATACAGACATGTGCAAGCAATGCAAATCAATTCTGGTATATCAAACAAAGCTGCAGGTAACAAACAAAGCATGCACAAAGTGTGTGTCAGTACGCAGGATGTAGCTGTAATAAGGAGTTCAGCAGTTCTTCCAGCTACCAGGTCTACACTGACTGACTGCCTGAGTTTGGTTTTACGCCGCTTTTAGCAATATTCCAGCAACATCACGGAGGGGGACACCAGAAATGGGCTTCACACATTGTGCCCATGTGGGGATTCGAACTCGGGTCTTCGGCTTGACGAGCCAACGCTTTAACCATTAGGCTACCCCATCACCCCTACCAGGTCTACAAAAACCTCTATGAAACATTATGATCATCTCATTTGTCGCAGTGACAAAACAGGGCCTACATACAAACTCAGTGGCCACATACTGAGTTGGTGTTAAGATGTACAGAGTCGTACACAAAACAACCTTCTTCCCACAGCCCAACACACACTACACTACAAGCACATGCAGAAAGAACACAACCAAATAGGCCTTAGTATACAGGTGTTGGATATATATATTATTTACCTGTAGTAGTCCACACTACAACCCAACACACACTACACTACAAGCACATGCAAAAAGAACACAACCAAATAGGCCTTAGTACACAGGTGTTGGATATATGTATTATTTACCTGTAACAGTCCACATGGTTTTGTTCAATTTGTTTTGAAATAACTCCTTAATAAGATAGGAACTTTAATTCAAGTGAAAGAATTCAATTTTGAGTTTGACAATCAGACATCAGAAGAGTTCCAAAGGCAACTTCACCATACATCACAGGTGAGAAAATAATGTTATTTTCGGTACAAATGAAAGAAGGTTGACGTCTACCTAGAGTTAACAGTGGTACATTAACACAACACTGTTGCTTCAAACATTACTCCAGAACATGGTCTGTCTGTCAATAAAAACCCTTTAAATCTCAAAAAAGATGAACGACAAATTGAAAACATCAGACAGTGATTTCAAGAAAATGGACTGTTACATATGTTAGTAACCAGAATGTGGTGTCATGGATGTGGACAGTTACATGAATTAGTTACCAGCATGTGAGAAGATTATGTTTATATGGAGGACTGAGACATGTTAGTAACCAGCATGTGAAATAGCTGGGCAAACCAAAGTTTGGACATCCTCGGCTATTCAGGATAACATATCTCCCAACTATTTCATTTGTAAGCTTAACCGATTCAATGTAATAGGCTTCATTTTAGATGAGATTGATTTCTTCCTAGCAACACATTACACAAGTCATGAGGAGCACGGCTGAATGGTACAAAAAGGTAGCTGAAGGGCCAACTGGCATCAGGCTACAGATCGTAACGGAAGGGAGAAGAGGGCAGCTGAACAGTCGAGGACGTAGAAGGGCGTGGAAGAAGTTGAACTGAACCCTGAACCTACTTTCTGCATGACTGGGCTCGTCATGCTCTCGTTTAAATATAGACAGGAGGCAAGTGATGCGGTAATCTAGACGTACGTCTAAAATAAACTGAAACATAAGGTAACAAAAACAACTAAACATCTGCTGCTACAGAACATACTGTGACTGACTGACTGAGTTTAGTTTTACGCCGCTTTTAGGAATATTCCAGCAATATCACGGCGGGGGACACCAGAAATGGGCTTCACACATTGTGCCCATGTGGGGAATCGAACCCGGGTCTTCAGCGTGACGAGCCAACGCTTTAACCACTAGGCTACCCCGCCACCCCACATACTGTGACTGAGTGAGAGAGGGTGGTTTTGACACTTTCAACAATCTTTCAGCCCTGTCAAAACACTGGACTTAGTATACCCATGGGCAATCAAACCCAGGTGTTCATCGATGGTGAGTGAACACACTAACCACTAAGCCGCTCCAAGTCTTCTGATTGATCAGGCAGGACTTGACAGGAAATACAAACATGCAAACAAAATGTGCGGAATACAAAATGGCTGACAATGACAGACAAGCGTGATTTACATTACCTGATCAAAGACATAAACTACAATAAAACTAGTATTTTTAACTTAGAATACAGAGAACTGGTGTTCACATGTAGGTGTGGTGTTTACAACTCTGTAAGGGCATACTGTGGTCTGCAGTCTACATCCACTTCTTCGAGAGTGTTACAATATGTCTAGCTTCTCTTTTGACAAGAATGGAATACTAGGGACCTATTCTTCTCTGGAACACACATGGGGAGGAAAACATGGTGTGCTGGAGCCTTATTCTACCTAGAATCCCCACATGGAGAAAAGTATCATGTACGGGGACCTATATGACCCCAGAATCCCCAGGGAGAGAAGCACGAGGTACTGAGACCAATTCTTTCAAGGAATCCTCACTAGGAAAGAAGTATGAAATAATTCAAAGCTATTCTGAACAGGAATAACCTTTTATGAGACAAGCAAGACTTAGTGGGAACCTTATATTTCGGGGACTTGCCTACCTTGAGGATTTCAATAATTTTAAGTTTAGTATCCATGACGATGGTGTCTTCCTCATCAGTCTCCCTCTTCTTCTTTTGCTTTGTCAGCGCCTCACCGATGGCAGAAAGACTCATCTCGAGGCTTTCTTCAGCTGCTGGACAGAGGGAAGGTTCAAACATGGCATTAAACAAGTCAGAGAGTTGGGTTCAATACTGTCCGTTTACTTTGGCAGAGAATTAGATGCCCTTCACGCACTTCTTTAATCTTTATCACCTTGGTGAACCCCCTGAGCATGGGTGCTGACAGAGCTAGAAACACAGTCCAGGATATGAACCTATGATCTCCACAGGAAACCGCAGCATCATAGACAACTGGGCCACCCTTAGCCTCAATAATATAAAAGAACACCAACAATATCGTATGATTTTTGTAAACTTGTTTGAGTGTCATTTCAGAAGTTGAGACGTACAATATAGAACAATTTTTTTATTTATTTATTGTTATTTTTTTATGGATAACAACTTCTTTATTTCGTGAGTGTGATGTTTCGATACAGATTCTTGTACTGTATATGGCAATTATGTTGTCTCATTGTTATATCTCCTCCACTTCATGTACCACTCTTGCTTGACAACGGTACAAGAATCTGTATCGAAGCGTCGCACTCCACCGAAATAAAGAAGTTGTTATCCTTAAAATAAAAAATAAAATAAAAATGTAATTTTTAGAGTAAAATTGATATTTTATACTTATCCTGACTCATGCTCTTTTGCTTGTCTTCTTCTTTCTTGCGAACATAGTGGAACACTTGTATCTCCTTATTTGAAGCTCCCTTCAAAATAAAATCACTAATTGGTACTCACCACGAAGTTGCTCCCTTTGTCTCCCCTGGCGGGAAAGGTGTCGCCACCCTCTGGCCATGTGCTCCACTCTCTCCTGATTTAAATGAGCCCAACACTTGAATTTACAGGGAAATCCAAAGTGTTATGTGGGGAGGATGGGAGGGAGCTAACCTCATGAGTCAGGATAAGTATAAAATATCAATTTTACTCTAAAAATTACATATTTTTTTCCTTATCCTGACTCATGCTCTTTGCTTGTAGCATCCTACTGAACAGGAGGTGGGTAACAGAATACTTTGGATTTATAATTAGTGATTTTGTATAGATATACTGTAATATCCCCTACGGGAACTTCATGAAGGCTTAGATTTAGGATGTTTCCTGTATAAAGAAAACCATAGGTTATATAAAGCCATTAAAGGGAATTACATTATGAATATATTGAACAATACATATAAATTATATATATATATATATAGGTGACTCTGATAGAGGCACTGAAATTGACTATATCAAGTATATGCTTAAGGTTGAATACTTAAGCTGAACATATATACATAGCCCTAAAACTCCATTAGAGTTATAAGCTAGATGAGTATGTATAAAATACATATTAATCTTGTGAGGATAATATTTTAACGCCTCTGAGGGACTGTCAGTTGCTGGCCGAGGACCAGTGGTCGAAATGGTGAATGCCAGAGACATCTTCTGTAGTGATGTCTCTTAGGTAGTGATTAGCAAATACCATGTTAGATTTCCAATAGCATCCTTCCATAATCGTGTTCAAGGAACAGTTACCGTGTAGGGCGAGGGTAGAGGCCAGTGCCCTGATCTCATGTGGATTTGATGCTGTTGGTGGGTCCAAGCCTGCTGCCTTGTAGGCACGGAGAATGACAGTCCTTATCCAAATAGATATTGTGGTCCGTGACACTTCTGTTTGATTAAGTAGGCGATAATGGGATGAATAAGCGTTTGAGAAATCTTCTCCTTGTTTTGGATCATTAAATTAAATAAACTTTGAAGCTCTTACGGACACAGTGATAGGTCTTGTGTATCTTGTGATCCGAGAATAGAGGATAAGCGCCGGGATGTGGAATAATCTGTCTGGTTGACCTGGCAGTTGATTTTTCGCGATGAAATCCCATCTTAATCGAGGTGCGCTGTGTTATGATTGTCATCAAACTGTATCCTCTCGTAATCCAGGAGTGAATTTCAGACATTCTTGCTGCTGTGGCTAGCGATAGCAGAAACAATGTTTTTCTGTGAGAGAAATTCAAAGTTTAGTCGATTCCAAAGGTTCATAGACCTCCTTTCGTGAGGTGTTGTAACACCACATTCAGATCCCAAGCTGGAAGTGGAACTTCCGCTTTTGGTCCTCAATCGGAGCTTGTAGTAAGGCCAGTAACTCTGGAGATCTTGTCAATTTGACACCCGTTCTCATGGTGATTACAGAGCTAAAGCGGCAAGATATGTTGATATCGTTGAACCTTTTAAATGTTTGTTTTGGCGTAGGTAACACAAATAGTCTGCCACTTGAGGTTGTGAAGCCTTTCTTGCTGTAAACCCTTTCTTTGTTGCATAATTTTCAAACTGTGCCACTTGTCGATGCGTACAAGTTCACGAGTTGAGTAACGTAAAAGGCAAAGCGTGACTGCTTTTGCAGCCCTGGCAGAATATCCTCTCTTGTTTAAGCACATTTGTATACAGTCCATACGCGTGTAGTTGGAACATTGCTGGGTTTCCGTGCACTTGTTTGGTGTGAGGATGAATTAACAGGTTTCGCGGCTTAGGTAGCTCCAGTGTTGGTTGACCCGATTTCTTGAATTAGTATGGGAAACCACGTTCTGGCCGGCCAGTAGAAGCGCGACCAAAGTGAGTTGTAGGCTCTGTGTTTGTCTGATTTTCTGTAATACTTGAGGTATTATTGCTGGCGGAAGCGCGTCGCATTGAGGCCTTCCATGATAGACTTAGAACGTCCGTTGCCCAAGCTTGGGGTCTGGGACTGGTGACCACGAATGTCGGTAGCTGATTGTTGAATCGCAGCGTGGCGAATAGGTCTATTAGCGGCTCCTAATTGCTTGATTATCTGTGCAAAATTTCCTGTTGATCATCCACTCTATGCCGGTGATGGTAGATGAGGCCGAGAGAGGCGTCTGCTAGTATATTTCTGGCTCGGGAATGTGCACTGCTCTGACATGTAGATTTAGATCTTGAATTAAATCGAACAGTTGAAAGCTTAGGTTCAAAAGGTTCATCGATCTCGTTGAGCCTTGCTTGTTTATATAGAAACGCCACTGTCGAATTGTCTGTATGGATCATTAGGGCGCATTTTGTAGAAATGTGCTCCAATGTAGAATGGCGTTGATTACAGCTTTCATTTCTAGACTGTTTATATGGAGTTTGCATTCTTGCTGATTCCATAACCCTGATATCGTGTGGTTGGTGAGATAGGCTCCCCAACCTTGGGTGGACGCGTCTACATACAGATGGGTTTTGTATTCCTGCTCTGCTAAACAAATCCCTTCGCGAGACATTCGATTTCTTGGTCCACCATAGTAGATGTGGTCTGAGATGTTTCGGTAGACTGAATGGTTGTACATCGTTGAGATGTCGTTGATGAGGACCTGTAGGGACGTAACTGTAATCTGCCTGTGACAGTCATGTCTTGGGCTGATGTAGAAGACCTAGTAGGCTCTGCCATTGTCGCGAGTGGTAGCGGAGAGAGTAGAGCTGGTGGAATGGTCTGTTGTATCTTGAGCCAGCGGTCTTCTGGTACCATAATACGGTTTGCGATTTGTGATGAATCGAATACCTAGGAACTGTAGGTCTTCTGCGATGGTACTAGGGTCCGACTTGCGTAAGTTTACTAACCAACCTAGTTGTGTTAGTAGCTTTATGATGTAATTTAACTGTAGTTTGAGGCGCAGTGGATCTTGATCTACTTGTATCCGTCGTCGAGGTAAAGCACTGCATTAGCCCTTGGCGATGTAGAAATTTGATAATCGGTTTTAGTTATCCTCATTGAATAGCCAGGGGCTGAAGATATTCGAATGGGAATTACTTTCCACTGGTAATGTAGCCCTTCTAGAGTAAATCGTAGGTATTTCCTGGAATCGGGATGAATGGGGATGTGCAAGTAGGCATCCTGTAGATCTATGCTGCCCATGTAGTCCATAGGGACGAATCATCTGGCGTAACTGAGGTAAATGTATCATGCGAAACCCGGTGGTTTTCGTAGATAGTTCTTGTTGAAAAAACTCATGTTGTAGATGAGTCTGTATTTCTCCGTGGAGTTTTCTTGGGAACTAGGAAAACTGGGAGTAGAAACCTGGATTCGGCCGTTTGCTTGATCTATTACTTCTATGGCCTGTTTGGATAGGAGTGATGAAACAGCCTCTTTTATCTTTGGTAGTTGTTCTTGCGCTTGTAAATGTCGAACTTGGGGGTTTGATTGTCAGCCGAGGCTTGGCCTGTAGAGGGATCTGAAATCCGTGTTGAAGAATGTTGGAGGCGTAAGGGTCTTGCAGTATTCCCCAGTTTTCCCAGTGTAGTTGGGCGTCCACCCACTTGAGCTGGTTGTACTGGAGCGGCTGGGGGTGGAAGACTCCAGTCGTTCGAACCTGTGTTTTCAGCGTCTATAATTGCGGGAACCTCTGGGTGTCCTGCCTCTTCCTGATCCTCCTCTATAGTTGCCCATGGGCGTGAAAGAATCTTTACCTCTAGAGCTGGCTATCTTCCTGTCTCTTGCTCTTTGTAGGCCCGTGAACTTAGATCTGCCTGAGTATCTTTGTGAAGTCTGGACGAATGACGCTGGCTAGTGTGTCCATCGATCTAATCATAAGGACTTCCTGGAATCCTTAGAGACTTCCTTGGCGACTTTGTCGATTTCTCCGTCAAAGATGGATGTTGTCGACCACGGGGGCTGTATAAAGTGGGGCTGTAAAGTTCTCCCCAATTACAGGGGCTGAGGAGGCCTTGACGACGAGCTAAGGTCAGTGCTGCTGAAACAGATGTAAGATGATCCGTTAAAACTGCTGATCTTTCTTTTTGCATAAGTAAAAGGCAGAATAAATCATTCTATCATCTTCCGTCGTGGAATCCGGAATCTAGTAATAAGAGTCTCATTGATCGTCCTAGATCTATTTAACCCAAAGAACATACGTCTCGTCATGGTTTCTATATGAGCCAACTACGATCATCCATCTTGTAAAATCTTGTTCTTTACATATCGCTGATGATCTTATAGTTCTCATCGATGTCCTGGGCCTTGTAGAAGGAGTCCATGTTATCGTGGAGAACTTCTTGGCTTGAAAGTTGGGCAGATGTGGTATCTGAACTTTCGTAGCTTTCTGGAAGCTGCATCTAGATTCTGTGGCACTGCATAATCGGGTCGATCGGGGGTAGAGTGATTGCATCTGGATCATCTTCCTTCATCAAATACGTCTGAGCTGTATTGCCACTTTTAGATGGTGATGTGAGATCTAGGTTATTGACCATCCAATACCGTATCTCTGCATCAGAAAATATGATTCCTCCATCATCCTCAAAACCATCATCATTAATAAATTGTAGATGCTCTTAGCGGGACTCGCGTGTAGCTGTCTGTATATCTGATGAGGGTTTGTGGCGATCTATGATTGACTTGTCGCGCTCTATGTGGAGATCTGATGGGTGTCGACCTGGTGATGAACGGAGTGGAGATCGTCTATGGGATGATCTTCGGAGACTTGTGAGGTGAATGTTGATAGCCGGCTCTTGGCAGTCCCTCGATGTTCTTCTAGAGCGATGAAGATCTGGAATCATATGTCCGCCGAATGCCTTCTCGCGAAGCTTCATTTAACGTCGAGTCCGGGGATCGATGATATGACCACTTCGCGAAGGCTTCCGTGATGTCTGATGGTCTGAGTCCATATCTAGAGATGAAATCGAAGATGGTGATGATCTCTCCGCCTTAGCGAAGGCCTTCGCCGAAAGGCTGTACATCTAGGTCCTTCGTCAAGGTGGTCGCGGGACTTCCAGCGAAGGTGACATCGTCTTGGCTGCTCACGTTGACGGGGGTGCCTCTGGGGTGCTGTCACGTTGGAGCGAAAGGCTTCCGGACCCTGCTATGCGCAGTTTGTAGTGGTCCTCCATGATGTTCATAATCTGCGCATCATGTCTTCTGGGATGATCTGTGGCGAAGTCGTCGAAAAATCTTTTCTGCGATGGGGTTCACATCAATGGCGTCTGGCGTCGGTGTAGAGAGCATCAGGCTGCATGGTGATCTCTGCAGAAGTCACAGTCGCTGACACCGGTCGCTTCTTCTGCGTAAGTCGGGGGATGATTATCGGCTGATCATCGTAGAGGCCCAACTCTGCTGCTGGAGCGATCTCGGCTGAGAAAGTTCTTGCTGTCTTCGTGAGATTTCCCTTTGGAAGTCTGCGCTGCCCTGGGTGTCCTGAATCTGCGTTGAGGCGGCGATGAGAGGCCCTCTTAGACTTAATCTGCAATGGCGGGATGTCTGGGGAGGCGGTCGTTTCTTCGAGGTAACGGACTGCGTCCCGCGTTCCTCTGCGCGGGGGTCTCTAGCAGAACACCAGGCGGGGAGAGGGTCGATCGCTAGCAGCTGACTGGATGGAATATCTGGACTCTCTGCCATGTTTTGCCCTTGTTTGCGTGATCTATCTGCAGCACGTCTTAAGACGCAAAAGATGATATTTATTAAATGCAGAATGAGATAAATTAATGCAGTAACTGCAAGCGTGAATTAAACGCGCAGTAGAACAACTAGGGCATATTACATGTGGATCGGAGGCAGAAAAGCGTAATCTACAAATCGTACAGATTTTCATGAGCGTAAAGCTAGCTGAACAATCCACGAATACTGCGTGAATAAACAGTAGAAATACGATAATTAATCAATACAAATAGTAAAGGATACTAGCTATACCTCTATAGTAACCTATGAGAGGTAAAACTAAGAGATTATCAAAGGATATGTGTGTAAGGAGACACAAAGGCTCTCACATCCTGCTCACTGGGTGAAGAAGGAGAGAGTGAAAGCACATGGCCAGAGGGTGGCGACACCTTTCCGCCAGGAGACAAAGGGGAGCAACTCGTGGTGAGTACCAATTAGTGATTTTTATTTTGAAGGGAGCTTCAAATAAGGAGATACAAGTGTTCCACTATGTTAGCAAGAAGAAGAAGACAAGCAAAGAGCATGAGTCAGGATAAGGAAAAATTTTTGCTCTATATAGATTTTTGTAAACTCTGTTAATGTTGTAGGAGCAGCAGTTGCTACATGCTGAGTGACAGTTACTCACATTCACTGACAGGGGTGAGGGCGAGATGGTTGGTCTCTGGCACACAGTCCAAGATGCTCAGCAATGTCTTGGTGAGGCGCAGCAGGTCACTGAATGTGTAGAAGCCGAAGTAGATGAGCTGACGGGCCAGGTTGACCACCTGTAACAGAACAAAACAGTTACAGTCAACCTGTATAATCTGGACTAGACAGCTGACGGGCAAGGTTGACCACCTGTAACAGAACAAAACAGTTACAGTCAACCTGTATAATCTGGACTAGACAGCTGACGGGCCAGGTTGACAACCTGTAACAGAACAAAACAGTTACAGTCAACCTGTATAATCTGGACTAGACAGCTGACGGGCCAGGTTGACCACCTGTAACAGAACAAAACAGTTACAGTCAACCTGTATAATCTGGACTAGACAGCTGGCCGGGCCAGGTTGACCACCTGTAACCCGAACAAACAGTTACAGTCAACCTGTACAATCTGGACTAGACAGCTGACGGGCCAGGTTGACAACCTGTAACAGAACAAAACAGTTACAGTCAACCTGTATAATCTGGTCTAGACAGCTGACGGGCAAGGTTGACCACCTGTAACAGAACAAAACAGTTACAGTCAACCTGTATAATCTGGACTAGACAGCTGACGGGCCAGGTTGACCACCTGTAACAGAACAAAACAGTTACAGTCAACCTGTATAATCTGGACTAGACAGCTGATGGGCCAGGTTGACCACCTGTAACAGAACAAACAGTTACAGTCAACCCTGTACAATCTGGACTAGACAGCTGGCCGGGCCAGGTTGACAACCTGTAACAGAACAAAACAGTTACAGTCAACCTGTATAATCTGGTCTAGACAGCTGACGGGCAAGGTTGACCACCTGTAACAGAACAAAACAGTTACAGTCAACCTGTATAATCTGGACCAGACAGCTGGCCGGGCCAGGTTGACAACCTGTAACAGAACAAAACAGTTACAGTCAACCTGTACAATCTGGACTAGACAGCTGGCCAGGGCCAGGTTGACAACCTGTAACAGAACAAAACAGTTACAGTCAACCTGTACAATCTGGACTAGACAGCTGGCCGGGCCAGGTTGACCACCTGTAACAGAACAAACAGTTACAGTCAACCTGTACAATCTGGACTAGACAGCTGGCCGGGCCAGGTTGACAACCTGTAACAGAACAAAACAGTTACAGTCAACCTGTATAATCTGGTCTAGACAGCTGGCCGGGCAAGGTTGACCACCTGTAACAGAACAAAACAGTTACAGTCAACCTGTATAATCTGGACTAGACAGCTGACGGGCCAGGTTGACCACCTGTAACAGAACAAAACAGTTACAGTCAACCTGTATAATCTGGACTAGACAGCTGACGGGCAAGGTTGACCACCTGTAACAGAACAAACAGTTACAGTCAACCTGTACAATCTGGACTAGACAGCTGACGGGCCAGGTTGACAACCTGTAACAGAACAAAACAGTTACAGTCAACCTGTATAATCTGGACTAGACAGCTGACGGGCAAGGTTGACCACCTGTAACAGAACAAAACAGTTACAGTCAACCTGTATAATCTGGACTAGACAGCTGACGGGCCAGGTTGACCACCTGTAACAGAACAAAACAGTTACAGTCAACCTGTATAATCTGGACTAGACAGCTGACGGGCCAGGTTGACCACCTGTAACAGAACAAAACAGTTACAGTCAACCTGTATAATCTGGTCTAGACAGCTGACGGGCAAGGTTGACCACCTGTAACAGAACAAAACAGTTACAGTCAACCTGTATAATCTGGACCAGACAGCTGTCGGGCCAGGTTGACCACCTGTAACAGAACAAAACAGTTACAGTCAACATGTACAATCTGGACTAGACAGCTGACAGGCCAGGTTGACCACCTGTAACAGAACAAAACAGTCAACCCTGTTAATCTGGATCAGACAAGCCTACCACAGGCCCAGCTGAACACTTGTTACAAGATGAAATACAGTGAGACCTCGGATACCCGGACCCCAGATATCCGGAAACCTCGCCTTCCTGTTAATTTTTAGTAAAAAAAACCCCAATCTCTTACGTTATAACAATGACTGTCTATAACAGATATTCGGTTTCCGTTTCCGGACGGTATATTTTACAAACCAACCAGCTAAATCAACACAAAATTGACTCACGTATCGGCATGAAGCTTTGATCCACCACTGACCGTGTGAAGGGAAGCGCGAGAGTCCCACGTGTTTTGACACGAGACATGGTCTGCTAATCCGGATTAATGATCGGTCAGCAAGGTATTGGTGGTGATTAGTAGGCCTAGCTGACACTGAATTAACCATTGAGTTCTAACTGTTAAGTTGTTTATTCAGTCAAAGCAATAAAAGTGCAGTGTGTCAAAATTCAAATAAAAATGTTGTCCATCGTGTTGCAAAGCAGCGGCACCCAGTGTAAGCAGTCCTCAATGAAAGACTTTTTCAAAACTGAATAATTCTAAAGGTATGATTATTATGTTGTGATGCTGTTTTTGAATGTCAATACATGTACAATAAAGGCTTGATGATCATAAACGTTTTGGATTATCCTTGAGGTGTATGAAAACCAAAAATCCAGATATCCAGATATTGAATTATCCGGACGATTTACGTAAAAACAAACGTGTCCGGATATCCGAGGTCTCACTGTACATATCACACAGAAATTGTTCTGGATGTTGGTGTTTCCAGTATACCCAGTGTTTGTGATACTGCAACATCTTACCTCGTAGGTCAGCTTGTTCTGCTCAGGTTCTGTCCAGGCACGGTTGACAACATTGCAGAGGTAGTCCTCGACGAAATTGATGGTGAGAGCAAACTTGTGTTTGACTTTCTCCTTCTCCGGGACTTTGCTGACAGCGGACTCATAGCTGGAGGAACATACAGACCCACGTGAATTGCTCGACTCATCACACAATGTTTGCATACAACACATACACTTGCTGCTATACATTTACCAAGTTCATCTACTCAAACTTTACATGAAATTATTCAGACAAGAGCCTAACTTGCAGCTCATTATATTGACTAGAGAAACTTTAAACTATGTGTAAAAGAGTAGCTCGTTCTTCGAATATGCAGAGTTTCATACAAAGACTTTTTCCTTCAATTGTTTTACTGCAATATCTGTGTTGAATCTGTCCAGGTGATCCGGGGCCAAAAACATAGATCTACTCTATGGGACGTTACACAAAACCTTTGTGTGTTTGTAGGTTGTAGTCTGTCCACACAACAAACTACCTTACTTCTGAGGAAGCTGGCTACATGGGGGGCAGAACCTACTCCTACCTCAACAGGGAATCAGGAATGGAAGGTGGGGATACAACATCTTGGGGGCACACAAAGCCAGTTCTAATCTAACTTGGGCACCAGTAAACCTTATCTAACCGGCAAAGGGAACCTGGAACCCAAACTGTAGCTTCTTTGGGACACATAAAGCCAGTTCTAATCTAAGCTGGGCACCAGTAAACCTTATATAACCTGCAGAGGGAATCTACAATTCAAAGTGTAGTCTCTTGGGGTCACACAAAACCAGTTCTAAACTAAGTAGGGCACCAGTCAACTTTATATAACCTGTGGAGGGATTCTAAATTCAAAGTGTAGTCTCTTGGGGGCACACAAAACCAGTTCTAAACTAAGTAGGGCACCAGTAAACCTTATCAAACCTGCAGATGGAATCTGAAATCCAAAGTGTACCCTCCTGGCTGAAGACAACATAGGTGGGAAAACTGTTTACCTAAACCTAACTTTTATATTGTTAACAAGAAATAGAGATGATTAATCTTAGCTCAAATTTTGAACAACTGCAGAGCTTGATGCCCATGGGATCAATACAATACAATGAGCAGATAACCCTCAACTACTGTTGACAAAGTCTGGTTAGCGTTTGTCTTTGTGTTGCATCTCCTTTATAATTTATGACCTATTCTGATGACTGTATAACCAGCCAACTGTCATTTTGAAACATCGGCCTACATAAGGGAGGGTTGCTCTGAGTGAATAGATTTTTCACATCACATGGAAAAAAATGAAGAATTTTTCAATTACTTCATAAAATCCTCTCAACATTGTTACGTATATTCATGATGAGAACAGAATGACATAGTGAAGACATTAATTTCACAAGGACTCAAATGTGAGTCCTCATTTGGTGTCTCAGGCTTCATCATAGTGTGTACGTTATTTCACTTCATATTGGGACATGCTGAGACTGCATACTGAACACAGAAGGAATCATGAATACTTTGGGGGACATTTGTTACAAGAAGAATGAACATGAAAGTATCTCCCAAATTATTCATGATAACCAACATTTAGTTCAGTATAGATAGTCATCATAACCCAGCAATATAGCCTGTAACCAGAGAGCACAACACATGAAATGACGCCCTACATCTGTTCTACACAACTGAATACAATGCATCAGATCTTCATATTTTAGTCTTATGAAATCAACCATTAAAACCAGAAGCATTTTATAAGGAATTGTTACACATTTAGTGTGTTACTTTCAGGGTGTGAAGCGACAAGCAAATATTACCCAACTGGAATAAGTGGAGAAGACCAATTTCAAACATGCATAAAAATCCTCATTTTCCCAAATAAGTTATTCCTACACATGAATTATTAAGGATTTACAAAACCGAAAACAATCAAATCCAAAGAAACAATGAGCACAAAGTGCTCTTGGAACGTGTATATGTATCTTAAAGAGTCTCTGAAGAATCAGACAGAACAGTACCGATATATAAAGACAGAAACTGATAGGTTTGAGAGGGGTCACACAGCTTGAAGACAACTTAGAATGAATTAAGATCATGTGACTACAGACTGACCTGAAACTGAAGTTGAGGAGTTGAGTGTTAGTAGGGGTTTGTTACAGGGGCTACAAGGGAGCGGAGAGGGGGCTTCAGTAGATACACTGTGCTCAAAGTCATCTGCTCAGGGGAAACCAGGAATAGCCTTATCTAGCCAGTGTTATACGGCTAATATCACACGGGGTAACACTGCAAGATGTGTATTGTTGCTAGGCCTCTGATTGGTCAAACCACTGCAATGTCTGCATGCTTGGGTTTTAAATGATGAAGATAACATGCAAGAAAATGTTCCACTAATGATGGACCCTGTGAGAAGTTCATTATATAATTCTCAGAAATAAGCACCTTTAAGGAACTTTACACTCATTATCTAAGTAGATTTACACTCTGTACATAAATTAGGATAAACACCTTCGTCATCTTTTCTTAAGTATAAGACAAATCTAACTTATTCTTAAATAATCATGTTTGTATTAATACTATTATGTTGCCTATATGTGGTGAAATATGATCAACTGATAAAAAAGAAAGAAATTTTAATCTACATGCCATGTGGAAATATAATTGACAATTTAACAAAGTTGATGAAATAAACTGATTCCGATCTTGAAGACAAAACTCTACCTGAACAAAGACATGCTCAGAATGTGGCTACATCTACACATGGAGAACACAGTCAAACAAAGAATGTTGGCCACACCCAACAACACGGTCCTCGGCATCGTCTATGTGCTGCTTCTTATCTACACCAGCCTATCTACTAACACAGCAGATGCTTAATGATCGCAACTCAAAACCAAATCAGAAACAATGTGAAAACCATGTCAACTTTCCGAAGTCTTACAAATAACACAAGTATAGGCAACATTCCTGATGAGTTAGAAGACTGATGATCTGATGCAGAAAGCTGCTCACATAAAAGTGACGTCATAATGTCACGGCTTGTTGTCATGGAGAAGACAGAATTATCACATAACAAAACTACAGCCTTTCGAGATGGACATACACATGTCTATGTTAAATATTCCCTAAGTACTTAACTGGCGCACAGGAATACGTAATGTTATTCTTGGCATTGTTTTTGTATATTTAAGAAACTGAAAATCATATTTTATATCTATTTCGATATTACGCAGCTTCCTACACAGATGTAAGCGGGATGATTGTCAACTTTTGCAATGGGAAATGTTGGAACAGCAAGCAGATGACTTGAATAACACAGATGCCACCAAATGTTTGGTTGGCATGGCAACCTGGGAGCACCTACGTTTCCGTTTGCTGACTCCCATTATAGCTGCAAGAGTACACAGTACATGAGTTACCAAGGCAACAGTGTTGTTTACATAGACAGGAGATGACAAAAGGTTGCTTCAGTCAGTGTTACGTGGAGCTCCATCCGTGTGTGGGAAACAATGACTCCAGCAACAGATTGCCATCTCGTCTCGCCCCAAATTACCTGCTCACCTCTCAGCAAAACTTCATGACATTATCAAGAAATCATATGACAATAGTTATTCAGAAATTCAACTTTCCTCTAATTTCATGAAAAGAAGTTACAACAATCAGACTAGCAAATAGTTTTCAAATTGAAGGATAGATCTATATGTACAGACAGTCAGACTGGGGTATCCCTGTCCCAGAATGCATCATCAACTATGGAGTCAACAGGAGTTCCTGAATCTCGGCCCTCCTCCAGCTGTTGCGAAAGTCCATATAACATTAATTTATCACTGTTCTGACTGGAGGTGAATGATATGACGACACAATATAATACACCCTATAACATGGGTGCAATATGATGCGTTTCCCAATACAAAAGTAAGGAAAGTTATTGTCATGGAGACCATGAACAACATCCCGGGCCACGAGGTTAGTCAGAGCTTCAGTCCTAGTGCCAACATTGCATCTAGTTAGGTCAATTCTAAAAAACCCTCCTCCCAAACCATAGTAATTTCTAAGTTTCAAAGAGGATTCTACTATCTGACCTACTTTTATACGGAGAACTGTGATAATAGATATACAGTATTGTCCCGTTAGTTGGCTATATGCCGATGTAAGAATGTCGACATAACTGATCATGATTCTTTGCTTACAACTGCTTCCGTATTTCAGATTTACGCTGTTGTATGAACCCCTGCATGCTGACTTGAGATAGTACACTACACAGACCCCTTATAAACAACTGCCCAGCGTTGTTCAACTTACTCTTCTATGGAGATCTGTGAGGGGATCTCAGACCATAGCCGGGCGTACTTGACTGGCTTCACCTGTTCCTGGGGGTCGCGGTCCACGTGCATGTGCAGCATCAGACGGCAGAACGAGGCACGCAGGTCGGCCGGGAGGAGCTCGTCGGACATGCATCTGGCAACACGCATCATACAGAGGTCACAGAAGTCCAAGGAGTTGAGAATAACTAACTTAGTATTAGTCCCTACCTTAAATACCCCCAGCACCCAACCATAACCCACTTTTACCACATCACTCATATATAACAGTTAAGAGGTAGTTATTGTGTTGTTTCAGTCATCGTTACGTATCATATTTAGAAGTACTGTGTGTCCATTCTTGCCAAGTGTGGGCGGCAAAGTAGCTTGGTGGTTAAAGCGCTCACTCGTCCTGCTAAAGACCCTTGTTCGACTACTCACATGGGTACAATGTGTGAATCCCATTTGTGGTCCCCAGCCATGATATTGCTGGAATATTGCTAAAAGCGACGTAAAACCATGCTCACTCACTCTTGACCAGTGGACACACCTCCATTCCACAAAACAGTCTGAGCCTAACTGATATACTTCAACATAGAGTGGTGATACTCATTACACTAAAACACTGAAACTGAAGCTGTCTGGCTGGTTGAGGTCAAGTCAACAGTACATACTTGAGGATAAGGTCGACATCCAGTTCCTGAGACAACTTGTTAATGGCAAGGTACTGGCGATCAAGGCACATGTGGGAGAACAGATCCAGCTGGTGTCTGAAACAAGCAGAAGCATGGTACAACACCTGAAGCAACTACTGTTCCCAAACCATAACTCAGCAAGTTAAACAATGTTTCAATCAGAGCTGTGACATAAGCGGCCAATCAAACCTGTAATATTCCAGGATCTCCTTGTCTTCCTTCACCCTGTCAGTGGTTGCCATGGCGAGCTCCCTGATGCCCCGTGACTTGGTATCGTTGTCCCACATGAGCACCACTTCGTCATCCTCCTCCACAACAACACTGTCCATCATCTGCCCATCCACACCATCTCCCACCAGCTCCACCTCAACCTGCGTCTTCACAATCCTACAATGGTGATACAAGGCTATTACCACATGAACAACCTAACAGACCAGATTCCAAGCAAAGGGATTGTTAATATGCTTTCAATGGTGAACCAGATTTATCTCAAACTTCACTTTGCCTTTGCCATATTGTGTACGGGTCATGCAGTGTATTTCTTTTCTTGCATTGACAGAGATTCTTTTAGGTTATTGTGTTGTTACTGGTCAAGAACACGGATTGGTGTCTACTGGTTACAGGTTGGTTGTGATGGATCACAAGACTGGGGTCTACTGGTTACAGGTTGGTTGTGATGGATCACTAGATTGGTGTCTGTTGGTTATAGGTTGGTTGTGATGGATTACAAGACTGGTGTCTACTGGTTACAGGTTGGTTGTGATGGATCACAAGATTGGTGTCTGTTGGTTACAGGTTGGTTGTGATGGATCACAAGATTGGTGTCTACTGGTTACAGGTTGGTTGTGATGGATCACTAGATTGGTGTCTACTGGTTACAGGTTGGTTGTGATGGATCACTAGATTGGTGTCTGTTGGTTACAGGTTGGTTGTGATGGATCACAAGATTGGTGTCTACTGGTTACAGGTTGGTTGTGATGGATCACTAGATTGGTGTCTACTGGTTACAGGTTGGTTGTGATGGATCACTAGACTGGTGTCTACTGGTTACAGGTTGGTTGTGATGGATCACTAGATTGGTGTCTACTGGTTACAGGTTGGTTGTGATGGATCACTAGATTGGTGTGATGGATCACTAGATTGGTGTCTACTGGTTACAGGTTGGTTGTGATGGATCACTAGATTGGTGTCTACTGGTTACAGGTTGGTTGTGATGGATCACAAGACTGGGGTCTGTTGGTTACAGGTTGGTTGTGATGGATCACAAGACTGGGGTCTGTTGGTTACAGGTTGGTTGTGATGGATCACTAGATTGGGTCTGTTGGTTACAGGATATTGTGATGGATCAACAAACTTATGCTTCCTTGTTCCCAGACGGGTAAACCAGCCTTCCGTTACCGTATGCTAACCTCTACTGTTCCCCTACAAAATGCCTTCTGTTACCCCTACAACCAGCAGACCCATTCTCCAACTGCCTGTGAGCCACATAAAGTATGGCAGGCAAGAAGCAGATGTGTGGGTTCACCTGATGTGACACTGATGTTTGTACATGCAGACCAGCCCCTCTGTATCCACATCCTCTAAACTATAGACTAGACATCAAAGAATGTGTGTTTCAGGACCTTCTTTTGTCATCATTCTAAATCCTTTTATAAGAAGTAAACAAGCATGTTAGTTTATGAAAGTGAATGTATTCAGGGCAGGTTAATAAGCAAATATTGCATAACTTTGACAGTGACATGATAATTAAACAAAGCCTATAAAAGCCAGTTGGATGAGTGTCTTGCCTGATGCTGTCATGTAGTATAGAGTGAATATCGTACACAATTTTATGGTTTCACAAGAGCTCTTCTTGTGTCCACTTACAAATTATCATCTTTACACAGATATTCATGATGAAGGAAAATAATTATAATTTGAAAACCAAAGTACATAGCTGTTAGTCCAGCAGATTAGTGAGCAAGGTACTTCTTTGTAGATTCTGTGAATATCAAAGCAGTTTATGGCTTATCCTTGGACTGAGAGAGACACTTGAGCCTGTGACAATGATATGCTTCCGCTGACAATGCACATCGTATATCGGTTTAGAGTTGTTCCCAGAAGGTCCCCGTGACATAATGTCCTTCCTTGGACATAAGAGTGCATGCAGCAAGACAAGACAATGCTGTCAGACCCGTCTAGAGAAGGCTGTGGACTACAGGCGAAGTGTTATACTGTCACTCCTCAGACAAAGGTGCATGCAGTATGAGTGTGAGACAAAGCTTCCAGAACCCCTACAGTAGCAACCATGGTCTAGATGCCATGTTTTAACTAGGCCATGCGTGATTCTCTATACCTGGACAGAGAGAGAGATAGCTGTACCCAGACCTCTGGGCATAGAACAATTACTCACATCTTGGGGATATACCCTGTCAGGGTCTTTGTAGCAGGTCTAGGAACGGAATAAACATTTAATTGTCAGTATGGATTGAAGGAACAATCTTTACCGACTCGGATGGACTTCACACCACTGGTTCCAGAGGGAGTGGCTCAGAAAATAGAGGTCCTAACAAAGCTATTTCCAAACAACCCTGTATACCTGTTCACTCAAGTTCCCTCCATAATGCACAAGGTCAGCCCATTTTTGACATCTTAATCTGATGTAAAGTCCCATTAATGGGATTTCAAATGTGAAACAATTCAATTGTAAATTTACTTGCTGTCAGAGCCACACCCATCTTTTTGTTCAGGAGAGTCCATTAAGTCTCACATCACCGTGAGTGAGTTGGATCTAATGCTGTTGCAACAGTTTTCGAGTCATATCTGGGAACGGGTGAAATCCAGCAGGTATCACTAAGGAGCTTATAAAGCCACAACCCAGGATCTGAACCCAGGATCTGAACCCAGGATCTGAACCCATGACAGATACTCAACTCTGCACAGTGAAGTGCACCACTTCAGTCAACTGGGCCATCCATGTTCCCTAATCTCTCCATGAACACTGTTGTTGATGCATGACATGAGCTGTCACATTGGACTGTTTCTCATCGAGACACATGGTTAGTATTTCTATCCATCTCTGGGTATACAAGTCTACCAGCAAATCTGGTAACAGCCATTAGCATGCTCTCAGAATATCCTGCCCATTCACAATGCATGTACTGATACACTAGAAGAAACAAACACATGGATGGTATCTGGTTATTATCTGCTATGTGTCATCGGCCCCAGCTGGATCCTATAATTCCCTACTGTATGTTATAACTGCCCGCTGTATATTATAATTCCCTACTGTATGTTATAACTACCTGCTGTATAATTCCCTACTGTATGTTATAACTGCCTGCTGTATATTATAATTCCCTACTGTATGTTATAACTGCCTGCTGTATATTATAATTCCCTACTGTATGTTATAACTACCTGTTGTATAATTCCCTACTGTATGTTATAACTGCCTGCTGCATACTATAATTCCCTACTGTATGTCATAACTGCCTGCTGTATGTTATAACTGCCCACTGTATATTATAATTCCCTACTGTATTTTATAACTGCCTGTTGTATGAAATAACTGCCTGCAGTGTATTATAATTCCCTACTGTATGCTATAACTGCCTGCTGTGTATTATAATTCCCTACTGTATATTATAACTGCCTGCTGTATATTATAATTCCCTACTGTGTGTTATAACTGCCTGCTGTATATTATAATTCCCTACTGTATGTTATAACTGCCTGCTGTGTATTATAACTCATTCCCTGCTGTGCAATGTTATTCCCTGCAGTATCTCATAATTCTCTGTCGTAACCTAATTTAACTAAACCTGCAGAGGTTTCCAATTCTTTGAAGAGAGTCGTCCTTGGGGTACATATATGCATTTTTTGCAACTGAAAATGTCCTGTGACAGTTGTATCATTGTTTTAATAAAAATATTGTACAATAAATCAAATCTTTTTTATCTATTATACGGCCCCCACCACGTGGAGTTACCTCCCTGCTACGCATGCGCAGCCAACCAGGTAAGCACCTAGGCCCGTATCATCATTCCTTCTGCTGAATAAATCAGTGAACAGAATTGCGGGGAGGTGGGCGGCCCTACCCCAAGGGCGACTCTCTTCAAAGAATTGGAAACCTCTGCAGGTTTAGTTAATTCTTCAGAGAGAGATCGTCCTTGGGGTTCATATATGCATAAACTCAGACTCCCAAAGACCGGAGGCCAGGGAGGAGGGAATTCTGTCAAAGTACACATGAATAGCGATCATTAGGAATAATGTAACAGGCATACAACACTCACCTGTCACATGTCCCGGAGCATCCGCGAGAGGCATTATGGGAGGGTAACCGACAGGGAGGATAAGTACTTAGAACCGACCTAGTAGGTTAAGCATAGCAAGTTAAGCACACAGTCGCGAAAAGTAAACAACCCCGCCCACATCATGGTCTATTAGAGAGCACCGTAAGGGGGAAAAAACAACTCACAACCGACCATAATCTCTGGAGAGAATCGAAAGGAGTTAGATCACACAACAGCGGATATATCAATAAAACACAATTGAAAGCAGCGTCAACTAACCAGATAACCAAGACTCACTCGGTCAGGGTGGCAGGACACTGTCCACTGGAGAGAACAGAACGGCCAAAACACGCACGATCACGTGAATGTGTATCGAGCTGATAGTGCCTGATAAAAGTGCTAGGCCGGCTCCAAATAGCGGCAGAGCATATCTCTTCAATGGGCAGTGCCAATGCAAAGCCTTTGACGGGCCACTGCCCTGACCGAGTGAGCCTTCAACCCTCAGGGGAGGCTTGCCCTTTGCCTGATAAGCAGCACAAATGACCCGATACAAGCCAGCGTGATAGGGTCTGTTTGCTAGCTGGCATGCCAGCTTTCCGCCACCGTAACAGCAAAACAGATGGGTACCCGTCACGGATCCCTTGTGTTCGTTTGATATAGACCTTGAGAGTCTTACGGACATCCAATGGGTGAGTGCTCGTTGCAGAGGTCCCCTATGTGGAAGGCTGGGTAAGAGTAGGAAGTTCGATAGGAGCTGTCACATGGAAAGCGTGATTGATCTTGGACGGTAAAGTATCTGGGGGCGAATACTGACACGATCTGGATGGAACACAGTCAGCGCCCGGTCTGCCGACATAACATGTAAGTCACAGACAATTAAGCCCAGATGTTACCGCCACCAGAAATACGGCCTTCCATGTTAACAGCTGAACGGAAATAGCCGATAGACGGAGAACGTAGGACCCGACAGCCAATCTAGCACTCTTGACAAATCCCAAGGTGGGCTGGTTCTCCTGACAGCAGGTTGAACCCGATCCATGCCAGCTAAAAGCCCTGCATAAGAGGGTGCTGCCCCAGAAGAGCACCATCGACAGGGGTTGGAAAGTGGGAAATAGCGTGGAGTAGCCACGAATGGTCGAAAGCCGCCAAGCCTTCTTCCAAAGCAGAGCTTGTAAGAACTCCAATACCGGATTAAATCCGCAGAAAAGGGATCTGCAATCCCCTATCTGAACACCAGCGTGCATAGCGGGAGCACCTATCCTCATATTGAACGCTTGTCGAATCCCCTCGAAGCCAGAATTAACACGGAACATGTGTGAACACCTGAGTGACAGCAGAAGGAATGATGATACGGTGCTTACCTGGTTGGCTCGCGCTAGATGCGTAGCAGGGAGCGTGGTGGGGGCCATATAATAGATAAAATTTTTTTATTTATTGTACAATATTTTTATTAAAACATTGATACAACTGTAACATGACATTTTCAGCTGCAGAAAATGCATATATGTACCCAAAGGACTATCTCTATGAAAAAGAATCCTTGATCCCATACTTCCCTACTGCATGAAGAAATTCCCTGCCATGTGAGTCACAGCATAACTGTATGCCAGATAATGCCTACTGAGGAGCCATTACCTGGTTTCGATGAGGATGTCTGCATTCTTCTTGTCCAGCAGACACTTACAGATGAGCTCCTGTGTGACGGGGATAGCCACCTTGTTGCAGACACACAGGTCCGACAGGTAGTCCAGGAACCTGCAACAACCATCTCACTTATACCATGGCCAGCCATGTAATACAACACATAACTATACACACTGACCAGGATGTATGTGGATACAAAGTATGGAATATAAATATATATACATACTGACACTGGCTAGGCCATTTTGGAAGGATATACATGTATATGATTCAATATAAGAATTTAGTGATTTGGTTCTGATTCATTGATATAGAATACAAGGGACATTACACATGAAGTTAATTATGGTGAATACTACATTATCTTATAGAACTCTTTGTTAACGACCTACACTGATCTACTGACAGAGAAGTAACTGCTGAGCTACAGAGTAACATTCCCATGCTCTACATGCTATCTGTATTGCACTGGGCATAGTATAGCAATGTCTAACGCTTCTGAAGACCATTCATGTCTTCACCAGGATCATTGTATTGGAGGCACAATAAAATCATGCAAGAAGGATTCTACTCCACTTCTTTGTCCTTTACATCAGTAAACAGGCCATAAACAGTGAGTGGGTGAGTTAATGTTGTTTTACACAACAGTCAGCAATATCCCAGCTATGTCATATCAGCCAGTAGATACTGTCAGGCCCATGAAATCAGACATGGATAGCACCAGTCCTGCCCATGTGGTTGGCGTACACCAAGGAGGGAGGACATGTCTGAGGCGCTGCTGGTGATGCTCCTCATCTGGTAGTGTTGATTGATAGTGAGAGTACACACAGCCACGGGGACAGACTCTGAAAACCTTCATGGAATCTAAAAGGTTGTACTCAAAATGTCAATGGTGTCAATCAAATGAACATTGTTTGATGGTCTGTTACATATACAATTAAACACTTGTATACAAGGTCAGATTAAACTGAAACATTTACTATTTGCAAGTTTAGAGGATTCTAAAATGTTTGGTGATAGAAAAGCCTTCAAATACCCAAAAATAAAATGTATGGAGTTGATATACAGTGGAACTTTGTTATGTTACACAAGTCAGCTTCATGCAAGCATGAGGAATTGAAGATTCACATTTATCAAATGATGTACTGGTAATTTTACATCTTGCCTTGAAGCTGATAAGGAGGAAACATCAAATGAGTATTTGCTGAATGTTTCGATTTCAGATGTAAGGGAAGCTATTCACTTGACAACTATATTCAGGTAGTTAACTAATTATTTCAGATTCACGACACTGCAACCCTTTTCTCAATTTTCATTTCACAACAAAAGTCAACAGTCATGGATGTTTTGGCATACATCAATCAGTTGACATTATTTTAACATCCTGATAACGTGATATTCTGAGTTAACAAGGCTCAACTGTATACAACAGCCCTCAATCCCATAATGAATTATTCAATACACCATTTCAAAATGAAAGATGAGTGAAATCTGTAAATAAACATCTATGAAAGTGTAGGTGTACTGAGGCAAAATAAAAACTATACAAGCCTGGATGGACAAACACATGCTGTACTGTGCCTGACATAAACAGTGTTTACCCACACTCCCAAACCAACACATGAAACAGCGCAACGGCAGTCCGGTTGGTTATCATGGTTATTAGTCCAGGTATAAGTGTTAATAACGGTTTCACACACAAACTATAGGCTGTTACATTAGTTGGTTTTGACCTATAGGTAGCTGGTAGCGTGTTACTGGGTTTAGCACATATATACACTGTACACTAGCTGGAGAGACAGGCTGGTTAAATGGTATAAGCTGACAATACAAACAAGCAATTGTTGCGAAATTACTTTAATACAGAGTTGGGTAAATTGTTGTATAAAGATAAAGATTAATGAGCGGAGTTAGTAGCGAGAGCAGGCCTGTAACATGACACGGCAGAGACTGATCATCTTCAGCAACAACATGCTGGTGTGTCTACCAACCCATAACATGGATGTCAAATATTGAAAGGTTTCATCTTGGTCATGCCTTATGCACAGCAGTTTTTGATTATGGAGTCCTACACAAAAACATAACTAAACTATTGAAGTAACTGTGGCTGCCATTTCATTACATCTCTAGCTGAACCATCCACCAAGCAGGACAATACAGATGTACTATTTTCCTGAAAAGTATTTTGTTGAGCTGGCCTACTGTAAGACATGTGAAGGAGGCTGACTAAAAGGGAGGCAATTTAGAATTATCTTCCTCATGCAGACCACTAAACTGGTCATGAGCCAGTAGGATGATTGTCAAACAACAGGAAACTGCTCTAATGAAGAAAGCATCAAAACATACTTAAATTTAAAAAATTCAGAGAAAATGAGACCCATACACATGCAGGAAGAAAGTATTGCTGTCATATTTAAGGTGAGTTAATTTATCTTTGAAACGATATAAAGGAAGAACCCCTCCCAGTATCCATGACTACAAAGCGCCCTTGCCAAGTTGAAAGATTAGATGATCCAGCACCAACATGAAAGTCAAGACAACCATGGAGGCAGGACTTGCTGCAACTACTTGACCTTCTCACAGTGTACCTCAACAGTGGCAACGCTTTACTTGGTCGTGCCACCTGTAGCGCTATGAGGGGTGTATACAATGATGATGATTGTATAGAATCCGGGAGAATCAAATTCCAAAATAACCACATTGCCAATGGTTTTCACTAAAGAGTCAAACCAGCAAATTCTCAGTATTCAATTTTCAGGATGAACTTGAATATTTTCCAGGGTCCAAAATTTATTAGAAGCTGGTATGATGAGGAGGAACAATTTTATAGATAGACAGTAGTATCTTTATTACAATAGACACAAGTTTCGGTGTAGATGCTAATACTGATATCAGTTGTTTCTATACTGGTTAAGTTTTTTGATAAGAAAAAACAATCATTTTAGTAAAGATATAATTGCAGAAGTCCTGAAACCATATCCCTGTACATTCCTATCACCAACCACACAGCATGGTACTGAAAGGGCAGCCAACATAGAGGTCTGTATAGAGAGAAACTGGGTGCCAACAGTCCGATTGACTGGTGCGTGATGCATCTACTTGTGAGGGTGGGGCCGGTGGGTGGGGCCGGTGGTCGGGGACATGGTGACAGACCTGTGGGCAGGAGCCTGGGTGCGGCCCTGTTTCATCTCCTCATGGCCAAACTTGTCCAATCTGTGTCGCGACAGAGGGGTAGTGTTAATGCATTCATGCACATACAATCCAAATTTCTTTACACAGGAATAATATTATGGAAAAAGCTAGAATTCAAAGAAGTGCCATGTGAAAGTGGTCGGTATATCAGCAGGGGGATCTTGTTGCATCGTTCAACTTGCTAGTGTTTCCACACTCTGTGATTGTTGCGCAGGGGCAGTGGAACGGGAATATCATGCTCCCAAAATGGATATTAGTGGGCAAAAAATAAGATTCCATATTCCTGATTATTTAAACCCATAAGCTGACCAATAAAATGCACTCCTGAAAAAAATTGAAGTTTAACAAAAATCTGTTTCTTAAAATATTTCAGTAGCAGCCAAATTTCAATATGTACCCATATGATTAACCATGTCCAAGGCATTAGTTTAACATAGGAATAACTTTTGAGATTTTGTTTCATTAAATATTCATAAACCTTTAACCACTTCAGGAATCTGTGTAGTACCATATAGTACACATTATTAACCTTACATATTGATAAAATTGATTTTGTTTAATGAAACTGGTTTCATACAACTGTGTCCAGTTGAAAAAATAATTCCGCTAGGAAGTTACCTTTCAGTATTACAGATGAGCACTACTAACCCAAATACTGTCATCTTCATGTACAAGTGGCAACCCACAGTGCATATAGGGTAAACAATATCAAAGCTACAGCAATATTACAGCTTATCATTACAGCTGTTACAGCATCACTACAACCTGTTGTCAGCAATATTACAGCTGTATCACTGCAACCTGTTGTCAGCAATATTACAGCTGTATCACTACAACCTGTTGTCAGCAATATTACAGCTGTATCACTGCAACCTGTTGTCAGCAATATTACAGCTGTATCGTAGCAACCTGTAGTCAGCAATATTACAGCTGTATCGCTAGCAACCTGTAGTCAGCTATATTACAGCTGTATCACTGCAACCTGTAGTTAGCAATATTACAGCTGTATCACTGCAACCTGTAGTCAGCAATATTACAGCTGTATCACTGCAACCTGTAGTTAGCAAAATTACAGCTGTGTTAGAGTGACCTGTAGTCAGCAATATTACAGCTATGCCACAAAACATTAGCAATATGAAAACAGCTTGAAGCCAGCAATATTCAAGCTTTCCTCAAGCTTTCCTCACCAGTCCAGCAAGTGTTCTATGCATGGAGTATATTACAATACACTAACTACTGTCATATGACATCAGTCCGTAGATGACTGAGTTTGGACCAGACAATCCAGTGATTGATAACCTAACTTTTTGACTACTTAACCCACTAAGGTGCTTCTTACATCCACAATAAGTTTCTGGGGATCAGCCCAGAACCCAACAGTTTCCCAGTGGAGTCACCTCTTATAACCAGCATCGGGGAGCTGGTTCCCTGGGGGACACATCCTCACTGCAGGTGAGTCAGACCTGGTCCCCCATCCAGGTGCAACTCAGTCTCAGAGTGTCCAACCAACTTCCATTCACACATCATTATTACAAGAATTCTAATTCATTCAACAATAAAACATGTCACCTGAAACTGCCGAAAATAAGTAAAAAAGAAAGTATTAGACAGTTATAATCTGATTAATGAGTATTGTCAGTATTAGAGGATTCAGGGAGGGTCACCCGCAGGTCACACATTGCTCTTTACCTGTAGTTGAGTTTCAACTCAGCATCACTGAAAACAGCAGTTCGTTAGTCAAGGCAAGTCATAGTCAGATTAGGTAAAGCCAATTAAGTTGGCAGTGCAATCTGGTCAATTTAGACAGTTAATTTGTTATAACAGTAAGTTTTCAGAAAGATGTTCGTTCTAGCAAGTTTCCTGACTGCAAGTGTTACCTGGCAGTTCTTGACGAGGTTACAAGGCATTATCCAGCCTCATGTAAGAATGTTGAGTTTTGATTGGTTCACGTGACTCTAATAAAATACCATGTACACCCGTCACGATCTGCGAGCAGGGAGTACAAAAGTCATATTATCCCGCCACGCCTCGGTGACCACGCGAAGTGAGAAAAGCGTGCATCGACAAGCCTTTAGTAACGTGCGCTGCATTGAGGTCAATCGATCAGCTGTTGTCAACATGGCATCTCACATAAATAAAAACAAGTCGATTCGATGCGTATTGTTTTCTTTTGATTTAGTAAAAACATTCGGCTAGATAAATGCGTTATCACATATCAGGTGTCAGTGGAAATATGGGTTTTATCAGTCCCCGAGTAAGGCGGGAATACAACCTTACTCGGGACTGATAAAACCCCGTATTTCCCTCGACACGATGTGATAACTTAAATAATGTGCTGCATCAGTTACTAGCATCACATGTCTTCAAGAAGAATTGTTGTTAAGTATTTATGAGAAAACTTGAATATAAATATAACAGGTGATACAGAACAACGAGGTAAGGGAAGGAAGCAGGACATGGGAGTATCTCAGACAAATATAACTCTCCTATAAATTCAAGAAACTTGAAATCTCTTTTATTTCCAAACAGAGCTGCCTATAAGACAGATAACCCACAAAGAAGAAGTTGTTTGAATGGCCCTACGTGTCTCTTCAACACAGCACACAAACTGTCCACATTGTGTGCCATGGTCTGACAGCTGCCTTACCTTGGCTCTTTCTTCTTGCGCACAAGACTGACAAATGTCTCGATTTCCGAGGCTGTGATGTGTTTTTCCAGCAACTTCCTGTTGTTGTGCAGTAGTGCTGTGATCGTCTCCTCTGCTAGGACATCATACCCGATCTGTTTCTGCATGAATGGCAGCTTCGTGGCGATGTACTCCTGCAAACATAAACAGCCCAGATGTACCCGGACCACATTTTATTGTACACAAAGTCTGATTCAACTCATCCCCACCTGCAGTCATTTCAGGGAATAGAACTGACACCGATCTTCAGAGACTGACTGAATATGGTTATTACGCCGTTTTTTTAGCAATATTCCAGCAATATCACGGCGGGGGACACCAGAAATGGGCTTAACAAATTGTACCTATGTGGGGAATCGACCCCGGGCCTTCGGCGTGTGGCTTAACGCTTAACGCTGGGCTTAACCACTGGGCATACCCCTTGAAGCCTCCTGATCTTCACAGCCCCACACATGTAGAAAACCTACCCACAACAGTATCCCTCACAGAATATCCCTCATACTGTGTGACTCATAGCATGTAACTGTTATTCCCATAACCTGTGTACTGTTATCCCTCAAAGAAGTGTAGCCAAGTATCCCTCATTGTCTGTGTATCCCACAGCCTGTGTGTCAAAGCCTGTGTAGCCAAGTATCCCCTCATTGCCTGTGTATCTGTTATCCCATCATAGCCCTGTGTATCTGATATCCCCTCATAGCATAGCCTGTGTGTGTCCCCTCATAGCCTGTGTAGCTGTTATCCCCATAACCTGTGATATCCCCTCATAGCCTGTGTATCTGTGTGTTATATCCCTGTGTAGCCATAGTCTGTGTAAGCTGTTATCAGCCTCATAGCCTGTGTAGCTGTTATCCCCTCATAGCCTGTGTAGCTGATGTTATCCCCCATAGCCTGTGTAGCTGTTGTGTAGCTGTTATCCCTCATAGCCTGTGTAGCTGTTATCCCCTCCCTAGCTGTTATCCCCTCATAGCCTGTAGCTGTTATCCCTCATAGCTGTTATCCCCTCATAGCCTGTGTAGCTGTTATCCCTCATAACCTGTGTAGCTGTTATCCCCTCATAGCCTGTGTAGCTGTTATCCCCTCATAGCCTGTGTAGCTGTTATCCCCTCATAGCCTGTGTAGCTGTTATCCCCTCATAGCCTGTGTAGCTGTTATCCCTCATAGCCTGTGTAGCTGTTATCCCCTCATAGCCTGTGTAGCTGTTATCCCCTCATAGCCTGTGTAGCTGTTATCCCTCATAGCCTGTGTAGCTGTTATCCCTCATAGCCTGTGTAGCTGTTATCCCTCATAGCCTGTGTAGCTGCTGTTATCCCCTCCTGTGTATAGCCTGCCTGTGTAGCTGTTATCCCTCATAGCCTGTGTAGCTGTTATCTGTTATCCCCTCATAGCCTGTGTAGCTGTTATCCCCTCATAGCCTAGTGTAGCCCTCATAGCCTGTAGCTGTTATCTCCTCTAGCCTGTGTAGCTGTTATCCCTCATATCCCTCTGTGTAGCTGTTATCCCCTCATATCTCCTCCTGCCTGTGTAGCTGTTATCCCTCATACCTGTGTAGCTGTTATCCCCTCATAGCCTGTGTAGCTGTTATCCCCTCATAGCCTGTGTAGCTGTTATCCCTCATAGCCTGTGTAGCTGTTATCCCCTCATATAGTATCTGTGTAGCTGTTATCCCCTCATAGCCTGTGTAGCTGTTATCCTGTGTGTAGCTGTTATCCCTCATAGCCTGTGTAGCTGTTATTCCCACATAGCCTGTGTAGCTGTTATCCCTCATAGCCTGTGTAGCTGTTATCCCTCATAGCCTGTGTGTGTAGCTGTTATCCCCTCATGTGTAGCTGTGTCAGCTGTTATCCCCTCATAGCCTGTGTAGCTGCTGTTAGCCCCTCATAGCCTGTGTAGCTGTTATCCCTCATAGCCTGTGTAGCTGTTATCCCCTCATAGCCTGTGTAGCTGTTATCCCCTCATAGCCTGTGTAGCTGTTATTTGTCCCTCATAGCCTGTGTAGCTGTTATCCCCTAGCCTGTCCCTCATAGCCTGTGTAGCTGTTATCCCCTCATAGCCTGTGTGTAGCTGTTATCCCCTCATAGCCTGTGTAGCTGTTATCCCTCATAGCCCCTGTTATCCCTCATAGCCTGTGTAGCTGTTATCCCCTCATAGCCTGTGTGTAGCTCATAGCCTGTGTAGCCTCATAGCCTGTGTAGCTGTTATCCCTCATAGCCTGTGTAGCTGTTATCCCCTCATAGCCTGTGTAGCTGTTATCTCCTCATAGCCTGTGTAGCTGTTATCCCCTCATAGCCTGTGTAGCTGTTATCCCCTCATAGCCTGTGTAGCTGTTATCCCCTCATAGCCTGTGTAGCTGTTATCCCCTCATAGCCTGTGTAGCTGTTATCCCTCATAGCCTGTGTAGCTGTTATCCCCTCATAGCCTGTGTAGCTGTTATCCCTCATAGCCTGTGTAGCTGTTATCCCCTCAGCTGTTATCCCTCATAGCCTGTGTAGCTGTTATCCCCTCATAGCCTGTGTAGCTGTTATCCCCTCATAGCCTGTGTAGCTGTTATCCCCTCATAGCCTGTGTAGCTGTTATCCCCTCATAGCCTGTGTAGCTGTTATCCCCTCATAGCCTGTGTAGCTGTTATCTCCTTGCAGTCTGTACCTGGTTCTTCCTGTAGTTCTGCTGGGACAGTTTCAGCATGCGGTAACATAGTCGGCAGATGTGACGAAAGGGGGCGTGGCGCTGGTCCGCCAGTTCCTCCATCTTCAAGAAGGGTCCCTCACCGTCGCCATGGTCAACAAATGGGGCTTGCAGGATCTTGAAGATCTGAAAAATATTTGGATGTTTCCTTCAGGCACCAAAACAGAGAGACAACATTGGATTCTTAGGGCAAAACAGTTTGATGTGTAGTTGAGACCAACATAAGAATAATAAGCATGTTGCTTCCTTTTCTTAAGCGCAATGGTTAAACTCACCAGTTTCTATACAAGATTATTCAACAGAAAAGACTGGTCCAGGCATATTCAGATCAGAACCACATATGAGAAGTAGTAATTCGACTCAAGCTTGTTTCGAATTTAAATCACATGCTTGAAGGTATTTTAACTACCTAACCAAGATTCTTATAACAGCCCTGTCTGTCACCTGCTTGAGGATGTCCTCGCTGTCCACCTACCCAGAACACCTCTAACACCCAGGTGTCACCTGTTGGGGATGTTCTACCCACCCAAGACACCTCTAACACCCTGGTACATCACCTGTTTGAGGATGTTCTACCCACCCAGGACACCTCTAACACGCTGGTACGTCACCTGTTTGAGGATGTTCTACCCACCCAGGACACCTCTAACACCCTGGTACATCACCTGTTTGAGGATGTTCTACCCACCCAGGACACCTCTAACACCCTGGTACATCACCTGTTTGAGGATGTTCTACCCACCCATTACACCTCTAACACCCTGGTACATCACCTGTTTGAGGATGTTCTACCCACCCAAGACACCTCTAACACCCTGGTACATCACCTGTTTGAGGATGTTCTACCCACCCACCTCTAACACCCTGGTACATCACCTGTTTGAGGATGTTCTACCCACCCAGGACACCTCTAACACCCTGGTACATCACCTGTTTGAGGATGTTCTACCCACCCAGGACACCTCTAACACCCTGGTACATCACTTGTTTGAGGATGTTCTACCCACCCAGGACACCTCTAACACCCTGGTACATCACCTGTTTGAGGATGTTCTACCCACCCAGGACACCTCTAACACCCTGGTACATCACCTGTTTGAGGATGTTCTACCCACCCAGGACACCTCTAACACCCTGGTACATCACCTGTTTGAGGATGTTCTACCCACCCAGGACACCTCTAACACCCTGGTACATCACCTGTTTGAGGATGTTCTACCCACCCAGGACACCTCTAACACCCTGGTACATCACCTGTTTGAGGATGTTCTACCCACCCAGGACACCTAACACCCCTGGAACATCACCCTGGTACATCACCTGTTTGAGGATGTTCTAACCACCCAGGACACCTCTAACACCCTGGTACATCACCTGTTTGAGGATGTTCTACCCACCCAGGACACCTCTAACACCCTGGTACATCACCTGTTTGAGGATGTTCTACCCACCCAGGACACCTCTAACACCCTGGTACATCACCTGTTTGAGGATGTTCTACCCACCCAGGACACCTGTAACACCCTGGTACATCAACTGTTTGAGGATGTTCTACCCACCCAGGACACCTCTAACACCCTGGTACATCACCTGTTTGAGGATGTTCTACCCACCCAGGACACCTCTAACACCCTGGTACATCAACTGTTTGAGGATGTTCTACCCACCCAGGACACCTCTATCACCCTGGTACGTCACTTGTTTGAGGATGTTCTACCCACCCAGGACACCTCTAACACCCTGGTACATTACTTGTTTGAGGATGTTCTATCAAACCAGGACACCTGTAACACCCTGGTACATCAACTGTTTGAGGATGTTCTACCCACCCAGGACACCTCTAGCACCCTGGTACATCACCTGTTTGAGGATGTTCTACCCACCCAGGACACCTCTAACACCCTGGTACATCACCTGTTTGAGGATGTTCTACCCACCCAGGACACCTTTAACACCCTGGTACATCACCTGTTTGAGGATGTTCTACCCACCCAGGACACCTCTAACACCCTGGTACATCACCTGTTTGAGGATGTTCTACCCACCCAGGACACCTTTAACACCCTGGTACATCACCTGTTTGAGGATGTTCTGTTCCCGGAGCAGCTTCTGCCTCTCACGGTCCTCCTTACTGGCCTCCAGCTCCAGAGGATCCATAGTGGAGCCAATCTCCTCCAGTGCCAGGAAGAGGATGAGGTCAGACAGCAGCTGGGTCACAAACCTGCAACACAAAACGTTTCCGTAAGCCATCATGGCAATATGACTTCCAACTCAAGACATCATCACTAGGGCAACTAGACAACTCCTGCAGACCTCAGTCACCATGGCAATATGACATGTTCTTGTATTCTTATATCTGTAAGAAATTAGTTCACAACAGACAGGCTGTTCCAAGCTCGTGTCATTTGTGCTCCAAATATTTAGAAAAATCTGAAACAACCTTTTCATTTTCATTTGCTCTGTTTTCTTGCATAGCTACAGGACAGATGCTACATTCAACATTGGAAAGAGAAGGATAATCAAGTGAATCTGACTACACTGGATGCAGCAAATCAGGAGGCATCAGAACAGGAAATAGAGACATTTATAAGGAACAGTACTGGAGATTTGCATCTGCTGAAAGGACTTCTAGTTCATCTTCAATGTGTCACCTCATCTCTTACCTCCTCTCATTCTGTGTTATGGCACCTTTCTCCAGCTTGTTGGCGATGTCAGCCAGGACTTGACTGGCGTCGTTCGCGAAGTCCAGATCTCGCACCTCCTGTGGTGACACTGGGACGATGGCAAACGCTTCTTTGTCCTCCTTGATCTTAGCACAACCGACCTGGCAGACAGAGAGGAGCAGGATTCTAATAAAAATTGTTTTGGTAATTGATATTTTATTACTGAATCCCTCTTACAGGTAGGGACAAAGGAACCAGGGAATTCCTTGCCCTCTTGGATTCATAAAAAAAACATGATGAAGGATTCAGCGTTTTAACAAGATAAAACTGTCACATACACATGCATACCAAATGACACACAGTATAAACACACAGTATAAACACACAGTATAAACACGCAATACAAAGGAACCACATCCCATAGTAATAACCTGCTGGTGTGAGTACACAGGTGCATATCAAGCAAAGCCAAGATACAATTTTTTCACAGCTTTCATTAACACTTGACCCAGAATTATGGTAAATCATAATATAACATTATAAAGAATGGACATGGCTGGACTCATGGTGAAAAGAACAGAATAATAATATGTAATTTTCTGACTAAAATTGATATTTTATACTTATCCTGACTCATGCTTATTGCTTGTCTCCCTTTCCTTCCGAATGCTAGTGGAACACTTGAATCCCCTTTTGAAGCTCCCTTCAAAAAAGCGGACGTAAAATCACTTACCAGGAGTCACCTCCCTTGCCCGGTTTTGGCGGGACGGCGCCACCCATCTGCCATGCTCTTCACTCTCTCCGTATTATAACCCAACACACTGGTTTACTGTGAAATCCAGAGTGCCTTGAGGGGAGGTTGGGAGGGCTTACCTCATGAGTCAGGATAAGTATAAAATATCAATTTTAGTCAGAAAATTACATATTTTTCCTTATCCTGACTCGTGCTTATTGCTTGTAGAATCCGACGGTATAGGTGGTGGGTCAAGCCACCTCTGGATTCCTTAGTGATGAATTACGTCCTATATACCCCCATGGGAACTTTAAATGGCACTGCTGCTGTTGATCCATATGTCGAAATAATTTGGTAATTTGGGGGGACCACAATATATCAAAATCTTCTGTAACCGTACATGTGGATTTAAATAACTCCAACTCTTGATGGTCATATCAAGTGGAGTAGTGACCCTAACCATGTACAAGTAATTCCTTACTAGTACAAGGTCCAATATTCATGCTAGTCTGTTCTAGATGTGTACATGGACTATAAGCTCTATTCTTTGGAGTACGAGCTTTGCATGACATTCATTAAAAGGGCGAGATATATCTCAGCGCCTTTGAGGGACCGTCAGCTGTTGAGCTACAACCAGAGGTCCAAACTGGTGGATACCGGAGACGTCCTCGGTAGCAAAGTCTCTGAGGTAGTGGTTAGCAAATACTGTCTCCGATTTCCAAAAACACCCTTCCATGATCGTGGATATTGAGCAGTTTCCATGTAGAGCGAGTGTAAATGCCAGTGCTCTAACTTCGTGCGGATTGGAGGCTCGAGGAGGCTCATGTCCTGCTGCCTTGTAGGCTCGTAGTATGATTGCTCTCATCCAAACTGATATCGTAGTACGTGAGATCTCTGTGGGTGTCTCCGACGATATGGGGATGAAATTTTCGTCTCCTGGTTTTAGACTTCTGTAGATATATTTTCAGCGCTCTGACTGGACATAGGGATAAATCTTGTATATCCTGTGGACCAAGGATTGTAGATAATGCTGGGATGTGGAATTGTCTGTCCGGTTGACCTGGCAGTTGATTCTTAGCTATGAAATCCCACCTCAATCCTAGATAAACCGTGTTGTGACGTGCGTCAAAACGTATCCGTTCAAAGTCCAGCGCATGTATTTCTGACATGCGTGCCGCTGTAGCCAAGGCGATCAGAAATAGCATTTTCTGTGTAAGAAATTCGTAAGAAGTTCTTTCTAGTGGTTCGTACACATCACTGGTGAGATGTCGTAACACCACGTTGAGATCCCAAGCCGGCGCTTTAAATTTCATTTGTTGGTCTTCCAGTTTAAAAGAGCGTAGTGTAACTGCTTTCGCTGCTCTGGCGGAGTATCCTCTTTTCGACAAGCAATTCGTGATACGTTCCATACATGTAGGTGGAACAATCTGGGATACTTGTGAACTTGCTTGGTGTGAGGATGAATTAGTAGGTTCGGCCAAACTGGAAGTTGTATTGTTGGTTTTCCGATTTCTTGTAAAAGAACGGGAAGCCACGTTCTTGCTGGCCAGTAAGGCGCGACCAAAATCAGTTGTAGATTGTTTGTCTGCCTGATTTTCTGTAATACCTGTGGTATTAACGCTGGCGGAGGAACGCAGCGACACAGCGCTTAGCCCTTCCCATGGGATGCTTAGAGCGCCTGTCGCCCATGCTTGCGGATCGGGAATTGAGAGACCTAATGTTGCCAGTTGATTGTTGAATCTTATGGCTAATAGGTCTAGGAGTGGAGATCCTATCGCCTGTATGATGCATCTGAATGCTTGTGGATGTAACATCCATTCTGTTGGGGATGGTTGATGTGGTCGAGATAGCACATCTGCTATTACATTCCTGGCTCCCGGAATGTGACATGCTTTCACATAAATGTTGAGATTGTCTATTATGTTGAATAGTTGAAAGCAGAGGTCTAGAAGATTGCAAGATCTTGTTGATCCTTGTTTGTTTATGTAGAACGCCACTGTTGAGTTGTCCGTATGGATCATCAATTTTGCATTCCTTAGTACTTTGGACCAATGTAGTAGGGCATTTACTACTGCTTCTTTCATCTCGAGCATGTTGATATGCAGATTCATTTCTTTGTTTCGACTATTTCCGGCAACCACTTCGCCGCCGAGGTGTGCTCCCCAACCGCAGTGATGCGCCTGTGTAGAGGTGGACGTTGCACTCGCTCTATTAAACAGTTTCCGCAAAACATTTGACTTCTGAGTCCACCATAGTAGATATGGTTTTAGTCTGTCTGGTATTTCGAAGGGATCCAGACTGTGTAAGGGGCGCTCACAAATCTCTGTAGTGGACGAAGTTGTAGTCTCCCTCTGCGTGTCATGTCTTGAGCTGACGTGAGGAGACCTAATAGGCTCTGCCATTCTCGTGAGTGGTGAGAGAGTAGAACTTGAGAGATCATTTGTTGAATCTTGATCCAACGATCCTCTGGAACGAGAATGCGATTCTTCGTTGTTATAAGTCGTATTCCTAGGAATTGCAAGTCCTGAGTAGGCTGTAGTTCCGACTTGAGGAGATTTACTATCCATCCTAGTTGATCCATCCTATGTTGAAGTTCAGAGAAGTCTGATGGGATCTTGCTGAGCTTGAATCCCGCTGTCTAGGTAGAACGCACTGCGCGAGACCTCGACGATGTAGATATATATTGATGGGCTTTGTCACTCGAGTAAACAACCAGGGGCCCGACGATATTCCAAATGGCAGGACCTTCCATTGGAAATGACGTCCGTTGAACAGGAATCGTAGATATTTCCTTGATTCCTGATGGATCAGGATGTAAGTATGCATCCTGTAAATCTATGCTGGCTGCAGATAGTCTAGCTGGACGATGAGCTGTCGTAGCTGTGGAAGATGTATCATCTTGAACTTTATGGTGGTAGGAGGTAATCTTTGTTGAATTTCCTCATGTTGTAAATGAGTCGAACTTTTCTTTGAATTTTCTTGGTACCAGAAAAATGGGGAGTAGAAACCTGGTGTGACGCAGTGTTTTATCTCTTCTATTGCCCCTTTCTCTAGTAGAGATGTGATGGCTTCTAGTAGATTTCCTTCTGGTCTGCAGCGAAGTTGTGAACCAGTGGGTTGATTGTTACTGGTGGAACTGCTTGTAGCTGTATCCTGTAACCCAGCGTAGAATCTGAGATACGAAGTCGTCTTGAAGAATTCCCCAATTCTTCCAGCAGAGTTGCAGACGCCCACCCACTTTTGAGGGTTGTACTGGAACGGCTGGGGTGGAAGACTCCAGTCGTTCAACCTGTATTTCATCGCCTGGAACTTCTGGCACCTCGAAGGGCCGACCTCTTCCATAGTTACCTCTTGAGCTGCGGATGGGCTTTAAAAGAATCCTTATTTCCTTTAGCATTGCCTGATTTCTTATCCCTTGCTCTCTGGATGCCTGCAAACTTCGATTTGCTTGAATAACGTTGAGAGGTCTGACGATTACACTGGCCAGTGTATTGATAGACTTGATCATCATTACTTCACGGGAATCTTTAGCGACTTCCTTGGCGACTTCTTCAATTTCTCCTGCAAAAATGGATGGTGCTGACCAAGGGGCTCTGTAGAGTGTCTTGGTAAACTTCTCGCTCCAAGTACATGAAGATAACAGTCCTTGCCTTCTTGATAAAGTTAAGCCCGCAGAATGGATGAAAGATGTTCAGACATGAACTGATGATCCTTTTTCTGTGTAGGTAGAGCTGAATAAATCATTCTATCTTCCTCTGAAGTTGAATTCTTAAACTTCGAGATGAGAGTCTCGTTGACAGCTCTTGACCTGGCTAGGCCGAAGAAGGTTCAGCTGTAGTCTGAGTTGACTGGCATCTTGGTGAACCTGAATTCCGTCGTCCAAGTAGAATGCATTCGTAGACCTCGATGATGTAGATATGTGACTATAGGCTTGGTTACTCGTTGAATAGCCACGGAGCCGAAGATATTCCAAATGGTAGGATGTTCCATTGGAAGTGCTGCCCTCTGAATAGGAATCGTAGATACTTTCTCGATTCCGGATGTATGGGGATGTGTAGGTACGCATCCTGCAGGTCTATGCTGGCCATGTAATTTGCTGGACGGACGAGTAGTCTGAGTTGAGGTAGGTGGATCATTCTGAACCTCTCTGGTTTCAGTAGATAGTCTTTGTTCTATTATTTGCGCATGTTGTAAATCAGTCTGAACTTCTCCCTGGAGTTCTTCTTTGGTACTAAAAATATTGGGGAGTAGAAACCTGGAGTGAGATGATGCTGATCTACTATCTCTACCGTCTCCTTCATAAGTAGTGAGTTGATGGCTTCTTGTAGTTTGTTTGCCTGCTCCTCTGCATAGTCGAAGACCGTCGGCTGAGGGTTAGCGGAGGTGTGGCCTTGAGATGTACTCTGTATCCTTCTCGTAGTACTTGGG